ATGGGCACAATGTGTGAAGCCCATTTCTGGTGTCCCCTGCCGTGATGTTGCTGGAATATTGCTAAAAGCGGCGTAAAACAAAACTCAGTCAGTCAGTCTCCTTAAGTATCCTCATGGCACAGTTTATTGAGCTCCACAAAACCCACCATCACCTATCATTGCATGCAAGGGCTGAATCTCTAATGATTCATTACCAGGTTGTATCTTGTATATCATACTAGTCCCTTGTCCTGTTTGTATATATCACATTACTAGACTAATATTAAAGATGAAGACATAAAATATATACAGTTTCATTTTATTAATATCTTGACTTTGAAACAAATCGCACAAAACCTATTAATAATATGTATCGTGAAATGTCACAATTTATCACAAGTACGTCAAATGTCAAAGTGAGCTGAAATTGGGAAAAATGATGCCGGCGTTTCAGATGGGAAGAGTCACAGAAAAAGTATTGATAATTTGGGATCCATTTCAGCATTTAAAGAAATTAAAGCAAATCCATTTTCTCAAGAGCACAGATCCCTATCCTCAGTATAACTGTGTATTCGGGAATCCAATTTGTGGAATTGCAGCAATGGGAACTAATGCACCTTGTCAGTGGCAGACTCTGTAGGTTGAGTGTTGCAATCTCTATCATTGGAAACCGATCAATGATACCCTTGGGGATCATGGGGAAAAAATCGTGGCTTAGGAAAGAAAAAATACAACATGGATTTGTCCCTTGTTCTTCGTCCATCTTCAATTTGGAGTTACCTCGATGGATGTGCTAGAGAATTGTATTAGACCATCTTGATCGGTCAGAGTTTTATTGTACGAATTGTTTATATGCTTATTGCATTTTCATTCGACTCCAAGATTAGGTTAGAATTATTTTTTAGCAACCCATGCTTGTATTAAGAGGTGACTAAGGGGATCGGGTGGTCAGGTTCACTGACATGTTTTATACATGTCATTGTATCCCTATTGCATAGATTGGTGCCTCATGATGTCAATCACTGGATTGTCTGATCCAGACTCAGGTATTTACAGATGTCTGTCATATTGCCAGAATATTGCTGATGGCAGTGCTTAAAGGAACGAGGGGAAGACAAAATATTGGAGACCAATATATGTTACCACTTTTAAAATCCAAATTTTATCCATTTAGAACTACATGTATGTCTTCCATATTTCACTTTGATGTCATTGGTTCAGGGGGTAGTCATGTGGTTCATGTGCTTGCTTGTTATGCCGAAGGTCTGAGTTTGAGCCCCGATCATGGGTAGACTGTGAATCTGTCTCATGATGTTCCACAGACGTGATGAGATAAAATCCAAACGTGTGTGAACCCAAATCTCTTTCTCTCTCTCTCTCATCATCGCTCACTTTTCAACGAGCTCTACCGTGGTACGAATCAACTCTGTCGATTCATTTGCTGGCTGTATAGCCCTAAGTTTTTGTGTTAACGTTTTAGAGGTTAATTACCAAGACCTGCCTGTCAGGCAACTACAGCTGGAGGTTATTGAGTTATGGATTTCTCCAAGATTTGTTTGACCAGCCTGTGACCAGCCATCTTGACCAAATCACTCTCATTAGTCAAGTGGATAATGATCAAATTTGTTCGATGAAAGTGGTTTTGGACCAATCTCATAGTATTTGTGCACATTCTTAAATTCACCTTAAATGATTCATTTGAAAATGAAGGAACTTCAAATTCAGACTTAAAAATGTCTTTTCATATGTTGATGTGACTGGTATGGAAAAATGTATTCTTCCAAGCAGGGTTTGTCTATACCTTTGTGTTAGAGCAACGTCAAGATCATCAGTGTGGGGCTGTCTCATTTGGGAACATGGTAGTATGGTAGTAGTAGGGTACCAGTGGTAGTATGGTAGCCCAGTGGTAGTATGGTAACCCAGTGGTTTTAAGCATTTGCTCATCACACTGGAGTCTGGGTCCAATCCTCACAATGGAGAGGCCCGTATCTGATATTGTTTGATGTATTGCTAAAACAATATATTATCCAATATGATCCAATTCTTTAAGGTCAGAAACACAAAAACAAGCATGCTATCATCTTGACAGTCCCTGAACCTTATTATTTTCCCTACTGCCGAGCCCTCCCTGCAACGCTAAAGCCCTAAATGAAGCAAGTCTAGATTTCCTTAGGATCTCTGATCTCTCTAGGGCTCCTTTTCAGTTTAAACGGGTTTATATGTTATTATCACAATTATATATATTCAGAGACTAAGTGTTAGTCTATCATCTTGACTGACCGAGTCAATGTTCCCCTAAATGGAAGTAATGTCTTGAGACTAGAAATAGAGTGTCATGATTTCCGGGTCAGTGAGGTAACAGAAGTGAAGGAGTGAACAAGGAGTTTGGTTTTTAGCCTGCCTGGAACAGTATTCCAGTTATGTCACGCCTTGTCAGACTGATGTGGAAGGAAGGCCTGCAGTGTAGTCTCAGACATTTACCTCTTTGGTGAAACCCATGAGGACTGCTTCGGGGCTGACAGACCTAGAAACATCGTCAGGGAGACAGTGGTGAAGAAGCTTCTTGCGTTTTTGCTTGAAGTTTAAACACCTTCCTATTTTCACAGGCTGTAGGTCACTTGACCTATTAGTACTGTCAATTGTAAGCGCTGAAATTTGCAATGAACCTGAAATGTATAGTAAGTGACTGAGTTTAGTTTTACGCCACTTTTAGCAATATTCCAGCAATATCTTGACGGAGGACACCAGAAATTAGCCCCACATATTCTACCCATGTGGGGAATTGAACCCGGGTCTTTGGCATGATGAGCAAATGCTTTAACCACTAGGCTACCCCACCGCCCCCTGAAACCTATAGACTGACAAGACTTTACTAAATGTAAAGATTTGATCTACTACAGAGAATGTTTGTTGCTTGTGTATTGTGTAACTTCACACTCAAAGTATCAGTGTTTGTAGATGATAAGGGGCGGTGGGGTAGTCTAGTGGTTAAAGCGTTGACTCGTCACGCCAAAGACCCCGGTTCGAATCCCCACATGGGTACAATGAGTGAAGCCCATTTCTGGTGTCCCCCGCCGTGATATTGCTGGAATATTGCTAAAAGCGGCGTAAAACCAAACTCAGTCAGTCAGTCAGTGTAGATGATAAAATACAGATTATACAATGAGTTACATCAACATACACTATCAGGTTACAGTGACATACATCAACCAAGTCTACAAGCATGACCACCCTATCCAACTAGAGGGGCGGTGGGGTAGTCTAGTGGTTAAAGCTTTCACTCATCACACCAAAGACCCGGGTTCGATTCCCCACATGGGTACAATGTGTGAAGCCCATTTTAGGTGTCGGCTGTTAAAAGTGGCATAAAACTAAACTCACTCACTCACTATCCAACTAGTCACCTCTTACCACAACATAATTGCATCTTACAACCAGCATCGGTTGCTGAAGACCAGTTCTAACCCGATTTCTGAAGAATGATAGGATGTTGGACACTGCTGTCCTTGAGAGTGGACACTAACACCAACTGACATACATCAAATCACACTGTCAGATTGTATGAAAAATCGGTTGAAATGGTTTAAACTGAGGGTGACCAATTGATTTGAACCAGCACATCTCGTTATTCCCCAGGTAGTGTTCAAGAAATGAAGCATGTACAAGCATCAAATGGGACGAGATTTTATTATTTGTTCTGAGTGTTTTTGCATCCTGGTTTCTGAGAGTGTTAAACCTTTTAATTGAGGCTTCATTTATCATTGGATTCAAGCTTCTTATTTTCTGATGAAGTTTCTTTGTTCCTGAGAAGGGTGTTAGTCTTCAAAAGAACAGGAATTGCCATGGGCTTTGTTGTGAAACTCTTACAAACGTCTTAAACACTTGACAGATGGTGGCACATCGCATCGATTCTGGTTGATTTTTTTTTCTGGCGCGATTGTCGATCAAACACTTGATGTCACTTGACATTCTTAAATCAAGGGAAGTGTTTGGAAAGGTAAATTTAGCAGGAACAGATCCAGTTTTGAAGGTGCAAAGTGGAAATGTGTTTGATATAAGAGCTGGGAACAAGCGACTGCCTGAGGGAGGGGTTTGTTTTCTTGGACCGTGTCTCAAACATAGCTTGTAGGATTTGTGTTGAATGTTTATCGGTTCAGTTCCTTCTACACAAAGGCTGTTTTTGGCCAACTGGGAGGATATGACAGCCTTTGAAATGCATGCTAGTTTGATTCCCAAGGACTTGTATATAGTGGAGTGGACATACAGGAACCCAATGATAATCTTCATTTATTAGTAGCATACACCTGCTATGGTTCTGAAACAAATCTAAATGCAGCTCGCTGCAAACTGGAACTGAACAGAACTGAAAACATGAACATAGAATCCCTTCTGGTCTCATTCAATTAAGACCAAACTTTGAGGAGTGGTGAATTAAAGTCTCTGCTAGACATGTGAACTAGTCTTTAGAAAATAGGTTCTAACACTCCATATGGGAAATCCTCTTCTAGGAAGCTCATTCAATTTTAAGCCAAAAGAGCACAACTCGCTTGAGGGATATTCAAGGAGTACATTTGATGTTTAAATGGATAGGTTCAGATATTTCCATCAGCAATATTCTGGACTGATATTGATCAGATCAGGATGGAACCTTCTCATAGAAGAAATACATAAAATGTATAGTTTGTCAGTTTTAAAGCTTGTATTGATTTGAAACTTTCAGGGTGTCCAAGCTGTTATGATATCGTGATATCCCTTTTAGTTTTAAATAGTTCCTATTTTGATTCAACATATCAATGTTTTCCTTTGTTAGCCTGTGCTTCATTTTGGCCAAAGGGTGGCCCAGTGGTTAAAGGTCTGCTTGCCAAGCTAAAGATCTAAGTTCTATTCTGTAAAAGATTCTGTTCACTGTTGTGCAGACTTTTTATGAACATGTAAATTGTTTTCATAATTTTGTAATTGAAATATTGCTTATGTGGCATTTAATGTGACCTCCATCACTCACTCTGTCACTTTTGTTGCAGGTTCTCCTAAAATGGCACAGCCTCCAGTGCCTGCCAAACCTAATTATGTTCAAGTATTGCTTACATCATGTGGCCTCGCCAATGTTGTCACTCAGGTTCTCCCGCACAAAATACATCACCAACGCCGCCAATGTTCCCTCGTCAGAACAAAACTACAGCAGCGATTCTGCCTTGGGATCACCGGACATGAGCAGTGTCAGCGTTGCCGTGGCAACGGATCTTGATAACATAGCAGACTATGACCACGACGACACTTTGGTGGAATTAAATGGTGAATACATATGTTACTCAATGAAGCAGGACAGCATGATAACATGGAGGACCTTTTTACCTTTTATGCATTAACCATTGATGAAGCCTACGGCTGATTCATTCTGGGCACAGGGTTAAGCTGTCGTGCTGACGGAAGAAATCTTCCAATGAATCTTGGATTCACTGAATCTGTTTCATCATCATATGATAAGTGTACTGCTGTTGAAAGGTCTTTTTCTTCATCGTTAGGAAACATACAAACAAATGTTTACCGATAATTTTATTTTAAAGCCAGATGTTTTTGCCCCAAAATTCACTTTGCTTTGTTTGACCAAAAAGTTCAGGTTGGTAAGTCAGAACAAAACATTTAAGCAAAAAATTCCAATTTCAAATATCATTTTTTTATTTGCTTGATTGGTCATAATTTGTCATTATTTGTTGTGTCTTTAAAAGATAAATTAGATGTTTGGAATGACTTATTTATGTAGATATCAAGAATAAGTAAGTTGTTGTTTTTTCAACATTTTTCTCTTTTCTGGATTTCATTAGTTAAGAAACACATTTCAATTTGATGGATTTGGCTCATATAAATTCATACAGATGTCAAGCCAAAATTTTAGAAGTAAGGACATTATATAGAAAAAGTTGTCTTATTTCACTGCATAAGTGGTTTTTGGGTTGTTTTGTTGTGAACATCCATTTTTTCTAATTGATTGCTACGAATGTCCATTACATGACATTTTACAACGTATGGGCAATAGGAACCTTAATTCTAATATTTGCAAACATAAAAACAACTCTGACAAGAGCGATTGACAATCTCGCTAGAGGTCACAAGAGCTTGCTAACAAATTATGAATGACTTGCTGCTTGGAGCAAACAACGGTGTTTTGTAATATCTGACATTTCAAAGAAAGCCTCTGGCTGATCCTGGCAATAAGGGACTATATAACTATGGTTACCTAAATTAGGTGGAATTTGTCTGACAGAAATGTCATGGCAACCTTAACAAATTTCCCAATTTTATTTTCAAGTTACATTGTTAAATTTTAATATGCACTTTAGTCATTTATGGTCATGCTATTGATCTATCTGTAAGCATAAAATTTGTTAAGTCTACACTTAAATTTTTGTTTATTAGAAACCTGGACCAAATACATGTCTGAGGTAGAAAGAAGTCCATTTCAAGGCAAAAATAATTGAGATTAGCTTTAAGGCAAACATTATGATTTTCATGGCTCGGAATGCAATATCCTGTTAATGACCTTTACCTTGTATTTTGCTCCATTGATCGATGCTAAGAAAAGAGATGAGTCCTTTGCGTCTCGTTTGCCATATTCCGAATTAAAAAAATGCTTCTTCAGCGATTTTTTGGGTGTGATGAATTACAACTTGGGCAATTTGAAGTGATCGGCACAAAACTTGGGCACTGGAATGTCGATAGTTTGTGGCTGGGGTAGGACGGTAGTATTCAATGTCCTAAGAAAGGGTTCATACACACCATACATCAAGACTGCTCTTTGGTGATGGCTTTTATGGGACAGTTATGTTAGTTTGGCTTTATCGTATTTGCCAGAGGGAATGGGTCAATTTATTATGTAAATTTACCACCCACGTTCTGTCTTGAATATGGTATGTGAAGCTGGCTCCTCAGCTTTGTATTTGGGCAGCCTAATGGTTAAAGCGTTCGCTCGTCACGCTGAAGACCCGGGTTTCATTCCCCACATGGGTACAATCTGTGAAGCTCATTTCTGGTGTTCTACAGTTTTATTGCTGGAATATTGCTAAAAGTGGCGTAAAACTAAACTCACTCACTGTCTCACTTTATAAACAAAGCTCCCGATTATTACATACTGTTCACCTTTTTGCTTAGGACAATACCTTTGCAGATGTTAAATGGTATCGATTAGTAACATATGAATGTAATTTATTGTTGGAAATTACAAAGGTTTGCTGGTGGGTCTTGGATTTTTTTCCTGAGAATAACCACACAAAAAAATTGTGAAAAATTTGGAATGACGTAACCAGCAGATGAAAGTTGGGATTTTTATTCAATTATTGATGCTCCAAAACCATGTTAACTCTTAGTCAATTAAGAAAATAGCATGTGTTAGGAACATCATGAAATAAATCAATTGTTTCAAATGAAAATCCAAACCGCCACCTCACAGAAGAAAAATGGCTGGTCCATTTGGGACAGAAACACAGAGTTGATGCTCGGGTTAATAATTATAGAATAACCACCAAGCTGTAAGAAATTACGGATTATCTGTCTCGAGTGAACGAATGGTATTAATCCCACATGATTTGTCAGGGATTAACTGTATTCTTTCACTGGTACAAATAATCTATTATTCAGAGTTTACAGAAGGTTCTTCTATAAATTACTCAGTGACATTTTGAGTAAGAAAACGGAGCAGAAATGTATGAAAACTCAACATTACAGATAAGCATCATGGAAGGCAGCCTGCTCTTGACATGACAATGGAATCAATTTATGATGTCATGAACGTTATTGGAAAGCAATTACACACAATCATTCTACAAATATTGCTAATATTTTAATGTCATTTAAGACTATAGCATGATATTAAATGCCAAGTCAAAGATTAGTATTATCAAATCAAATAAAGTAATTATCAGAGTGTGTTGCTAAAAAAAAACATATTCAGTAGGGCCGTAATAAATTGTGCTTATTTTAAATGTGATGTATCCAAGGATTCAACTAGGTCTGTAATATATATAGAGAGATTTTTAAGATAAACTTAGTCCTTAAATATTTTACTTGTCTGAGAAAGGGTGGCACAGTTGTTTAGCCTGTGCAGAGCAAGGTATGGGTTTGTGTCCCCTATTTGCTGTGATGTGTTTCTGGATTTCTCCAAAGTAGTCAACATTTACTACCTGAGCCCTGTTTCATGAAGTGATCGTACTGCTAAAGTCATCGTAACTCCCATACGTAAACATAGACTTACGTCTGTCGTAGTTCAATGATCACTTTGTGGAATGGGCCCTTATTCAACTCAGTCTTTTTACCTAGAGCTAGCAATTACATGCCTTACTGTAAGACTCTGGGTTCAAATCCTGAGTGGATGCAACCCCCCAAAAGTACTAGATTCCTTATGTTGTATTGAGAAAATGTAATCCCAAATTTAACAAATGGCAGTGATATCAGTAAGGTAAAGCTGAAAAGTGGCATTAAACTGACATCACCTACACATTCACAAGCCAGGTATCATGGGAACATCGTCAGGCCCTAAGCCAGTGTTGAATCAGCTCTATTTACCTCACCCACTCGCCAATTAAACATGTCCTCAATGCCATGATTTCAGGGGGAAATGACAGTCCACCGCCACCACCACCAGATGTCGCTCAAAATGATCTCATGATGAGACTGGGTCTGTTGCTAGGTGACCGCATGGGCAACAGCAGCGACAAGTTGTCGCCATCACCCATGCAGCAGATGGCCAATCAGACGGAAGAAACATTTACAAGTGTGTCGTCGCTGGGCAGCAGCGAGACAACTCCCGAGAAGGGGCTGTCTGACACAAGTCCTATGTCCACATTAACAGGTATGCTGACAGAATCAAATGTACAACTACTTGCAGGCCTCCCTAGTAGATACCAAATCAGAAATATCACCAGCACTCCATTATTTCTTTGTACCAAGAGCTGACTAACGTAAGGATCAAATGGATACAATGTATGACAGTGCTTATTGTGTTAGTTTGTTTGCTACAATCAATAGTACAACGAAATGATGGTTGGTTGGGTATATTGTTTAACACCTCACTCACCAATATTCCAGCTATATGGCTGCAGTCTGTAAATAATCAAGTCTGGACCAGACAATCCAGTGATCAACAGCATGAACATTGATATACACAATTGGGATAGCAAGCCTGACCTACCCGATCCTGTTAGTCACCTCTTATGACAAGCATGGGTTGCTGAAGAACAATTCTAACCCAGATAATCATGGGTTGGTTGTATGTAAATAGTCAGGCTGTCCAGTGATTGACATCATGAGCATCTGTGTACACAGCTGGAATATAATGACATGCATCACCCATGTCATCCCTACCACCTTGTCCACGTACAACAAGCCTGGGTTGCTGAAGACCTAACCCTCATCTTTACAGAAGAGCTGATGACCGCCTCCGTGGTGTAGTGGTTAGAGCGTCCGCCCGGAGAGTGGAAGGTCGTGGGTTCAATCCCCGACCGCATCATACCAAAAGACGTTAAAATATGGTACTTGTTGGTCCATGTCTGGCGCTCGGCATTAATGGATACAACAAGGACTGGTCGGCTCGGAGTCAGTATAATGTGTCTGAGTGGGGTATTCATGCCTCACTGCGGCTTGGTATCTCAGTGGGCTAGCACTATAAAACCAGCTTAAGTCTGGGCTAGTACAAGCAGCCGCACATACACATACACACGCATGCACGTCGTCATATGAGCAAAACATTCTCAAGCACGACGTTAAACCCAATTTCACCTCACCTCACCTCACCTCACCTCACCTCACCTCACCTCACCTCACCTCACAGAAGAGCTGATTGTATGTCACTTCACCACCATGTCACTGATTGTTCCCAGGCTATCAACCACTAGTTTGACCATGATAATGGCCACTGTGGTAGAAAAGAGTTGTCAAGTTAAGCACTATTCACTCACTCAACCTAGCGTAAGACCCAAGATGTTCACCGAAATTCGTTTTCCTGTGAAAGCTGGTTTTGTATGATGAGTAATATTTGCAAAAGATGCTGGTCGAACATCAAAAATATAAATCTCTGATATATTTTTAGAGTTTTCTATAGTTTTGGTCACTGGTTTGGGTGTTTTTGTCGAACTCTATGATGATTTATGGTATTTGATATATATCCGCCCCTTCTGGTATAGAATATTGAAGGAATCCACAGCACCCTCTACAATAAGTACGCTATGGGTTACTTCATGTTGAACACATAGCTGATGGTCTTGATCTCCTACAATCACTGTAATGGGAAGATATGTGCCCATGAGACCAGTTTCAGGAAAGTAGCGGGACCTGTCTGGAAAAGCACCAGTAAGAAATAAAAGATTTACTGGACTGCCAATGATATGTAGCCACAGGGTCGAAACCATCAGACCCAACCTGACTTGCTCCCAAGGGCCTATGTTTTTAGCTTGGAGGGTGATCAGTTAAAAGTGTCACGGCTATCACACCAGACAGGTTCTAATTGGTGACCTCTTGCAAGGTCATACACCAGGATGTTGGTGAGAGGAATGATGGGGGCTGGTCCTCCAAAAAGCGGACTTGCTAATTGTTGATGTCATACCGAGGCAGACGGGGGAAGTGTCCCTTTGGGACAGCAGTTAGAACAGAATGTGATTAGTGGGAACTGTTGAGGATGTGTATTTTAGACAGGAACTGGTCACCCTTTGGCCATTGGATGGTGCTTGGCAGGAGGTGACTAGGATTGTATGATTGGCAGACTGTTGCAGACGCATGATCATGCCTCAAGCTGGTTCTTGTCAAACAAGGGTAGCCAAGTGGTTAAAGTGTTCACCTGTCATGCAGAAAACCTGGGTTCAATTCCCCACATGGGTACAATGTGTGAAGCCCATTTCTGGTGTCCCCCGCCGTCATATTGCTAAAAGTGGCGTAAATTAAATTCACTCACTCAAGCAGACACTTCTTAATGAGCGTATCACTGGACTTGCACAATTGCTGAGGCAATAATTATTCCTTGATTATTTATGTTATAAGTTTTCTTTGATTGGCATTCTACAAGTTGGGTAGATGAAGGATGAGGACTATTTTTATGGATATACAACTTCTTTATTCTGTATAGGCGTTTAGACGATTCTCATGTCGTTGACATGGATTCTCATGACACCACTAAATGTCGTTTTGCAGAATTATAGAGAAATAGTAGGAACTCTGTGACACAGACTAAATAACATTGTGAACAGACTAAATAACATGGTACAGCATGTACTAAATAACAACTAGGGCTACTTGACCACTAAATGTCGCTTTGCAGACTAAAATGGTAGGGCTACTGTGAGAAATATGGTAGGAACTAACTGTGACACAGACTAAATAACATGGTACAGCTACTGTGACACAGACTAAATAACATGGTACAGGCTACTGTGACACAGACTAAATAACATGGTGGTACAGCTACTGTGACACAGACTAAATAACATGGTACGGCTACTGTGACACAGACTAAATAACATGGTAGGGCTACTGTGACAGACTAAATAACATGGTACAGCTACTGTGACACAGACTAAATAACATGGTACAGCTACTGTGACAGACTAAATAACATGGTACAGCTACTGTGACACAGACTAAATAACATGGTAGGGCTACTGTGACACAGACTAAATAACATGGTGGCTATGGTACAGACTAAATAACATGGTAGGGCTACTGACAGACTACTAAATAACATACAGCTACTGTACAGACTAATAACATGGAGCTACTGTGACTAAATAACATGGTAGGGCTACTGTGACAGACTAAATAACATGGTACAGCTACTGTGACACAGACTAAATAACATGGTAGGGCTACTGTGACAGACTAAATAACATGGTAGGGCTACTGTGACAGACTAAATAACATGGTAGGGCTACTGTGACAGACTAAATAACATGGTACAGCTACTGTGACACAGACTAAATAACATGCTACTGTGACAGACTAAATAACATGGTACAGCCACACAGACTAAATAACATGGTGCTACTGTGACAGACTAAATAACATGGCTACTGTCACTGTGACACAGCTACTGTGACAGACTAAATAACATGGTACAGCTACTGTGAACATGGTACAGCTACTGTGACACAGACTAAATAACATGGTAGGGCTACTGTGACAGACTAAATAACATGGTAGGGCTACTGTGACAGACTAAATAACATGGTACAGCTACTGTGACAGACTAAATAACATGGTAGGGCTACTGTGACAGACTAAATAACATGGTACAGCTACTGTGACACAGACTAAATAACATGGTACAGCTACTGTGACAGACTAAATAACATGGTAGGGCTACTGTGACAGACTAAATAACATGGTGGTAGGGCTAACTGTGACACAGACTAAATAACATGGTACAGGTGACAGACTAAATAACATGGTAGGGCTACTGTGACACAGACTAAATAACATGGTACATGGTAGTGACAGCTAAATAACATGTGACACAGACTAAATAAGGCTACTGTGACACAGACTAAATAACATGGTACAGCTACTGTGACACAGACTAAATAACATGGTAGGGCTACTGTGACACAGACTAAATAACATGGTAGGGCTACTGTGACACAGACTAAATAACATGGTACAGCTACTGTGACACAGACTAAATAACATGGTAGGGCTACTGTGACACAGACTAAATAACATGGTAGGGCTACTGTGACACAGACTAAATAACATGGTACAGCTACTGTGACACAGACTAAATAACATGGTAGGGCTACTGTGACACAGACTAAATAACATGGTAGGGCTACTGTGACAGACTAAATAACATGGTAGGGCTACTGTGACACAGACTAAGTATCATGGTTCAGGGAACATGAAACAGACTAAATATTATGGTTCGGCAACCAGCCTGGCTTTGTAGTTACATGCTGCAGATATATCATCACACACAAGATGTTACTTTACACAGCTTCTCCCTGATTTATAATTCATTGCTATCCTCGTAATCTGATCAGCAGCTTGACATGGAAAGGCAGGTCAGATGTCTAGCCAATCAGGAGCCATCAATATCCCCTATCAGTAAGGGATTGATTACGATTAATTATCAGTTAACGAGGTGTGAAGATACAGCATGATAACTATTATCGTGAAATTTATGAATGACAGCTCGTGCATTAATAACGCACAGAACTCTGACGCTCCTAACAAGATTATGGCCATTGTTTCGAGTCAGAGTGTTCTGGTTTCCTGAAAACGTTTTTGTTAATGGTCGTTTAAGCACATTACAAGCACTTTTTCTGAGAAGTTTTTGTTCATCTGCAAACAGTGATGATGATGCGAAAAATTAAATGAAAATGTTATCTATAATGTTTAAATTAACTAGCTTTAAATACATTACACAGTCATGGGGTAGCCTATTTAAAGTGTTCACCTGTCGCGCCAATGGCTCATGGATATATGGATTCATTGTAAAGCCTATTTCTGAAGTTCCTCACCTTGATGTTACTGGAATATTGCTTATTGTGGCATAAAAACATACTAACTCACTAAGTTATAGTGAGTGAGTGAGTTTAGTTTTATGCTGCTTTTAGCAATATCACCAGAAATGGGCTTCACACATTGTGCCCATGTTGGGAATGGAACCTGGGTCATGAGTGTGACGCTTTAACCACTAGGCTACCTCACTTTCCTCTCTAAGCTACAAATTGGCAGCATGTAATATTGAGGAATCAAGTAGATATCATAAGGTTCAATTCCCTGTATGGATATGTTTCCTAAGGTTCAATTCCCTGTATGGATATGTTTCCTAAGTGTAAGGTCAGTGTAACTGTGGTCAATGTAACTCTGCTGTATGGTTATATTTCCCCAGTGTAAGGTCAAGGTAACTCACTGTATGGTTATATTTCCCCAGTGTAAGGTCAAGGTAACTCACTGTATGGTTATATTTCCCCAGTCTAAGGTTAAGGTCAAGGTAACTCTGCTGTATGGTTATATTTCCCCAGTGTAAGGTCAAGGTAACTCTGCTGTATGGTTATATTTCCCTAGTGTAAGGTCAAGGTAACTCTGCTGTATGGTTATATTTCCCAGTGTAAGGTCAAGGTAACTCTGCTGTATGGTTATATTTCCCAGTGTAAGGTCAAGGTAACTCTGCTGTATGGTTATATTTCCCAGTGTAAGGTCAAGGTAACTCTGCTGTATGGTTATATTTCCCAGTGTAAGGTCAAGGTAACTCTGCTGTATGGTTATATTTCCCTAAGTGTAGGTCAAGGTTGTATGGTTATATTTCCCAGTGTCAAGGTCAAGGTAACTCTGCTGTATGGTTATATTTCCCAGTGTAAGGTCAAGGTAACTCTGCTGTATGGTTATATTTTTCCCAAGTGCTGTATGGTAAGGTCAAGGTAACTCTGCTGTATGGTTATATTTATAGGTTTCCCCAGTGTAAGGTCAAGGTAACTCTGCTGTATGGTTATATTTCCTGTATGGTTATATTTAGTGTAAGGTCAAGGTAACTCTGCTGTATGGTTATGTATGGTATTATATATTTCCCAGTGTAAGTGTAAGGTCAAGGTAACTCTGCTGTATGGTTATATTTCCCTAGTGTAAGGTCAAGTGTAAGGTCAAGGTAACTCTGCTGTATGGTTATATTTCCCCAGTGTAAGGTCAAGGTAACTCTGCTGTATGGTTATATTTCCCTAGTGTAAGGTCAAGGTAACTCTGCTGTATGGTTATATTTCCCCAGTGTAAGGTCAAGGTAACTCTGCTGTATGGTTATATTTCCCTAGTGTAAGGTCAAGGTATGGTTATATTTCTAAGTTATATTTCCTAGGTCAAGGTAATGGTTATATTTCCCAGTGTAAGTAAGGTCAAGGTAATTCTTCTGTATGGTTATATTTCCCCAGTATAAGGTCAAGGTAACTCTGCTGTATGGTTATATTTCCCCAGTGTAAGGTCAAGGTAACTCTGCTGTATGGTTATATTTCCCTAGTGTAAGGTCAAGGTAACTCTGCTGTATGGTTATATTTCCCTAGTGTAAGGTCAAGGTTACAATGCTGTATGAATATATTTCCCTAATGTAAGGTCAAAGTGATAGTGATTATTATCCAGATGTAAGGTGAAGGATGCTTGGCATTATGATTTTTTATACCAGCTGTAAGGTCAAGGTGACCTGACAATCATATTCCCTGAAGTGATACAGGGTCATCGTGATCCAGGAGCTTTGTTCCACCTGATTGATGTAACCTTTGATGACAGGATCCAGTAATATGACACTGATATTATTGTAAGATCAGTGGGGTAAATTGGATTTGTGGGCCTTATAATCTAGAAATTGGTTTCTTGATGTCATACAGATTTACTGATTATTCTCGGACTGCCAGGGAGATCACATGAGACAAATCTAATTATTATATTAATTATTAAGTCATGTAATTCTTGTCTTCTTAAGAACTTGTGAAATAGCTTTCTAAGACATGTTGTTTAGATCGATATCTCTACATTTACTTATTGTAGTGGCTGTTACAGTGATTTCTGTTCTTTGTAAACACACTGGTATGATGCAGAATGAAAGTCAGTAAGTTGTAGAACTCTCAGTAAGCCCGCTCCATCTACTGGGTGTCTGCTGGGAGAGCAGATGGTCTGTGGTTTGATCCAAAGCCTTGTCTTACCATTTGAAGATGTTAAAAGATGGTACTTGTTGTTGTCATGCCTGGTGACCCATGGGTAACTGCAGCATGGTAGCTTGGTGGGTAGGACTTTAAATCTGGCACAAACAGGGTGGCTCATGGGCACATGCATACTTTTCACTCACTCACTCACCCACCACCCATGCACTCACTCATTCACTCGTTCACTATCTCACAATGTATAGAAAATAAAATACAATTTGACTGCTGTATTTTATCTAGATTGACATAAACATGGATCCTGTTTATCTTTTTATTGAATTTTAATCTTATTTGAGTATATAGATCTGGCTTTATCCATGTAGAAACAGGGTGTTCTACAAAGGTCACATACTGTCAAGTACACTGACCCCAAGTGGTCAAGGTCGAGAACCTGCTGTATTTTAAGCTGTCTCCCAGAGTCAAACTGACACACTGCCATAAAACGGAAAATTGTTAAGAACTGTTGAACCATACTGACTCGCTTTTATTAGCGAATATTTGTTTATTCTGTTTACATTGCAAAGAGATCATATATAATGAATACTATTGATCAATTACTGTACATTACATGTTCTTTGCACCGTTTTATGGTTTTATCTTTGGAAATGATTTTTTTCTAATTCATACAAGATAGAGCAGTTTTGATGTTGAAATTGATTTTCTGGAAAGCATGTGTGTTTCATACGTGTACATATGTTTTATTATTAATGGCATCTCCTCTTATAGGACGCCGCGGGTAGCCTAGTGGTTAAAGTGTTCGCTTGTCACGCAGAAGGCATCAGTTTGATTCCCCACATGGGCACAATGTGTGAAGCTGATTTCTGGTGTCCCCTGCTGTGATATTGCTGGAATATTGCTAAAAGTGGCATAAATATACCCTCACACTCATCTCTTATTAGCTTTGAGAGCATGACTCGGCCCTTTCTTGCAGAGTTTTCCCCTTGGTTGTCAGAGTTTGAATCCTAATCCACCCCAATCTGATGCTAGATATCCCTCTTTGAGTCACATATATCCACGACTTTGCTGTTGGATTACCGTAATGTGAAGCCTTAATCTCGAAATCAATTGATCAGTTGAGTAATTGCATTAATTTTGAATTACACATGAATAATGGCTTTAACATGGTGAAAACTGAATTGAATAATTTGGGAAAGGAATTTTTAATTTGAAATCCAATAAGTTGTATCACATGTTATGAAAGAGAGTTAGTCTTTGATGATGGATATCAAAGTTCACATTGGGATCTGAAGTCCAACAAATTATCAAAGTAGTACAAATTCTGTAAAAAAGAACTGCCATTTCTGATCAACTTGTATTATTGATTACAGCTTCCTTTAAGTCAGTCTGGAAAACAAGGATACACTAGAAACACAACAATTTGGAGGTTTGGGGGCACACAGAGTCATTCTTCCAATGTTTTACATTGTAGCTTACTCATAGGTGTTGGTGAGGTAGCCTTGTGGTTAAGTGTTCGCTCATCAGGCAGAAAACCTGGGTTCAATTCCCCACATGGGTACAGTGTGTGAAGCCCATTTCTGGTGTCCCCCACCATGATATTGCTGGAATATTGCTAAAAGCGGCGTAAAACCATACTCACTCACTCACTCACTTACAAGGTATGGTGTGACTGGGATACTATTTAAGCAGCATCAACCCTCACTCACTCACTCACTCACACATTCATTTACAGGTTATTTGCTCCTCATCTTCTTCAGTCATGATACTTTGGTTTCCGAGCACCATCTTTGTGCTCATGGGCTTCAGAGTGGTAATTGCTGTGTATTTTGGGCTTTCCTTTGACTCTATTCAGAAATAATGAAATAATTGAAAGTTCCCTGCTTGACCTAGGTCATTGACGCCCTGCCATTATGTTACTGTCATATAACCCTGTTGGGATTAAGTTCTAAGTGGTTCCCTAGCAACCTGTGCTGGTTGTAACAGGTGCCATATTGATGGTCAGGTTCGGTGATTTGGTCATTGTTTCCTAATTACATGATTGATGATTTTGAGATTGATGGATTGCCTGGTTCAGGCTTGACATTTTACAGACCACCTTCATAATGTATTGTAATATTGTTTAGCGTGGTGGGGTAGCCTAACGGTTGCATACACTTGTCATGCAAAAGACCTGGGTTCAGATCCCCACATGGGTACAATGTGTGAGCCCATTTCTAGTGTTCCCCGGCGTGATATTGCTGGAATATTGCAAAAAAAAACCACACTCACTCACTCACTCACTCACTCGCCACCTTGAAGACCCGGGTACAATGTGTGAAGCCCATTTCTAGCGTCTCCCGCCGTGATATTGCTGGAATATTGCAAAAAGCGGCGTAAAACCATACTCACTGAATGCTTAAGTGTTGTGTTAAACAACAAGCACATTCACATCACTCCAGAAACAACACACAACAACAGTCAGTCAAAAACCTCTGATTCCATAAACAGATTTCTTCCACAATTATTATTTTTTGTCAAAGCCAACATGACTTCAGAAATATACAGTATCTTTGAAAGTTCAAAAAAATAAACATTTGGAACACAATGTTTCTGTGAACAATTCCCAAGTATGTTTGCACTAACCTTAAATTTCAAGGACAAGTCGATATTCAGAGTAGGCTTAAGTAGTGAAAGTCATAAATAAGAGATGTGTTATTTGAGTATGTAAGACTGTTAGTCCTATGCTGATCTACGGAGAGAGGGATGGTGCTGTGTTCGAGTCTTTCGTTGTCCTTATCCTGGTCTGTTTCACCAGGTAACCTTACAATCTGTAACACGATGATGAGTTTTTGCTTTTCTCTATGAACACTGCAAAGTATATTCTTCGTGTTATTTTTTTCAGTGTTAATTTTGTAATACATTTTTATTTAATCTGCGCAGGAAGGACAAAATATTTGGGTATATTGTTACGAACTTGTAATCTTTACTTCAAGATCAGCTCAGGGAACAGATGTTGTGGGTTACACTCAATGGATTCACGCTCCATACATGTACTCCACATCCTGTATCTAAGCATGTCTACAGTGCTGCCTATCGTCATGGATACCTCTTGTTTCAGTGTCTTCAGGCAGTGAGCGGGGGATGCCAGGGATGCGGGCCACATTCAACCCGATGTTCCAGGGCAGCGGTAGTCGCGACGTCAGCTCCGACAGTATGACGTCACTGATGAGCACCAGTACTGGTCACTCCGCCAGCCCACTGTCCACTACGCAGAGACCCCACTCTATTACAAGTAAGTGACTTGAAACAATACCGTGTGACAGTAAACGATGTATTCAATACATCAGGACAGTGAATGATGTATTCAATACATTAGGACAGTAAATGATGTATTCAATACATTAGGACAGTAAATGATGTATTCAGTACATCAGGACAGTAAACAATGTATTCAGTACATCAGGACAGTAAATGATGTATTCAATACATTTGGACAGTAAATGATGTATTCAGTACATCAGGACAGTAAACAATGTATTCAGTACATTAGGACAGTAAATGATGTATTCAGTACATCAGGACAGTAAACAATGTATTCAATACATTAGGACAGTAAATGATGTATTCAATACATCAGGACAGTAAATGATGTATTCAATACATTAGGACAGTAAACAATGTATTCAATACATTAGGACAGTAAATCGATGTATTCAATACATTAGGACAGTAAATGATGTATTCAATACATTAGGACAGTAAATGATGTATTCAATACATTAGGACAGTAAATGATGTATTCAGTACTGATGGACAGTAAATGATGTATTCAATACATTTTGAAAGTAAACAGTCCATTCAGTATTCCGTACATTTGATGGACAGTAAACAATGTACATTTCAACAGTACCGATGTATTCGAAATTTGGATAGTAAATGATGTATATTTTATACGTTAGGACAGTAAACGATGTATTAAATACATTAGGACAGTAAATGATGTATTCAATACATTTCAGCAGTAAACGATATATTCAGTACTGATGTACAGTAAATGATGTATTCAATACCTTAAGAAAATATATGATGTATTCTATTCTGTGTGATAGTACATAATGTATTCAAATTTGTTTTACTATATACAATGTATTTAGTACTTTTGGACTCTAAATAAAGTATTTAATACTGATGGACAATAAACTAAATATTCAGTATGTTGGACTCAAAACTATATATTTAATATTGTCATGGAATGTATTCAGCACTGTTTGACAATATAGCCAATACTGTTGACAAAAGCCAGGCTGACAAGCTTTAGTAAAATAACACAGTATCAGCATCTTTGTGATATTAACATAATTCAATACTGATGAATTATAAATACTACTACTCAATACTTTTGGGCTTTAAACTCAATACTCAGTACTTATGAAAATACAAAATATATTCAATGCTGGGGTATTCATTATTTATCCGATCTTGGTCTGTGTTCACCATACCTATGCTTTTGGATTTACTGATGTAAATGTCAACCACTTTTATCACAAGGAAAGTGATATAATTCAAATATCATTCACTCACTAAAAATAGCATAGAGAATTCTGACGCTAGGATACAGCATTTATCACCATGCTTGGATCTGATAATGATGATGATAGTTATTATAAGCATGACGTTTTGTCTGTATCAGCGTCAATGCCTGGTGCTATAGAAGAGTTGCCGCTGTTCGGCAAGCGCCGATCATCGCTGCGAAGATCGGCACGGGCGACGGTGTCTCACACTGATGGGAAAGGTGAGTGTCTTATATGTCTAAACACCATAATGTCTCACCTGTGTAAATGGGGCGGTGGAGAAGCCTAGTGGTTAAAGCGTTCGCTTGTCACACCGAAGACCTGGGTTCAATTCCCCACATGGATACAATGTGTGAAGCCCATTTCTGGTGTCCCCCGCTGTGATATTGCTGCAATGTTGCTAAAAGCGGCGTAAAACTAAACTCACTCACTCACCTGTGTAAACAGTTATCTTTTACACAGTTCCAGTAACAATGGTACTCCAGAAGGTCAAATCATATTCAAGTAGTATTTTCAACTAAGAAATAGGTTTTGTAGTATGAGTATGTATGACCTTATTTGGTCAGGGATTTGATGAACATTCAGAAGGAAGTCTGGTGTTCAAGTGACCCAGTCTTCAAAGGTGCTGCTATTTGTTTCAAATCCAAAGTTATGGTTTAAGGGTTGTCATAGTTTTGCTGAAGGATTTCACCTCAGTGATAGAGATCTGGAACATGTATCAGTTTGGTCTTTTCTCTGATATATCTTAAAAACAGTACTCACTCATCCACTCACTCACTCATCCACACACTCACTCACTCATCCACACTCCACTCACTCATCCCCACTTCCTCACTCTAAATCTCACTCATCCACTTCCTCACTCACTCCGTGTTGATATTGCTGGAATATTGCTAAAAGCTGTGTAAAAACTTAACTCACTCATCACTCACTCACTCTCACTCACTTCCTCACTCCCCACTGGAATATTGCAAAAAGCGCGAAACTAAACTCACTCACTCATCCACTTCCTCACTCACTCACTCACTCTCACCATGATATTGCTGGAATATTGCAAAAAGCGGCATAAAACTAAACTCATACATCCACCCACCCAGGTAGATGTCCTGATGTCATGTAATAGGTTAATTTAGCTACACCATGTTCCTGTTGCTTTCAGGGGATTTAACCCAGGGCCAGCCTATACCCCCTAAGCCAGGTATCTAGTCAGTGTTGTCATTGGTGGATATATGTGTCTTATGCCTACTTTCAGTATTGTTTTACATTACTGAACTAGGAAGGATGCGGTGTTTGTGTATTGAGAATTATCATTATTGCTTTCATTTGATTGGTTGAAAAGTCTTGTGTCTAGGCAAATGTAATTTATTTTGAAGCAGACTTGATTCCGACTTTCAAATATCATACTGCGTTAGAAGTCAGTGGTAAACAAATCTTTGTATATTAATGGGTTCTGGGCCTTTATTGGTGTCTGGTTCCATATACAAGCCAGATAATATTTCATCTCTGGTAATAATGACGGCCCTGTACGAGCTACGTGGACCTGTAGGTTATAGCTCTTCCCTGTCAGTGGTGAGACTCCATGTTGACAACATAGCTTGGCTCAGTTGTCTCACTTGGCTGTGCAGAGTTGTGTCCCTTGTGTTTGTCAGAATCCTGTGATTGTGAGTTTGAATCCCAGTTCACCCTGGTTATATTTCTAGGTTTGTCAGCACCATGGGTTTCACTAAAGTATTATGAGACAAACTTCACTTCTGACTTACCTTCCACATTAAGCTGACAGACCTGTTCAAAACAGTGTTAAACCCAATTCACTCACTCACTCAAAGGGACAGAAAATCAGTAATTATATTCCAAAAATCAGTCTGGGACATTACTTCATTACAAGAATGAATCATTTCTTGCATGTAATCCATCCAATCATTTTTTCTCAATGATAATGGTGGTTGTATCTATTTTATTTGCTGTTCTGTTTCTGTAGTCAGTAAATTGTTCTATGTTGTGGTCAAGGTGTGTCTGACATGTGAAATGTTCTGAATGGTCCAATTAGGGGGTGAGAGATTTGTCTGCTGATTGGACCAAAATACAAGGAGTCACCCTCAAGGGCTGTAGGGTGGTCTAGTGGTTAAAGCATTAGCTCATCATGATTCAGCACAGGTTTGTTTCCCGACATGGGAACAGTGTAAAGTGCCTTTCTGATCTTCCCTGCCACTGTAGTGGTAAATATACTCACTCACTTGCTCAATATGTAACCATATGTAAGTTGGCTCCTGAAGCTAAAAGCCTTTGGTTCAATTCTCTACATGGGTACAATGTGTGAAACCATTCTTTCTCATGAGGTTCTTGAGAGGCATGGGGCGGTGGGGTAGCCTAGTGGTTAAAGCGTTGGCTCGTCACGCCGAAGACCCGGGTTCGAATCCCCACATGGGTACAATGTGTGAAGCCCATTTCTGGTGTCCCCCGCCGTGTTGCTGGAATATTGCTAAAAGCGGCGTAAAACCAAACTCAGTCAGTCAGTCAGTCAGTCAGTCAGAGGCATATAGAAGTTGGTATTCAAGTATAAGACAAAATATTATGGATGTCAACTTCTCTGTTATTGAACACACAAAATTTCTGGGCTTTTCATTGCCCCTTCGTCAGAATTTGGGTTTGAGGTAAAGGTGAATTGCCTCCCTTACATATTCCAATGAATATCCGAATCTCAGACCTGTGTATTGTCAACACCATACCTGTGCTTATGAGTTACACCTGAGTGGTAAATGTCTTAGTCAGGTATCACTTCCACCTTTCTCATGATATCCTGGTTTGACTCACTCACTCATATCTACCTTGCATATATTGTATCATATATCCTTACTTGCTCTGTGATAGTGGTGTGGCTGTTTAAGTGAGTTATACAATGCCCTTTGACTGTTTCAGTGAGGTTCACCCCGATTCGACCCCCGCAGCTTCACCTGGCTTCCATGCAGTTCGAGGTGCCCCACCCAGAGGGAACTGCCATCTTCATTGGGAGAGAGTGGCTCTTCCGGGAGATAGAAATGGTAAATGGTGTTATCTTATAAATATGAGCTTCTTACACTGCACTCAGGTTGAAAATATGACAATTTGCTTTAAATATATTGTGTAGTATCTTCTGTAGTTTATGTGAAGCAGTAGGATATTGATTCAAGTTAGATCCGTGAAAATATGGGTCAGAATTGATCTTCAGCAACACATGCTTGTCGTAAGAGGTGATCAGGTGGTCAGACTTACTGACTTGGTTGACACATGTCATTGTATCCGAATTGTGTAGATCGATGTTCATGCTGTTGATCACTTGATTGTGTGGTCCAGACTCGATTATTTACATACCGCCGCCATAAAGCTGTAATGTTGCTGAGTGTGGCATTAAACAGCCAATCAACCAACCGATCTTATTATGGTTCATTGTTCTTTGTTTACCATTGTTTACCATTGTTCTTTGTATACCATTGTTCTTTGTTTACCCTTGTTCATTGTTTTGCCCGTTCAATCTCAGCTACTTTGCTGCTGCCTAGATATAGTCTTGATCAAGTTTTTTATGTAGCTGTGATAAGTATTATCAGATTCACTCCTGAACTCGACCTGTCCCAACAGGCTCTCAACGGTGAAAGTCCAACGCGGTCTCAGGGGGTCACACTGACCGGTCATATAGGGAGCGGCAAGACGGCAATCGTGGAACAACTAGTTAACTACAGCTGTTTCGGAGATGGCAAGGGGGGAATTATCTCCAACGGAGGTGAGATGGATGTATTTCATGTACCAAGGATTAAGACATTCTAAGGGGTTCGTTTTGTTCGAAAAGCGAAATACAAGCCTGACTTACTGTTTGTTAAATTCTAAAGTGTATGATGACATGTCCTGGGGCAAAGTAGTTTTATTTGTAAAGTTGTGTCCCTTAGATGTACCAGGATCCTGGTTACAAACTCTCTATGTTGGTCTTTGTTCTGGCGACAGATACTTTTGGTTTTTGGTGTACAACATGTATATAATTCTTTGTCAACTTGATCAAGTTTACTTTCCATGATATCAATATATAAATGACTCAAATCTGTGTTAAATGCTATTCATTAAAATATTTCCACACAATGGTTCAATATTTTTATGCAGATGTGCAGAATGGCTTCGGTCACAGCCCAACAGCAACGCTCAGTGCCATGACGAGCAGCGCCCGTGACAGCCCTCACTCCTACCTCAGTGTGTCTATGGCAAACCTCAACTATGACTCTCTCAAGAGTCTCGGATCCCAAGTTGTTGCCTACCACTTCTGCCAGGCAGACAATAACGTGACTTGCATGGTGCCTGACTTTGTACATAGCCTGGCGTCGTATCTCGCCCGATCTCCACAGCTCACGACCTACCGAGAGATGCTACTACAGGAGCCTCAGATCCAACACTTGTTGAGTTTAAAGGAGTGCATTCTCAACCCATCTTTGTCTTTCGTCAAGGGAATCTTGGAGCCTTTAAGGATGTTGAAGAATAAAGGCAAAATTGACTCAGATAGTTGTATCATATTGGTGGACTCATTAAACGAGGCAGAATTCCACAAGCCCGACCATGGAGACACCATTGCTTCATTCTTGTCTCGTCACATCAACAAGTTTCCATCATGGCTGAAAGTGATAGTGACGGTGCAAACCGTTCTTCAGGACATTGTGCGGAACTTACCTTTTCACCGAGTGCATATAGACAAAATATCGGGCAATGATATGGTGCTGCGAGATCTCGGGGAATACATTCACTACAGAATCAATGCAAACTCCAGAATACGGAATAACATTAGTTTGAATGGGAGATTAGATCCATCAATGCAACAGAAATTCTGTGGCCATATACAGACTCTCAGCAAAGGGTGTTTCCTCTACTGCAAACTCGTCCTTGACCTTATCGAAAAAGGTCATGTGGTGATCAAAAGTTCCAATTACAAAATCTTGCCTGTGAATGTATCGGAAATCTTCCTGTTGCATTTCAATCTTAAATTTCCGAGTGTTCGATCATTTGAGAAGATTTCTTCGATTCTGGGAGTGTGTTTAGCGTCATTGTACCCGCTCACGATGGAGGAAATATACCTGACAGTCAACTCCGGATACATTCAGAGATTCGTAGCGTGGCCAGAGTTCCAGTCCAGGATGGAAATTTTGTCAGGCTTCCTCCATCGCCGTAGCGACAGTAGACTCATGTTCTTCCATCCCGCCTTCAGGGAGTGGCTCATTAGACGAGATGACACTGACTCTCCAAAGTTCCTATGTGATCTTCGGTAAGCAGACACAAGCTTTTGCTTGCTTTGCATGGTTCCATGCCTGTCCACCCTCAGACGGAAGAGTCCAAAATTCAAAATTATATGTAGGCTGTTTTTATCGTTGGTAAAAATATGACGAGATCACAAAACTGATATTCTCTGTCATAACATTTTCAGTTTATGGCAATTTAGGTAGATAAGATCCGGTTGTCGTGCAGAAAGCAATTTGAGCTCTGTCATTACGTTGAGTCATTATGTTGTTACAGGTAATGGTGACAATGATGGAGCTCGAAGTGCTTTGTGGAAACGAATTAAGTCTGATAGAAAACAAATTACCTTGTTAGCGTCCTTTCATTTATATTTTTTTAGTACAAGGCAAAACTTGTGGTACAAATTGTCGAGGATTATTTTCAACATTTAATGCTTGAAATTGCTATTATTGACTCAACATTTTTATTCATCGATTTTTGTGAATCTTTTCAAACAAGTGTCATAAATTCAAAAATAATTGGGCAGAACTTCCTAAATTCTGCAACTTAATTTTAAGGAAAATTAACTTGTATGTAGTTTTAAAAACTTAAAAATGAAAGGTTCGATAGATTCAGATCGTAATTTTTGCTAATAATTTCATATTTTGGTGCGATCTGTCGTCTGGATAAAATACTTCTGTAATTCTCTCCAATCTGTGTGGGTGGACAGGGTACAGGTTAAGGGACCATATTGTCATCATACTGCCGACTGGTGTTTTTTCTTCCAGGAGTCGGGATTCAGATGCAGTGGTGTTATTTTGCTTCTTTTATCTCTGAACTATTTCTCTCTGTAAACCTTTTCTCTGATCATAAACTCTCAAAAGAATTTTCTCATGATAAATATAATTAAATTGTTCTTATGGATATTTCTGTTAATCTTAATCGTTGTAAGTAATTGTATAGACAGGAGGTTGCGCTTTTGAATGATAACTGCACAATTTGTTGAATGTATTTGCACATAATAAGGCTTGTTTAATTTAATTATATGCTTTGCGGGTTGATGGTCAGTATCACCACTGGTCACATTTAAAAAAAAAAAGATAAATATCTGAAAATTACTGTTGGTCATTAAAACATTAAAGGGTTTCTTCCTATTCCATATTATTATTCAATCATTGTATATTAATTTTTTTAAATTGTTAAGTTGATTTGAACTAAAAGGGTGTTCTTTAAATTATTATTATATTTTGTTAAATATTTATTCAGTGTACTATATGTCAACCATCTAATTGTAAATGAATTCTGAAGTGGCTTTTGACAGTCATGTTGCTTTGTAAGGGGATGGGTAGGGTATATATTTTGTTTCCTAAAAAATGCTGAAAACACATTTTGAGAGATGACATTAACTTCAAACTCAGGCTCATTTTTATCTTCATTTGTATCTGCATGCCGCTATATAGGACGGGGCCTCCACACTGATAATGCTGTATTGATCTATATCCATGAGAATTCTATATGTTTTAAGAGAAATATTTGTAAGTCTCAAGCAGTGTTGCATCCAGATTAGTGGTTCTGATCACACGGTTGTCTCTCACTTGGGAACAAGGATTTTAAAGAATAATTGGGATGGGGGCTTAAGAATTGAGAAAATTGGCAATCCCTTTTTCATTTTTTAACTGCAAGTTACTGTTAACTTCTGTAAATGGGTCAGTCAGAGATGCTATTATTGTATTACTTATTTCTATATTGTACCCATAGAAACTAAACCTTTGTTCTTTGCTCTTAATATCAATCTCGAGGCTGTATGGTCCAGACTACAGGAATTGTATGTGCAGAGTTCTGTCCCTTTCGAAAAATCTTTTTGGGTCGGTTTACATTCCTTCAATATGTTGTTTCTCAGATTCACTGCACAAGAACAGTGCTTGTTGGTTTCAAAGTTGTAAACATCTTAAATCTATAACACTTTGGGCTTTCATTGTGAGTTTAGTTTTACGGCACACTCTGCAATATTCCAGCTGTATGGCGGCTGTCTGTAAATTATCGAGTTTGGACCAAACAATCCAGTGATCAGCATGAGCATCGATCTATTCAATTGGGATACGATGACATGTGTCAACCAAGTCAGCAGGACTGACCACCCAATCCTGTTAGTCACCTCTTACAATAAGCATGAGCTGCTGAAGATCAATTCTAACCTGGATCTTCATGGGTTGGGATCCTACATCAAGATTACACATATTGATCTAACAGAAATACTGTTTATAAGGGCCATATCGAAACGACAGAGTTTATAGAGTGTTATTCACCAGTTGAATGTTTGTAGCACAATGTTTCTTTTGAGTAACTGAGGTATAAATTCTGGGACAGAGACTTGGGGCAACAATGTAATGTTAAAGTGTGTTATTCACCAGTTGAATGTTTGTAGCACAATGTTTCTTGTGAGTTACTAGGGTATAAATGCCAGAACACAGTCTTGGGGCAACACTGTATTACTGAGGATAATGACAATATCTACCATCAGCTGACCTACCATTGACATGTATCTATTTCCTCCTGACATACATAAACTGTAGTTATATTGTTTCTGTTCCGCATGCAGCAGTGCCGAGTTCGACTACAGGTGAGCGTGCAGCGAATGCCATTGTTGTGATCTATAACATCATACTGCCTATCTTCTATGTGTTGTTCCAGACACATGACACACATGGCCCTGTTCAGTCTGTACACCTATAGAGCCCTGAACATGTTTATTAAAAAAAGTCTTGAAGATTTGTACGGTTTGTAGTTTTACCTTGCAGTCGCTTTGGAATTTGGATTTTTGTGATTTGAATTTTTTTAAATACTTTCATCTCCTAATTCATGTTAAAGCAATATTCAGGGAAAAGGGCATTACAGTTAATTTAGTCTTTTTTTTATGGTCTCGGTACAAGCAATCCAAATATGATATAAATTTCCTTCAGGAGCAATATGAAGGAGATAGTTGCCCATCCAGTTATGGTAACGGCTCTGGTAATAATCTACAGAGTGTGTTGGCGCTGAGACAGTCGTAAGTCTCTGTAAAGTATTGGCGCCAAGACAGCTATTGTGCCATGATGGCTTTGAGGTGGGATTCTGCTTCAGTTGTAGTCCCATCATCTTGTACCGACTGAACCGGGCTGGTGTGCCGATTACACTGTCTGGTAACCCGGATCCGGACTAGTTTGTCCTGGAAGAGTGTCATGATCAACACACTTTGACAAATCCAAACCATTTTTTGTGCCTGTGTTTCAGTATCCTTGCATTGCTTACGGTGCCGTTGTACAAAGCAATCTTAGTGCCAAGGTGATCGTAACTCCTATAACTTACATAGGCTTACGATAGCCGTAGCTGTGGTTGTTTTTGTACAATGGCACCTGGTAGATTCTGTTTATCAGTACATGGAGAATTATGTTGAACATCTTCATGCTTCTGTAACCTTCATCTATGTACTGGATCTGCATGTCAGTGTAAATAACATCACAGGTATATAGACTTCATGTCCATATCCAGGGGGTAGGATGAACAAGGAAAGGATTTATAAGATGTTGTATTCAGTGATGAATTATCTTCGTTCAAGTTGTCTTTTGAATATATGACAGAAAGAAACAAAAAAAAAACCTGATCATTTTCAAAAGAAATCTAGACTTGCCAGAGTATATAGACTTTACTGGGAGTTTTCTGTCTGGGTCAGTTTTGAGACTAAGGAATACATTGCCTTAACATTACGTCAAGAACAATCAGAGTGGCATTAGTCTTACATGAAAGTTTGATTCAATCAGAAATGAACATTTAATAATTTAAGTAACTGAATAGTTTCATATTTCGTTCCAATAAAGGACTATGTACACTTACTAATTACCAGGATACAATAACACAAAGGTATTTTTCTGTTTGTGTAGATCTAGAGTAAAGCTAGTCTAATTGCAGCTTCACATCAGTAGAAGAAAAGGGAATATTGAAAAAAATCATATAGAAATATTAATAACAGATATAAAGTAGATTGTGAAAATCACAGCTACCTGTGAACATGGTAGATCAATGGATGTATGGTAATTGTGTTATTGGCATGTTTTTCATATATAGTCACTAATTGAAAATGAACATATGATACAATATGGTAAGGTAATGGTATAACTTGATTCGGCATCATTAAAACTATTGCTGTCATAGAGGATATCGTTTTCTTGGGTAAAACATTCACAAGTAGTATATATACTGTGTTTGAAAACACCTTAAAGAAGCATCGTGAATATTCTACAAATTGCAACAATCGCATCAGAAAGAAACTACTAACTTAACAAAGTCATTAACATATAAAACGTCAACACCTGAGAACAAGTAACAATCATCTGCTGAGAATAAGGCAAAATCGCTTTTGAAATTATGTAAGTCAATCACTGGAAATCTGTGATGAAACTGGGACGTTGGGGTAGCCTAGTGGTTATAGTGTTTGCTCGACACGCAGACGACCCGGGTTCGATTCCCACATGGGTAAAATGTGTGAAACCCATTTCTGGTGTCCCCCGCCGTGATATTGCTGGAATATTGCTTATTGAAACTCACTCACTCACTGTGGTGAAACAAGGTATTCACTAAACATACCGACTAACACAAATCTTGAGTTATGCAATGATATGGATTGATAGTTGAAATAATGCTATATGTAATATTTGTGAAAGACTCGTCACTAAACATTAATACGTCATCATCATTTCTACTGTATCCATGCATGAATGGATGTACTCCAGGAGAGGGCATGTACTGATGTATTCAAGGAGAGGGCATGAACTTGTTAGACCGAATGTCATCAATATTTTCGGTGTCAGCATGGACAATTATATAGAATGCAGGTTTGAATTCGTCAATGTGTGGTTTGGATTTGATAAGTTTGTTGACCATGGCAATTTGATTTTTAGCTAATTAGTTTTATTTCAGAATACTTTCACTTTCAATAATGTATTTGTTTATTCATATATGTTGAAGGTATATTATTTTTTATATTCATTTTTTTTATAGTTTCCTGTTGTGACATGTGAAATGGTTTATTGTTTATTCATCTTGATATTTTAAACAGGTAATTAAAACCAATATCAGACAGCTGCAGCAATGTTTTTAACTTCTTTATCAGGTGTTTTTTAATTGATCATTGTTTCTTTGATTATTTTAATCATTTGGGTTTGGTTGTTAAATGTCCTAATGATTGAAAGCTTATTTTTTCCATTTAGTCGTTATGCAAGAGCAATAACTGAAATGTATAAACTTGTTCATGGAAACGTACAAGATGTCCAGCAAATGATGACTGCATCATGGATGTTGTTCCAGTAACTATAGCAACACTGTATCTATGCATGGGCTGTTGTATATTTCAGGAAATCTTGGTAGAAAATTTTTCGGTTTTGTGACATAGCTTTACAAGTGTAAAGAATATAAAAATTAGGAATTGTTAAGATTTAGTTGTAATTATCTACAATCTCGTTAAAATCAGATCATTTATTCATATAATACCTCTCTGTGCGGAGATCTGAGGACATCTGCATGGTAGCCATAGACAGGGGGACTTTCATGTCGGCTATTCTCTCACAGGGATGACAAGGCTGTACGATCAGACAAGCATATCTCATTTCAGAATCACGAAAACAACATTATCAAGGAATTCCTAAAGCAAGAACAATCCTCCACACTATTATATTAATATTAAAATGCTGACATAAGATTGGCTGAAGAAACCTCACATCCATCCTTTAGATATGTCGGTCAGAGTTTGTCAGGATCGTGTGACACGACACCCTATAGAGGTGTCCTCAGATGTCTGTCTACAGAGGTATTATTGTGGAATGATGGATTTATTTTTTAATGAGATTGCTTTTATCTACAAATGGCAAGCAATATCTATTAACAATTTGTTTCCACTTTGCTGAAATGGATAGTTTAAACCACCAGGAGCTAAGATTGTTGTCCTATTATTTAGCATTAGTCGTTACTTATAGAAGACTTTTCACATCATGAAATGTGGGAAAGATGAAGAAGAGAATATTGTGAAACACAGAATTATCTAATTAAAATTATTATTGCCATCCTGACGTTCTTCTACTGATATGATATTTTCCAGATGTTGATTTTTAATGGCTTATTTCCTTTGATGTTTGGTGTAAGAATTTCAGGAATATTTAAAGCCTCCTGCCAAATTTCTGAAAATTCTGTGTATGAAAGCAACAAATCTTTATGTTCTAAAGTTCCTGACACTGATAATTATCAGATGGATGAAATACTCTTTCAACTGATAACAATGTCGTAATTAGGGATGCTACTAGCTTAGGCCAAACAAAAATATTATTTTCATTTTATTTGTTGGTCAGCAGGTTTAGGTGCTAGAGGGGAGATAAAGAAATCAGTGTACATTTCAACTTATTGTTATGGAAATAGGAACATTTTAATCATATCCAATGAAATACACTCACTTATCAATTTTGTATTTACTTAAACTAAATTTCAGATTCTGCAATAGAAAGGATAATTTAACCTGGCTCCTTGACTGCCTGTAGTGTCTTAAATATGTAAGGTAAATCTGGGTATTAAGCAAGCATGTTGCTAGGAGACTGGAAGTATTCAACATATGCGCTGCTGTTGCAGGAATGGGCATGCTCTGATGGCGTTCCGGTTGTCACGTGTGTCGGCGCCGCTCGGACCTGACAAGACGATAGAGCTTGGCCACCACATCCTGAAGGCACACATCTACAAGAACGTCAGCAAGCAGCTCGGATACTCATCCCGAGACATGCAGGCGTACTGGATGTGCCTCAGTTCCGACAGTCTCAGCAGTGCTCTCGTGTCGCAGAGGAACGTCTATTCTCCCAATGTCAAGGTAGGAAGGATTTAGTGTCATAGGTCAAGGTCAATGCTCAATAATGTGGGAACATTTCACTGGCTTTTCAAACATGATATGGGGAGACCTGCTCAATCATTCGCTTATTTAGATCTGGCTAGCTATTCTCAAAACATTCATAGCCCTACGAACTTCTTAAGCCCATTCTTAACGCATTGGCTACGATTAAAGTTAAGAATTCTTAGAGCTACGAATGTTTCGAGAATAAGGGCCTAGGTCATTGTTGAACATAAGTGTACACTTGTCCTCACTTATGGCTCAGTGGGTAATGCATTAGTTCATCCTCCAGAGATCCTTGTTTGATTCCTTGTTTGGTAAAATTAGATATATTCCATTCTGTCCATACAGGTGAGTCGCCTGATCCTCCTGTCTGGCGCCAACCCCAACAGCCGCACAGAGTTCAACAACAGCGCCCCCGTGCTGTGTGTGGCGTGCAAGGAGGGCTACTCCGACATGGCGTCGCTGCTCCTGGAGTTTGGTGCTGATATCGATGCCGTCTCCGAAGTTGGCATGTCTGCACTGTGCTACGCTGCTGCTGCCGGGCACACTGACGTTGTCCGCTTGTTGTGTATGCAGAACTCCAGGGTAAGCAAAATAGGTTAATGATCTACACAAATTCATAAACTGTTCAGTGGTTAGTTTTTCATAATATATATATTGTCAAGTGTAAATTTCCTTATTATATAGAGTAGCTTTATTATACCCATAAACTCATGATTGTCCAAATCTGATGCAGAAAATACAACATTGTTTCAATCATGACAATTTATTTTTTATTTATCATATTTTATATCTATATTTACATATGCCAATATTGGGATTACAGCTTTAATTTCCTCTATGAACCTACGCTAGTCACCCGTGAATATCCGGGTTAGATTTGATTTTCGGTAACCCATGCTTGTCATAAGAGGCGACTCAGGATCGTGTGGTCAGGCTCGCTGACTTGGTTGACACATGTCATCGCATCCCAATTGTGTAAAGCGATGTTCATGCTGTCGATCACTGGATTGTGTGGTCCGGACTTGATTGTTTACAGACCGCCGCCATATAGCTGGAATATTGCTGAGTGTGGCGTAAAACTAAACTCACTCACTCATTCACCTATGCTAGTCATACTAAATGTGTTATTCGTTGTCAGGCTGGATGACTTTGTTGAATGTGTGTCAACATACCCAAACAGCATTGTTGCATTATTATTGTTGCTCTTAATATCAGCCACTGGTTTGTCCATCCCAGACTCATTTATTACCACTCTGCCGTCATGTAGCTAGAATATTGCTGAGAGTGGTGCTAAACAACACAAACATCATCCTTGTACAACGATGTTCAGTATTAATATTTCCATGTCTCTCGCCTTGTAGCTGTCGCTGATAGACAACCAGGGTCAGTGTAGCGTGGTTCACGCAGCCATCCACGGACATCTGGACACAATGGCCCACATCCTGCAGTTTGACTGGCCACTGTTCCACGGGGAGCCCACCAAACCCGAGGCCATGCAACAAGCGTTTGTAATGGCCGCAGCCACTGGACACAAACATGTGAGTAGGAGTTTAACAATAATCATGGAAAAAAAATTAACATGAAATCAGATAAAATTGGTATCTTTTTACCAAAATTGTTGTAGTAGTAGTTATTTTGGACAAAATACAAAATTTCATTGTTGAAGACAGTTCCCGGCTTTCTTACAATTGATTTCGTCAGTGGATCCTGAAACAGCTAGAGAATTACATACATGGTTTTCTACCGTGTGCATACAACCAGTGTGTGAAATAGCCACTAGCCTGCTAGCCCATGGCTAGTAAGAATCCAGTTGGGCCAGTAAATCTCCACAGTTACTGGCACGACTGGCTGGTGAATTTTCATGGGGTCATTTTGTAAATATATCACTCTCTCCAACTTGTTAAGTTATAAAGTTTTAAATCATGCAAGATTATTGCCTGATAAAAATGTTCATCATATTAGCAGCTTAATGATGAAACCCGTGTCCACATTCAAATTTCGGGCTAGTGAAATATTTTGTGGGCTAGTATTTTTCAAGCATAGCTAGCAAGACTGGCTAGCAAAATTTGGAAACTCTTTTGCACACTCCATACAAGAACCCCTTCTCGTACGTAATTGTTCAAAGTTCAAAACAACGTTCAAGGCAGATATGCAGCATTCAGTTTATTACACTGATACAACAAAGTCAGAAATAATGTTTGCCGCATCAGTAATTTTGTACTTGATGCAGCTGAAAATATTCCCTCTTAAGATTATTATTATTTCACCAAATTTCTAACTTTATATTACATGAGTATTTATCTTACCTTCATGTAAAATACAGGGGCGGTGGGGTAGTCAAGTGGTTAAAGCGTTCGCTCGTCACGCCGAAGACCCAGGTTCAATTACCCACATGGGTACAATGTGTGAAGCCCATTTCTGGTGTCCCTCACCGTGATATAGCTGGAATATTGCTAAAAGCAGCCTAAAACTTAACTCACTCACTCACTCACTCACTCATGTAAAATACATAACTTTCATTGGTCAGTGATGCTTTAAAAGTTTCCATGTTACCCCTCCCTGGAGGGTGACAACTGGAAACAATATTACCTGCCATGGTAACTGAGAAGCTGTACCACTAACAATTGTATGACAACATAATATGACGCACGCAGCGCACGGAGTTCGAAAACCGTTCGATAAGCTGTTTTTGAGTTCACTATGTACACATGTTATTTTACCGACTTTCACTGCTTTATTTAAAAAATTTCATACATTGAATCATTTACACACTCAACATGTGACGTCCATATTTCTGTTTCTGTCCCCAGATCTGTGAGTACCTGATGCATGCTAGCGGAGGAGCAGGCCTCAACATGGTGGACACCCTGCTGGGTGAAACTGGTGAGTACCAACAGGGAGGACGCCAAATACTGGCAGTGATTGAGGAACCTTTCTTCAATCTGGTCAGGAGCACCATATCTCTTCCATGATTCACTCTGATTCAAAATCTTTTCATCTGTTTCATGATTTCAATGGCTGTTATTCAGAATCCCTAATATCTCTATAAGGTCTTAGACTAGTTGAAAGGAAAGTGGTATATGAGTTACCAAATTGGAAGTGCCTCTGATCTAAAATGGTGTTGTTTGCAGTGAAGAGTGACTTCCCTTGTCAATGCCAAGATCTGCTGATTATGGAGTAAAATTTAAAATGCACATTGATTGTGATCCTTGAATTGTCAGCAATACAATTGTCCTTGTGTTATGCCAACCTGGTCAACATCTAAGACCTGCATAGCTTTGGGCTTACATCTGTAATTACGCTGGTATCTCAGCTGATATCTCATGCTACTTAAATATCAAGCCAGTGGGGTAGCCTAGTGGTTAAAGCATTCGCTCATCACGCCGAGGACCCAGGTTTGATTGCCTACATGGGTACAATGTGTGAAGCCCATTCTGGTGTCCCACTCTCTGATACTGAATATTGCTTATAGCGGTTTCAACCCCGACTCACTCGCTCCCTTAAAAACCAGCTCATTCACCCCACACCCATCATCTCTTCAGCTCTGACAGCCGCGTGTCTCCACGGGAAGAAGGAGGTGGTCCAGTTCCTCCTGGACGAAGATGTGGCTGTCCACGTCCCGAACAGCAAGTCCTTCAGCCCCCTGCTGTGTGCTGTGAAGGCAGGGAAGTGGGAGATCGCTGACACGCTGCTGGCAGTCGGGGCACCCATAGATCAGACAGACAAGTATGGCCGCACACCGTTGATGATCGCTGCCAGCGAAGGACATATTGGAGTTCTGGAGATGTTACTGCTGAAATGTAAGACATATGCTCGTTGACGTCCTGGGAACCTGTGTGCAAAGTATTCATAGAACCATGCTGTTTGTAAGCTTGTGAAAAGGCATCGGGTTAGTTATACTACAAACACTTAGTGAGTTGGGATCCAGAAAATAAAGAATGAAAGAATCTACTGTTTTACGTTTGGAAACTATAGGGATTAAGGCTGGACACATGAGAAGTAATTGCTAAGGGACAGTTAATAATTTATGGCTAGGATTAGACTAACAACTAGTCTCTGAAATGAACATATTTTACTGAAAAAAGTTCATAGTAAAAAAATATATATATAATGAAAATGAGCCCTGAGACTTTCTTCATTTTCCTGAAGCTGAAGCTGTGGAAATCTAGAATTGCCACATTTTCTAGGATTGCGTGGGCTTTCTTGGATATATTTGCTTCAGGGTCTGTACGACAGACTAGGCTAGGATAGGTGATGATGATTTTGATGGAGAAGCATGTACAATGTGATTGACACCCCTTCAGATTTATGTACAAAGTGAGAAGGTGAGGATGAGACATGAGGATGTCAAAATATGGCACTTGTTGTTACGCTGCCTGGTTCTCAGTATTAGGGAGAGTAGTCATCAATATAGTGTATTTGAGTGTGGTAGCCATGTTATAACTGCACCATGGTATCTCAGTGTACTATAAAAAGACTTTAGTCTGGAATAGTACATACACATATCATTAAGTGCAATAATGTTAAATGTTACATTACATCCTATTTCACCTCACCTCACCTCACCTCACCTCACCTCACCTCACCTCTCACTCACCTCACCTCACATCACCTCTCACTCACCCCCCAGGTGCCCAGCTGGACCAGATAGACAAGGAAGGACTGACGGCTCTCTGCTGGGCATGCCTTAAAGGTCATCTAGCCATCGTCCAGTCCCTGGTAGATCGTGGCTCCGACATCCATCACGTGGACAAGAGTGGACGCAACCCTCTCCACCTTGCCGCTTTCTACGGGGATGCTCAAGTTGTAAGTCTTTACCCTTCAGGATTTCAGAGCAGAATGATGTTGACTGTAGTCCGAAGCAACATGCACTCACATAATTAGCTTCGTTGTGGGACACAAAACAACTTGGCATTTACTTGTACTTTACGTTAGAACAAAACCTTGGTGTTATTTTCTTGTCTAATTGTGCAGTTACTTTTATTTTTTTATTTTATTTATTTTAATAATAATAACAATGAGTGTACTTATACCGTGCAATACATCACACCACACAGGGGCATGCTCAAAGTGGGCACAAACAGCACAACATTATTACTCCAGACAACCCAAGCTGCCTGTTATGCGCTAGAACGTTATAGTCATATGACTTATCCCACCTGGTACCCATTTTTCTGCTGGGTGAACAGAGGCAATTTTGAACAAACTCACTTGCCTAAGGTGAGACCAAGTGTATCACATGTGTTTCGTTGTGGGGCAGGACTGAAATCCTAGAAACTCTCAGGAGTCAAGCTGCCAAACACGGTCAACCATCCAAGGACTCTCCGCACTCAACGTTGCTTAACTTCAACTGATTTGTGACCTGAACTCTTTGCACAGGACCAAACGCCACCACAACTTTCATTTAACTCCTTTCTTTCATTCAGGTGCAATATCTCATTGACAAGGGCGCTCATATTGAGCATGTTGATCACAACGGCATGCGCCCTCTGGACAGAGCCATCGGGTGTCGGAACACCGCCGTCATTGTCTGCTTCCTCAGGAAAGGTGCTAAACTAGGTGAGGAGGGCACTCATTGCATATACGGATTTATAACACTCAGTGTACAGTCTGGCCATCTGACTGGCCAGTCAGTGTTTTGTATCAACTCTTACATTATCTGCTACAGCTCTTATGGTATCAAAATATTTTGGATTTTGTCATTGGTTTACAAACCTTTGGTCCAGAATTTGATGTAGGTAGTCATCGGGATAAAATATATGTTTAAAAATTCTGTTATTTTTGTCTATCAGTTTTGTGATCCAACTAATAAATAAAGAAGAACTATATTATTCAGTTTGTAATTTAACCAATCATTTTGGGGTTTTCTATCACTGAGGTCCAGAAAATCAATGTTACTCAACATTTATTATTAAGTCTTTAACATTATTATTTATAATTAAGTCTTATACTAATAGATGATGAGTAATTGTAAGTAGCATAAGTGACCTAGTTGTGTGCAGGTGGTCTCTCATTTACCGTCTTGATGACTTCAGGTCCAGAGACCTGGGCAATGGCTTCTGGGAAGACAGATGTGCTGCTGCTTCTCCTGAACAAACTGATGGAAGATGGGAACATCCTCTACAAGGTAGGGACACTCAGGGAATAGGTTCCTTGTACTGTGTCGGGCTCCCTGGGGAGGATCCTGGGCAGATTAGGTCCCCTGTACCTATGCATGTCTCCCTGGGGGGCTCCCTGAAAGAGTTGGACCCCAATACTCTTAGAGAAAATGGTTGGGGATCCTGGGCAGATTAGGTCCCTGTACCTATGCATGTCTCCCCTGGGGGGCTCCCTGAAAGAGTTGGACCCCAATACTCTTAGAGAAAATGGTTGGGGATCCTGGGCAGATTAGGTCTCCTGTACCTATGCATGTCTCCCTGGGGGTGCTCCCTGAAAGAGTTGGGACCCAATACTCTTAGAGAAAATGGTTGGGGATCCTGGGCAGATTAGGTCTCCTGTACCAATGCATGTCTCCCTGGGGGTGCTCCCTGAAAGAGTTGGACCCCAATACTCTTAGAGAAAATGGTCCTGGGCAGATTAGGAAAGATTAGGGTCTCCTGTACCTATGCATGTCTCCCTGGGGGAAAAAGAGTTGGACCCAATCTCCCTAGAGAGGGGTGCTCCCTGAAAGAGTTGGATGGGCAGATTAGGTCTCCTGTACCCATGCATGTCTCCATGGCTCCCTGAAAGAGTTGGACCCCAATACTCTTAGAGAAAATGGTTGGGGATCCTGGGCAGATTAGGTCTCCTGTACCTATGCATGTCTCCCTGGGGGTGCTCCCTGAAAGAGTTGGACCCAATACTCTCAGAGAAAATGGTTGGGGATCCTGGGCAGATGTGTTGGACCCCAATACTCTCAGAGAAAATGGTTGGGGATCCTGGGCAGATTAGGTCTCCTGTACCTATGCATGTGTCCCTGGGGTGCTCCCTGAAAGAGTTGGACCCCAATACTCTCAGAGAAAATGGTTGGGGATCCTGGGCAGATGTGTTGGACCCCAATACTCTCAGAGAAAATGGTTGGGGATCCTGGGCAGATGTGTTGGACCCAATACTCTCAGAGAAAATGGTTGGGGATCCTGGGCAGATGTGTTGGACCCCAATACTCTTAGAGACAATGGTTCCTAGTACTGTCTCCTTGGGGGGATCCTGGGCAGAATGGGTCTCTGGGTCCTTAGACATGTCTCTTTAGAAAGAGTGGGACCTCAATACCCCATGTTGGTCTCCCTGAGGGTGTTCCTGCAAAAGCGAGATCCCTGTACGTTTCATTTCCTGTGGCCAACTAGCCAACAAGACTGTAACTTTGATGAGTGTGTCCATGCTGATGTTGGTCTGTTGTTTAACACCGCACTCAGCAATATATAATAATAATAATAATAGTCCATTTATATTGCGCGTTTATCCATGCACATTGCATGCTCAAAGCGCTGACATATTACCCCTGGTCAACGAGTACAGAACACTCCATGTGGAGAATACAACCGGTCGCCTGTCAGGCGCTCAAGGTTCAAATTCAGACTACCATCGTATCATACCAGGTACCTAATTTTACTGCTGGGTGGACAGAGGCAAGTTTGAACAAACTCACTTGCCTAAGGTGAGATCACATGTGTCACATGTGCTTCGTTGTGGGGCAGGACTCAAATCCTAGAAACTTTCAGGAGTCAAGCTGCCAAACACGGTCACCCATCCGAGGACTGTCCGCGACCAACGTTGCTTAACTTCAACTGATTGTGACCTGAGCTCTACGCACAGGACCACACACCGCCACAATATGCCATCTGTATGGCGGTGATCTGTAAATAATCAAATCTGGATTAACAGCATGATCATCGATATTACACAATTCCGAAATGAGCCTGACCACCTGATCCCTTTAGTAACCACTAACAACAAGCCTGGGTTACTGAAGATCAAATCTAACCCTGATCTTCATGGTTATGTCAAAGACATTAATTGTTAGTGATGTTGACCAGTGTGAAGTATAGATGATTTTCAGACAGATGAGACAAAGCTTGAATCTGCAGCAGTGGTAGTGACTCACCCAATCAGTAATATAACACATGCAACTGTACTCCAGGCCATCCTCCTGAGGACTCCTCAGTATCAATGCTCAATACCTCATTGGCCTGATATACAACCTTTAACACAACAAAGGATCTGAACACATCTATTTGGTCATCGTTAATGTAATTGCTAGAGCTCTCTGTCTTGTAATATATCATATTTTTCAATTAATTTCACATTATACTGAACAATATTATTACAGAAAAATCGAATCAAGGAAGCAGCACAACGGTACCAGTATGCTCTGAAGAAATTCCCCTCGGGAGGGTCTCGGAGAAGAGGCTCGAACTTTCAAGGATCTGAAACTGAACTTTCTCCTCAATCTCTCACGCAGCAAGAGGAAGATGAATGTAAGCTTGAGACCTGCAATCCGTTTTTAAAGATTTTGTGTCAAGATGCTTTATTTAAAGGAAACAGGTTGTATACCGTAATCCAACGCCACGGCTCTCGGCACAGAGCAATCTTGCAAGTACTGTTACGGCTGTCTGTGAGAGATGCAACAGAGACGGTTTTGTACATGTGGGAGTTGGTTGATTGATCTGTTGGCAGGAAATACACATTAGGATTACAGACCTTGGATTGCAGTCTGAAGCTTCAGAATGTATAATAAATTGCTAGTGTTTCTGTGGCATTTGATTCACTAACTGTGCAATTATTTGGGCGTTAATATATTGATAAACCTTAAAGAAATAGGCCACTCCCACTCATGGAGTGCTTTCTCCTGATTGGCTAAAACTATAAAGGGCATGGGTTTGTTGGATCAATCACTCATTTCTTATTGATTTCTGTGAAATCATTATACATATTTATGGATTTACATAGCATTCACATGTGTACTTCCATAAATGCATAAAATCTCTTCAAGTCAATAAGAAAACCTCTTCAAAATAACATGCAACTGTTTATGAAAATATGAAACTTTCATGGATAATACCTTTTGTGTGCATTGTATTTTCTGTAAGTAAAACTTGTACATTTTTCTTTAATGCAGGACTTCACGTCAGCCATTGATCTTGCCACTAAAGCTCTGGATCTGAAGTCCAAGTGTTTTGAGGCCTACTACGCACGGGCACGGGCAAAGAGGGATGATAGGTAAGTGAAATCCAAGTGTTTTGAGGACGGGCACGGGCAAAGAGGGATGATAGGTAAGTGACGAGGATCAAGGTGTCAAATAATTCAACCCTCAGTGGTGTGTACTTAACTGATGTAGAGTCACCAATGTGTGTTGTGTATCAAAGTTCTTTGGACTTTTGCATGGAACATAGTTTTCATTTGGGAAAAGTTTTGATAAACACAAACATAGTTTTTAGATCCTGTTTTTATCTGCTGTCTGTAGGTGGATCTTGTTTAATGTTTCAGGCAATACGCGTCTGCTCAGCAAGACTTGATGGAAGCTCTGCGTCTGTCGCCAAACAATCGGGAGCTGCGCCGTCTGCTGATGAGGGTCAAAGACGAATGTAAGGAGCAGGCGAGATTTGACGGAGGTCAACTTCCTGTGGGAGAGATGGACAGAATATCGGAGGACGAGGATGACACAATATCTGTGACGGACAGACACCCAGAGGAGACAGCTTTATGATAGATGCTGATTTATCACAGAAGCAGAACTGTGATGATAGACAATGGAGTCACAACATGGATGGCTACATTTAGTGACATGTCATTGTTGAAGTGTCGCTGATTATCACAGCAGCAGAACTGTGATGATAGACGGTGGAGTCACAACATGGATGGCTTCAGTTGGTGACATGTCATTGTGTCACAGGTGATGAGACATTGTTGACATGGGTTATAACAAACAGACATGGATTTGTCATGACATGACATTGTCATGTTGAGGTGTTGACAGTGACAGTGGATGTGTCACAGGTGATGATATATCATTGTTAAAGTGTCGTCATCACACACGGAGATGGATGTATCGCCGTTGATGAGACTTCGTTGAAGTGTCATGGTGTTGAAATATAGACACAGATATGTGTCACAGTGTTGACATGAAATTGTTGTCATGGTGATGATCAACACAGTTATCAGTGTTCATCGCAAGACTGGTGGACATGATGGTGTGTCATGGCGTAGTCGTAGTGACAGCGATGAGGAGAATGGTAGACACTGACGTGTCACATTTCTGGCGGGAAAAACTTGGTACAACAATGTGAGGAAAGCAACTTACTGGAACAAAACATTCATAAACCAGGAATCTGCAGTTGCAAGAATTAAGTGACCTACATTGGTGTATTGCAATACGTTCTTGGCTGGAAATATTTCATGAGTGGATCATTGTCAGTAAATACATTGTACCTACAATTTCAAGATCAGCGGTGAGACTTAAAGTGAGAACAGTCTAAAATGGCTCTGTTTGACCTAAAAACTGAAGGTGAAGCTTATTGAATCAGAGGCCGTTTACATCTGTGAAGGGGTACTAGTGTTGCCCTTTAACTTCCTGTGTAGATGAAAGAGAGGCTGCTAAGTGTTTCCTGACAACTTATCAAGACAAGATGTTTAACCAAAGAGCTCTGACATGGAACCAACTGCCAGAGAATCAGAAACAAACCGGGACAGAGTCAAGGTGAAATAGTCTGACAGATCATCAGACATATAAATAATACGCAGACTTTGAACGCTGTTTTCAATTTCACCGTTAATCCGAGATACACAACCTGTAAGCTCTGCCTGCCTAGAAAATCTTCTTACTCAACAGACTCTAGGAGCAAGCACTTGTCTTTAAGACAAGTTTGATGGAATGTAATTTTGTTTTGTTGTTTCATTTCATCATCGTCCAAGAAAACCAGAGACAGTTCAGTTGTTGTCATGACGACGTGAATACAAGGATTACATGTGTTCAAGTGATGAGTGTTGATGCTGAGTCACAGCTAGTGTTGCAGAATGGAGCATGAGACTTAGGTGCAATCAGTGCATGGATGTTTCGACACATTTATTTTTGTATTGTTATTTGATGACTGGACCAGATGGAGTGTGACCAGGAAAGCTGGGACATTTGGAGGTTTCTTCGCAAAGTCAATATCTGCGAAGCATCTGCAATAGTCATGCTTTCCTATATAATGGGGTGCATACAGGTCAATAATGTTACTACAAATATACACGTAATAGTCGAACGCCACAAACATTTCAATGTGTGGTTTCCGGATAATGGATACGTTATATATTCAAGTTTGTTTACAATTCTAGGGATATTCTAGCAGTTGGACATAATATTTTTCTTCTGTATGGATTCATTAATTACTATATTTGAACAAACCTCCTCGTATACTCATCTCCGAGGAAGAGGTTTTATGAATAGCAAGTTGTCCATATATATCTTCACGTTCATCCAAAGTCAACATGTCAGAGATCTCATCTCAGATGTTCAAAGATGCTGCATTTATTGTTCCCTTGAATTCACTGTCTTCTTGGTCGTCTGGACAGTTTTGAGGGGAATCTTCCTGGGACTAGTTTTGGTCACATTATTGTCATATGATGGAACAGCCATTTGTCGTGACTATGTGTAAAGGGTAACACATTCTAGTTGCTTAATCTCAGAATCTTGCAAACAATTACTGTTATTGATGTCATCAAGACATATTATGCAGACTTTATGAGGTTGAATTTGGCTGAGCAAAGGATTGTGTTGTGAAGTCTGTGGGCCTGAGCATTAAGTCATCAGGCAAGGGAGACAACTCTATATGGCATATCTAACTGACCACCATAATACCATGTGATTGTTTCCAGTCTTCCATTTCATCAGCTGAAGAGACATGCCACTGGGAATATTGATATTTGCTTTGTCCAATAAAAAGGATTTTTCAAAATCATTTAAGTCAAAACCTGCTTCACACAAAATCTAATGAATATTAAATTTTGAAATTGATATCTCTTTTCAGCCTGAAAAAAATAATGAATATTGCAATCCAAAAGAATTTTTACAATCAGAATTCTGAATAATCTTAAAATCAATTTGCTTGTATAGCGTGAATGCTTGAGAATTAAACTTGTGATGTTATTTGTGAACCAATGTAACTGTTCATTCAGATGAGAATGAGAAAAGTGCTCTTTGTTTAAATTTATGGTGCTTTCAAACTATGTGGGTTGTGTGCTTCACTTCATTTCACAATCAGGATACTGAGTGCTTTTCAATAATTTTGTATCTTCATTGTTATGTGTAAATAATATCAGCAGTAACAGATTGTTAATATAGATAGTATTTAAGTTGTTTATTTATGTGAAATACAATCGGTATGTAAAAGTGTCAATATCAGTATACCAAACTAACTATGCATTCACTCACGCCAGCCTGGGGTGAACATCTAAAAAATTAATTTCGGGATGTTCTTAAAATTTTGTTATTTTTCAAAATATTGTCTTTATGATTTTGTGGGTACTTTTCAACAGTTATAGGAAAGAAGTTAAATAAAGATGTAAAATTAAAACATTTGGTCTAAGAACTAGGTATGTTAAAATTAGCATTATTATGCAAATAAGGCAACATTTTGCCTGTGGATTGTGTCAAAAGTGGAAGAGTAAAATGAAAATATAAGTTTAAGATGCAGAAAGATGTGTAGGACTTTTCCTATTCATCCCAGGCTGTGGTCGTGACGTTGGAAATCCTGTGTAGTTTTAAGTTACTGAGAATACTAATTTGACTTTCATGTAACCATGGTAACTGCCATATATTGTACAGTGTACAGTCCTTATAAGGCTCATGTACAGTTGTGTACAGCAACAAGTTACAGAACCTACATGTACATCTAGATTATTTTTTCTTAAGATTTGATATTTAATCTGATGTGCAAGACCCAATGAGAATATTGTGTGGTCATAGTTCCTGCTTGGTGCGTTGATGCAAGTTCATTACCGTGTTCGTAGTTGATTGTTATGTCATACAAAAACAGAAAGTGATATGTTCCTCTGTGAGATGAATTAAACTGTCTCTGGGGAAGGATGATCATATACAGAAGGATGATCATATGCAGAAGGATGATCATATGCAGAAGGATCTCAATGAGGAAATACCCTGTGCCAGAGTGTCAGAATTGGAACAGAGGAACCATTCTCATTCTGTACAAATCGGTGAAATTCTGAATTACCACCTGGCATATTGCATAGTGAGCATATTCATGGTATGCTCAGTTCAAGGTCATCAGATGACCTTTGAGTTTGAATACTTTGTAGACATGTCCTCTCCTCCCGAGATTCTCTGCCCCGAAGTGGTGTACTTGTGTTATGAGTCTCAAGGAGTCTGTTAAGTTTCTAATACTAAATTATTTGCAATGTGTGTTAGTATTGAAGGTGTAGTATCATGTACAGAAACAGATCAGGGCTTTCAATGTAGATCTGACAGTAGTCTGTACACTATCATTCCTCGTTTCTGTATCCTGCCAAACATCAATAAATCAGTGCAAACATACACCAGTCTTTGTTCCTGTCTTTAAGGGTAGCCGACAGTCAGATTTGCTCACTAACACAAAATCTAATACTTTTGCACAGTCGCATGAAATCGACAGATCAACTCTGATGATTTGTCTCATAATTTTGTACACCTGAATAACATTGTTTTAACGAATGATCATTATTTTATTGTCACCTTTCTTTATTTTTTACGAGGGGGAACCACTTGATAATAGAACAGCCAGGTGTGTGAGTTGCATGTGTGAAATTGAAATTTTACTAGACACGCTTGTTCTACCAGCAAGTGGTCCCCCTTGTAAAAAATAGGGAAATTTGACAACAAAATAATGATCGTTTGTTATACAACTTTTTTTTTATTCGGGTGTCCAAAATTATGGCATGACGAGCTGACACTTTAACCACTGGGCTACCCAACCGCCCAAAAACAATAGAAGAGCCATGACAAAGAAAGTAAGTTTATTGTCTTGAACCTGTTACACATTCTTCACTGGATGGTCCCTTTTATCAGTAGCACAGCGACTTGAGTCGTGTCATACTGGCCCACATGCACAAAGCTATCTTAGCACTAGGAGTTAGTAACCTTTATCCATTATTGAAAGTGAGTTGGACATGATAGCAGTTACATCACGGCAGTAAAGCAGGATTTACACAGTCACTGCTTTGGTAAAACACAAAAGATTGTGAGATTGACATAGTAGGACCATAATGAGGTCCATCTTGATTTGAACCTACAATGAAACCTGCTACAACAAAGGGGCGCAACTCTTCACATAAAAGCAGCCCCTCACACAACTCACAACTCATAGCACTATAATTGCAATGTGCAGTGGACCGTCTCTTTTTATAGATGCAAACCCTACCATTGACACTCTATTTATAACTCAATAGATGCATACTGGGGCGACCAGTTTCCACAGATCCATGGAATTCAGTGAGTACATATCCCACCTGGTTTTGTCAGTGGTAGAGTATAGCACCAAGCTGTTCAGAAGACATTACACCCCTGTCATCCGTGATATCAGATATGCAATTATTTGTGCAGGTTCCTCGCCAATGGAGTAGTTCAAAATACAATAAAGTTCAGTATGATAAAATTAATATGAGCATTTTTCAAACACCTGATCCATATTTGTTTCTTCACGCAAAAATATATGTTTAAAATATAAATTTACACATGCATATAATGTGCATTTTTATTGCACGAGACATGCCACAAGAATAACAAGGACTTGTAGCAAAAATAGTTTCCTTAAAATACATAGTTACTCTGACAGAATTGTTGCAATACCTGACATTACTCCTAGATCAAGTCTGAAGTTGAAAGAGCATGAAGACCTGAAACTTTCATGGATAAAATGTCTTGTAACAATGTTTCAGGCAACCTAGTGAGTGAGTATGGTTTTACGCCGCTTTTGGCAATATTCCAGCAATATCACGGCAGGGGACACCAGAAATGGGCTTCACACATTGTACCCATGTGGGGAGTCAAACCCGGGTCTTTGGTGTAACGAGCCAACGCTTTAACCACTAGGCTACCCCACACTTCCCCTCAGCAGCTAGTGAGAAGGTCTCCCCTGAAACTGTACCTGGAACATCACACCTCGGCTTCATCAACCAACTAGAGCGGCATAAACTAAACTCACTCACTCACTCATCAACCATGTGACACTCAACAAGTTTACATCAGAGGAAATGATGTTGGGATGTATTATGCAAACTTGACCCATTTTTCTAAATATCTAAATTCAACATGTTACCTCAATGTTTAATTGAGCAAATTTGAATACCTAATATACACTGAGCTACTAGAAACCCTAAACCTACTGATTGTTTTCTATGGGCAAATGTTACTCTATAAATAATCTCAGCAAAAAAACACAGACAAAAGCTACTTACATGATCAAAACAGGCTTAGCTCAACAAAATGCATGTGATGTCAAAATACTAGTTATGTATTACTAGAAAAACACATTACTAATCTACTTGGTCCAAACATGCAAGATTCCGTCTGGCAGTAGCAAGACATACTCTCCAGAAGCAGTGTTTGATTTGTTGTTTAACGCTGAAATCAGTCATTTTCCAGCTATATGACAGCAGTCTTAAATAATCAAATCTGGACCAGACAATTCAGTGATCAACAGCATGAGCATCCATCTACGCAACTGGGAACCGATGACATGTGTCCAACCAAGTCAGCAAGTCTAACCACCCGATCCCGTTAGTTGCTCTTTAAGACAAGCATTGGTTGCTGAAGACCAATTCTAAATCAGATCTTCATGGAACCAGTCTAGAAGCATGTATATTGCAGTACAATAAACCTACACTTCAATTCACAAACAGAAATTACACTTTGTATCAGACTTCAGGTGACCTTAAAAACACAGTGTTTTGGGACTACAATCAGCAAGCTACTACAAATAAAGATGACTTTCCTTGCAGAATAATGTGATTATCTCACCTCAAGACCTGACAGTGACCACACAAAGAGACCTGCACCACTCATGAAAATCTTAATTTTGTCAACTCACCTGAGCAATAGGCAAATTTTCTTGGTGCATCACGCAAGGCACATAGATAGGCCTCTGTAAGTCATGAACTCTTTAACAAGCCTGACATTTCTTTGGAATTCATCAGATTGTTATACAGAAAGATATTGATCCAACGAAGCATTTTAGATTCTCATTTCTATGATCCACAGAAGCCTCATGTACTAACACACAGACAAAATATCACCAATACATGGCATATACACCCTACACTGCTGTAACATTGCTGAAACAATGCTGATGTGATGTTAATCCATCATACACAGCGATTAAAATTACACAGCGCCGCCTGCCGTTCGACTGTCCGGAAAGGTCTATTTTCATCTCGACGGTCAAATTTCAAAAGTAGCCTGTCCGGTGGTCTGGATCATATTTTACCCTAAGAGTAAATATTTCATAATACCAGATAGGTTCTTTTGTCGTCAGTTTGAGGTGTTTAAGGTATTATGATAATTATGTTAAACTACTTACGACTGGACCGTTCATGTTACGATAACCAATCACAATCATGTACTTTCAGTTTACCTAAACTCGGTGCATTGCCTGCTAGTGCTATGTAGTTCATTGAGATGCCTACAAACAGTGAATGGAGCTTGAGCGAGTTGGAAATGGCAGTTTTTAATTGTTTAAAACCGGACAGGCAAGTAAGTTTGCATCCGGACTGGTAATTTTTAAGGTACCAGTCCGGCTGTCTGGCTTGGAATTTTGGGAGTTTTAAACACTGCATACACTCTACACTGCTGATGTGATGTTAATCTGTAACTCACTCACACTGAAACACTCACATCTATTTAGCACCTGGGCTTATAATGGCAATATTCTCAGGTGAGAACAGAGATATCCATTAATCATGACTATGCACTCCTTGACTGTCCAAAGTGTTTCCTGGCTATTCTATTACAGCCACACAATCAAACAACTGTCTTGATGACCATTAGAAGTTACTGATACGTTAGTTAGTCTTAACTGCAAAAATGAATGCCCACAGAAGAAACTCACGAAACAAGAACATAAACCTTTATAAACTTCTCACAAAATAATTTTTGAAACATAACCCCATTACGATCTAGTATTGGTTGGGGGTGAAACGGTATTCCATAATGGAATACAAATATTTGGTAGAATTTCATATGTCATTTTATTAACCTTATAAAACCTTTTCTAAAATGTCTAGAAATCGAATCATTTGTCAAAATCTATGCATTTCTTTGCTAGACGGATGCTATTTTCCCGGAAGTAAGTTCTCGAAACGAACCGAACCGAAGGCCTCGTACCGCAATATGTACCACACCGTGGTAAGAGCGTACCATTTCACCCGTAGTATTGGTGTGTTCTCAGATCTTTGTTCAGCTGCAGCAAGGACTTAGATATTAATGAGATCTGACTGAAAACATCATAAACTTTGTTCTTGATCAAATATCAAAAATGGGTTCTTGATCACCAGAATATGGCTAGCAGTACATTCAGACCCTGCCAAGCACTTCTGTAAGTTATCTCCACTACAACCAACCACTGATGAAAGATGACAACAGTATGTCGACATGCAAACATATTAACTATTCCACATGGTTCTACAGGACCCTAAAACACTCGCTGTACACACTAGACGGAACATCAGCACAACTAACAGTATGTGGACGTCAGTGAATGAAGATCTTACACCCCGACACTTCTGGGAAATACAGTCAAATCCCGATGAGTCGAATGCCGGTGTCTCGAATATTATGCATAACTCGAAGTACCTATCGGTCCTGACCATTCCCTGTTATAGTTGTCATCATTTGATTTCTGGTTACACGAATTCGACTCATAAATACACATGATGACTCGAGAAGAAAATTTGGTCGCATGAGATTCAAACAACACCAATCTTGTATACATAAGCCGAAGTCAGTCAATGAGAAGTTGATTGGTGTAGCAAACTGATCCAATTAACAAACCAGCGCGGCTCACACTTTTCCGCCTTTGGCGGGTGAGTTCAAAAGGCAGATTAGTGATTTTAGGAAAATCACTGTCTGTGCTAATCAGAATGGACTGATAAGGTGCCTCTATTAGTGACAGGGAAAACATTAGATAAACAAATGCTTTGGCGGAGGAATTAGGACTGGATCATCTTTTTTTTCTACCCTCATAGACATACCTATGTCTCGAATACATCAATAAGTCGAATTTATTACTTGGTCCCCAGAGATTCGACTCATCAGGATTTAACTGTAATAGGTGTGTGAGGGAAACTTGGTAATGCTAGTCAGTAAAGCAATTTCAACTATTTAATCATAGTAAATCTAGATTACCATCTAGTCTCTGAAATCAACATATTTTACAGAAAAAATGGTTCCTAAGGCCAGACCAATTTTGTTTCTTGTTTTACAGATCAGCCGGTTGTATTTTTTCAAGAATAAGAAAAAAAAAATTTTAAATATATTTTCCCCACTAGAAAAAATAAAACCCTAATGTTAAGATATATGGGAGCAAGACTTCGACTACGCAAGGCAGTTTGTTGGACACTAAAACACCGGCATCTGTTCTCAGAGACCTTAAACTGAATTATCTATCAATATTTGTGTTAGAAATCAGTGCTTCAAGCACCTCAGTGAGTGTGAACTTGAAAAACAATGCCTATGAAAAACTCATGTGGGTTTTTGCTTTGATTGGTGAATTTTTTCCCCCTCCTGCCTTTAGGTTTTCTGAGGACAAAAATCTGTAAAACAAGAAATAAAATTGGTCTGGCCTAATAAAATGCATAAAACATAAAGGAACCCAGAGACTTTCTTAATTTTCTGAAACTGTTGTAATCTAGACTTGCATGGGCTGTATTGGGTATATCTGTATGACAGTTTTCTTACATCGACTGTCACATACAGTTGCAGATGTATCATAACAGTTCATTTAAGATGACATGAAGCAATGAAGTATGACAATCCAAGTATGATGCAAGCATGATAAAAGTATGATTGCAAATACCAGTCAATCAGTGAATTTCCACAGCCAAGGCACAATTAGTGCTATGAGCGTACTTGTGTGGAGTTTGGCGTTATATAAATGGGTACATTATTGTGATTATCATTCAATCACCAAGTGAGTGAGTGAGTTTAGTTTTGGGCCACACTCAGCAATATTCCAGCTATATGGCGGAGGTCTGTAAATAATCGAGTCTGGACCAGACAATCAGCAGCAGTGATCAGCAGCATGAGCATCGATCTGCGTAATTGGGAACCAATGACATGTGGGTCAACCAAGTCAGTGAGTCTGACCACCTGATCCCATTAGTCGCCTCTTACTTCAATCACTGCAAGAATTAGTTAAGTTTAATGACTGAGGCTCCTGACGCGGTACACCCACTAAAACAATATAATAAATGTAAGAGGAGTGAAGCAGAGATGAAGATGAATTGTGCTGATTTATTTAATATGAAATAAAACAATGATGTATGACAATGCAGGTATCATGCAAGAATGATTGTAAATATGTAAATCAGTGAAAATCCATTACACAGAGTAGGTCCCATCCATATACCAGTATAGCAGCAAGATTTAGTTACATCTAATGAGGGTCCTTAAGGGGTACACCTAAATATATCTATTATAAACGAGTGACATTTGTTTTTGTTTCAACATAAAATATCTTCCTAAAACTACTTAAAACTAAATAAAAAATGACTATTTACTGTCATTATGCTAGAATGTCATGAAATGTATTTAGAGTACAAATTTTAATGGTCCCACCCATATATATACTGTACAAAAATAGTTAGGGATATATGTAAATTTTGAAATTATGAATATGATCTATTTATTCATTTACACACTAATACAATATCAATCATAAAAATACCACTATCCCTAACTTATTTTGTCCAGTATATATCAGAATCTTCTTTACTATGCCTTTCAACAAAGTTTTTTCAGATCAACCTACATGCAAGGAAAGCTTAAAGTGATACAAAGGTGTGATGTATGACACTTTGGACACCATGGAGCATGAATATATATCTGACACACCAAAGATCAAAATGAGTGCATGTCTCATTCAAAACCCTGATGCTTCATCACTGATTGTCTACTATGTAACTTGCATTATGTACAATGATGTTTGTTGTTTAATGCCTTCCCAGCAATATTCCAGCTATGTGGCGGGAATACAGTGACACACTAGATCCATGTTTGACTCCATAGCCTCGTTTTGGAAGAGACATAATCGTCTCTCTACCTTGCTATTATCTTGTAAACGTACAGGTTTTTCTTGCTTATGAGAGTAATTTGGACTAAAAAACAAAGCAGTAGTAAAGACTAGCTCCAGGGTATTTATGAAAATAGGACACAGATATAATCCACTGGATATTCAAAGACTGCTACTCTAGCTTGCTGTGTTTCTAGTCAATATGGTCAGGTCAACGTGTGATGTAAGTAGCCTAACAAACCAGTTAAAATGGAGACCTCTAAGTTGATGTAGCGGGTAAGTTTTACTCCATCAAACTTGTGACCCTAATCACTTCAGTGCGGGTTTTGTAACATGGTGATTTGGAGAAACGGTAATTTCAGCAGCATTTGAGACAACGTGGTCCTATCTCTTGGTAATATTGCACAGTGCCATTACTTGGGAAACTCAAATCTATCCAGTCATGTGTTCAATAACATCAATTATGCTGTATTCGTTGCACAGGATGGAAAACACTTCAATGAACATGGTAAAGAAAGTTACACTCAGTAAGCTTAAACCAAACATAAATATCAGCCATTGATACCATAGACTGCAAACATAATCGTTGTACAATACATGAAATAGTTACTTTTTGTTCATTAATAATGTTGTTCTAATCAGATTTACTGATTATTATAAATAAGAGATTTCTTAAAGAAAATATGTTTCAATGACACAGCCAATGAATTAAACAGATCGAATAACAAAGGGGACACAACTCTGCTTTCAAATTATCTCCCCTTGGACCAACTGTACAGTTATTTCTGGTTGGCCATGCTGATTAGCTCACTCGCACCATGTGTAGTTCGTGACAAGCACTTCTTTCTTTAAGTCCAAATCTTGAAACATATTTACATGCACTGTTCTTATGGCTCCAGAATATTCTGAAACCTAAATGATAGAGTGATTTAAAAATATTGAGCGCTTTGATGTATCTCTCCTTGGTGGGTTCTTTGTCTATGAGCTGTGGGTTGAACACAGAACATGTCTCACAGCCATGGAGCTCTATGAGGAACTGCCTGACATCGGACAATGACTGTGTGGACAATATCTCAGGAAGCACTTGCCATTCCCATTCTTCTATATCCAACTTAAGAATATCCAGTGGCCTCTGGAACAAACAAGAAGAGGATTAGCAATGCTCTGAGAAGCACCCTGAACAACTTTCAAAATAATCTGTAGGTAAACCTTTTAATTGTGTCATAAAAAAATTGAAAATGTATGTTTATTTCACTTGTTGCCCAGTCTTCTAGCTGTAGAGTTGCTTGAGCTTGCCAGAAAACTGTGACTTTAGAATGAATCATGGTTTCCATGGTTATCTTTCTAGGTCTGGCAGCACCAACCTGTGTTTGTTGCTTCCAACAAAGAGATAAATGTCTACTACATCTGTCACTTCAGGCTCCCTTTCTACCAAGTATGACATAACTGAAATACAGTTTATGGTTGCTTTAAAACATCACTCACTCACCCATTCACCAATCAGGCTCCCTTCCTACCAAAGACATAACTGAAATACAGTTTACATAACTGAAATACACTCACTTCTAACTGGTTGCAACTGCCTAAACATACTCACTCACTCACTCACAACTGCCCAAACACTCACTCACTCACTCACTCACTCAACTGCCAAAACACGCACTCACTCAATCACCCAAGCACTCACTCACCCAAATCACCCACTCACTCACTCACTCACTCACTCACCAACCACCCAAGCACTCACTCATGGACTCAACCACCCAAACAAACACTCAACTGCACAAACACTAAACCACTTGGACTCAACCACCCAAACAAACACTCAACTGCACAAACTCTTAACCACCCAAACACTCACTCACCAGTCAGACTTTCTTCCTACCTAGACACAACTGAAATACAGTTCACTTACTCACTCACTAACCCAGTCCACTCACTCACTCCAACTGCAGATTCCTCACCTCTTGATGACCCAGCTCATGTTTAATGGACTCCAGCGTCCCCACCTTCCAGCCACTGTTTGTCTCTCCATTGAAATCAGCAAGGCCTTTTTGGTGGAAGTGAACCTTGCTCTCTCGCTCATGATCACCTTGCTTCATGCTGAAGAAAACATAATCAGCTTAATTTTATAATAAATCATTAACAACAATTCACATGTATTTAGCACACAAAATCCACACCCCAAAGCATGCTCAATGAAAAGTGGTGGCCATCTTGGATTTTTGAGTGGCCAACATAATTTTCTGAACAGGGAGCCCATGGTGAGCAATCATGCCAATTTTGGTGCTTGTATCACAACGTGAACGATTCGGCCTATTTTGGTCTGTTATCCGCCCTACTATTTACCCCAATCAATTGATCAGTCTGCTGTAGTTTTATTCTCAACTCCCTGAATAATACACAGCCCAAGCTACCTGTGACGTGCTCGAAGGTTAAAAGTCACATAACCATCGTATCCTTACGCATACCCATTCACTGCAGGGTGGAGGTACATTGATAGCACAGTCAGCTGACAATTCGTCATTTCATGTCATGTCATTCCATGTCATGACAGCTTTTAACTATAAAGTCTGAATCAAAGAAATTAGCCGTTGAAATCTTGAACAACCATCAGCACCACTGACATGAAATCAAGTCACCAAGCCTCATTCCCTGGTGGGGGAGGGTGGAGGGGTGTCTTTACATTGCAGATGCTTTCCTCCATAAAAATCATCGTTATTTTAATTGTAGAACGCGAAGATATTCTCAATCATTTTTACCGAGCGCGATTATGACGTGGAATTCATTGCCTGATGGAGCTGTTAAAGCTATTTCCCTGAATCAATTTAAAACCATGATAAACACAACAGAAACTCACAATTACTTTGATTTGAATTTTGGAACTAGATTTTGTCAAATCATTCATTGTCGCCTCAAGCTCGTCTGTAGTGATCTAAACGCAGACAGATATAATCGGCATATATTGGACACACCCAGGTGCTCATGTGGTTATTATAACAAAGACGTTATTCACAACCTTTTTACATGTCGGAACTATCAAAATTTAAGAACAACATGTATTTTTATATTCAAGGATATGATGTTAAAACTACTTTATACGGTAATGGCGCATTGAATAACTCAACTAATAGTGACATTCTTAACTCATTACACCAGTTCATTTCTAAAAGTAACCGCTTCCAGTGATTATCCCCTCAACATATATATTCAGTGTAAGAAAAAATTTATATAACATGATTTTCTGCGGCAGTCCATTTTGTTGCTAGGCATAACCAACACCAGAACGAACATATTTGTTACTCAATCATATATTTGTTATTGTATTATTCTTTTGTTGTCAAACTATTTCATTATGTATCCAGCTATTAATTTTGAACAATGTACTGGAGAGGCGTTAATATAAGCCACTAGGCTTGTTCGCCTATCCAGGTTTCTGCTTTGGCAAAATAAAAATATGTTTAAACCAAAATCATCATCACTCCATTAGCCATAAATTACGAAGGGTCTCTAGTATATATAAAAGCTAATAATATTTAAAAGAAAGATTAGCGGAACTAGATAACATAGTTATCACAGTTATTTACATATATATCTATTATGAAATCTGACATCCATTAATTTTCTGTAAAAGGGCCAGAATATGAATTATCTGCAAATGAACCTCTGACACCGATAGTGGTAGTGTTTTTATCCATGCAAAGGGCCTATTACACACATACATGGCGTTATTATTTTACACTTTTACATTTTTATTATTATATGGATATTTATATAGCGCTATAGTCCATCCCATGTACATGCATGGTCAAAGCGCTTTATTTTCCCCTCGATCACTGGATGTCAATATCAACAGCACATCGTATTTTTCAATCTCAACTCCCTGAGGATCATACATCTCATGCAGCCACTAGGTGCAACAAGTTAATGTGGCTTTCCCATCCTTATGAGGTACCCATTCACAGCTGGGTGGACTGGGACACATAGTCACAGGACTTTGTCAAAGTTTTACTGCACGTTGCTGTACCCGCAACTAGGTGTTTGCACGTATTCATGTGGCCACCATCGGATTTGTGGGTTATTTAAGTGCACAGGGTTGTGTACTGTACACTATCGGTTGTGGCAACACTGAAAGAGTCTGCACACAAAGTTGACTCCAAGGTTTTTACACCCGGTCACAGGTGGGCTCATTCCCGGCACCCTAAACTCGCTGGATCACTACCCTTGCACCTTAGACAGCTTGGCCTTGACAAGTGAGTATTTATAAGCTGTTTAAATGAGTGTCTTGTCAAAAAATATATTTTTCAATGTTTAAATAAGTTGTCCTGAAAGCCTATGCATATTCTACAATTTGAATGTCTTTATTCAACTGTCCATCTACTATTGACTGATACCCTGATTGCTTGTTTACAGTGTATGGACTATGGTCAAAAGACACCTCTAAAATCAAATGGAGTTAAAATTTGCAAATTATTAACTTACCTTGGGTCAAAGGAATGCACCTCACACTGGTATTTACGAGCTGCAGCATCATCAAAGCTAAAGTCATTTCCAACACTGCAACAACATCAACACGCTTTATACAATAAATAAACAAATCACAATAGACCCCATCTGATTGAAACAATTGTACTGTTGACTTAAAATTTAATTGTAAATGTTAATTTACCCTGTTTAATCTGTATATTACTACTGATAATAGTCACTCAGCTGTTGAACAAAGCATGCCACATCTTTCACTTACCCAAAGGAATAAACTAAACACTTTGACTTCGGGCACAAACATCTCATCGGCGCATATCTCCCACCCTCCGTCGGTGACACGACCCAGGCGGACAACATCGTGACATTCATACTGTACCGTCATCACATAGCTGGAGAAAACAAAGTAACAAACCTGATTTCATATCCAACGAGGTGAAATGGGTTTACTGCACTTACATAGTCAGGTCAAGAGGTTTGTTGTACAAAAGGTGAGTGAGTTAGTTTAGTTTTATGCCTCACTCAGCAATATTCCATCTATGTGGCAGCGGTCTGTAAATAATCGAGTCTGGACCAGAGAAACAGTGGTCAAACAAATTTGACATGTTGAAATCTAAAATGATCACCTCCTTCCAACAGCCACACCGCAGACTACACAAAACTGTGGTTGTTGGACGAAAATGTTCAAATTTTAGACTGGCACAGCTACAGCCCAGACCTTAACCCTATTGAGAATGTGTGGGGACTAATGAAGGACAGAACAAACCAAAACAGACTTAGAACAGACGATATGAAGAAAGAAGTGGTCGAATATTGGGATACACTGTCACATGAACTTTAATCGGTAGTGTAATTAGGCGCATTCAGTCGTGTATTTCAGGGTCTCACAAAGAAGAGAATCATATCTCAACATATTCATTTAAGCGAGTGAGTTTAGTTTTACGCCGCATTCAGCAATATTCCAGCTATATGGTGGCGGTCTGTAAATAATCGAGTCTGGACTAGACAATCCAGTGATCAACAGCATGAGCATCGATCTGCGTAATTGGGAACCGACGACATGTGTCAACCAAGTCAGCGAGCCTGACCAGCCGATCCCGTTAGTCGCCTCTTACGACAAGCATGGGTTGCTGAAGACCTATTCTACCCTGGATCTTCACGGGTCTAATCATTTAAGTAAAACTTCTATAGTTTATACACATGTGTTAGATATTTGTCAAAACTTTCTCAATAATTTCTGGGAATACTATACTATGGACCCCTTATTTTGTTGGTCAACATAAAACCCTGCAGGTTAACACCAAGTACAATCCTTTAACATCTGTAGATGAGACATGGCCAGGGATCAAAACAAAGACCTTCTGCTCTCCAGGCAGACACTCTACCCACAGGACCATGTAGATCTTATTGTAATGAGACATGTTAGTGAGTTTAGTTAGTTTTACGCCGCTTTTAGCAATATTCCAGCAATATCACAGCTGGGGACACCAGAAATGGGCTTCACATTGTGCCCATGTAGGGAATCTGGTTTTCGACGTGACGAGCTAACGCTTTAACCACAAGGCTACCCCACTGCCCCAATGAGACACGTTAAGAACCAATGGCAGTAATGAACTGTGCTTACATTGATGAGGAAGTACATATGTAACACCTGACAAACAAAAGCTGTAACTACCAGGCTATACCACAGCCCCCTGACCACCTGTAACGATGTTCTCTCTCTCACCTGTGATACAACTCCGAGAGATCAGCATAACTCAGGTTAGCAACCATTGCTCTAGACAGACTTGTCAGCCTTTCTGTTGGGGACAGATCCTCTGGAAGATGTGAAATCTGAGAACAAAAAAATACTTCACAAATAGTACCCTAATATAGATGTTGGGTATTAAGCACTGGGAAGCATGTTGTCATCCAACAGATGAAATACAAGAAATAGCTGGTCGTTGACATGATGGGAAAGGCTACATTTTCCCAACAGAAAGCCAAAATGTTCATGATCATCATCCAAAAAGAAGACTGAGTATTGTTTTACGCCGCTTTTAGCAATATTCCAGCAACATCACGGCGGGGGACACCAGAAATGGGCTTCACACATTGTACCCATGTGGGGATTCGAACCCGGGTCTTCAGCGTAACGAGCCAACGCTTTAACCATTAGGCTACCCCACCGCAACCCCGAAAAGAAAGAAAGATGGATTACCCTCATGCCTCACAACTTGACTTGAATATCAACACACTGCACTTTTGTTGAGACTGTATAAACAGCTTATCAGTTAGAACTCAAAGGTTCACTCAGTGTCAGATAGGCCTACTAATCACCACCAATACCCTGCTGACCGGTCATTAATCCGGATTAGCAGACCTTGTCTCATGACAAGTCACGTGGGACACTGTTTCACGGTCAGCAGAAGATCTTAGCATTCGTGCGGAAAGTGAGTAAATTTTGTGTCGATTTAGCGGGTTGGTTTGTAAAATTTACCGTCCAAAAAACAGAAACTGCACATTCGTTATAGACAGTCACTTTTATAACGTAAGAGATTGGACTTTTTTAAATGAAAATTGAGGTTTCCGGATATCTGGGGTCCTGGTAACCGGGGTCTCACTGTATAGCTGAAATATTGTTAAGTACAGCAAAAAGCACCAAACAAACCATCAGTGGTAAAAAAGTTTAAAATGTCTGTTTTTAAGTAATGCTTTAGTCATTTTAGTTAATAGTCAAGTCATAAATTATGTAAATAAATTATGAAGTAACTTTCATGAGTGATTAAACAAGGTAAAGAAGTATTTAATCTAAAAGCTAATATCTCAAAGTTGTCATATTAGACAGCAGGGTGTATCCTGTTCATATTGAAATGTGGTTGTCTCCCCTTGTCTATCCACTGTGATGGAGTGAGTGAGTGAGTTTTACTGACTGACTGAGTTTGGTTTTACGCCGCTTTTAGCAATATTCCAGCAACATCACGGCGGGGGACACCAGTAATTGGGCTTCACACATTGTGCCCATGTGGGGATTCGAACCCGGGTCTTCGGCGTGACGAGCCAACGCTTTAACCATTAGGCTACCCCACCACCCCAGTTTCGTTTTACACCACTTTTAAGAATATTCCAGCAATATCATAGCTGGGTATACAAGAAATAGGCTTCACACACTGTACCCAAGAGGGGAATCGAACCCATGTCTTTAGTGTGACAAGTGAATGCTTCAACCACTAGGCTACACCCATCAATCCCACTGTGAAGGAAGGTCTACATGTTTTAAAGATCACATAAATCAATTTTTAATGAGCTCTGTTATTCAAACCAATTGAAGATAGTAAACACATTTGCTTGTAGATAACTGAAGTGCATTCTACCGATATAGCGATTCATGCAGAAGTGAAAATGTGCATTAGTGATTAGTATGATAAATCCTCATTGAAATGCTTAGTTCTGGAACTTTTCATTTATCACAGTCATATGTATGACATCATGCCCAATGGAAGTACATCATGGTATCATCAGACTTAGACAAATCAAAACATCTAACATGCAACTGAAACATTCCAAAAATGAATCTGACTATGGACCAAAATTTGAAAGGAATAATTCTCACTCTTGAACATTCTTGTGGTACTGGGACTACAGAAAGTTGATACATTAAACTAGGCCCTTAAAAGTCTAAATGCAAAAGAGTAAAATACTAAAGTTATGTTTTAATGTTTAAGGGTGAAATGGTTACTTTTTGTCAAAAGAACTTTGAAATTTTAGTTGCAGTATTTTGGTTATTTTACAGCAGACTTTTCATACTTTTTACTACAGAATATATCTGACACTGGTTCATTGTACCAAAATTAACACCTCATGAAATGACCTTCTTGAGAAACTAATTTAGACCTACTCTTACATGATATGTGAATTTAGTGACATTTTCTGAATTATAAACATATGAACCTCTTGTCAGAAATTAAATATGCTGAATACTTTCTACAAACTTCTTTGAGAAGCGTTTAGAAGTTGGAGCAGTAAAGAAGGATAAAAATATATGGATGAACTTGCTTGATAACGGTGTTAGAACCTACATCGAAACGTTGCTCTCACAGCAATAAAGAACATGTTCATCCATATATTGTTATCCTTCCTTACTTTATACAAAAACGTACAAACATGTCATAAAAAACTGCAACATTGTTGCTTTTCCTACCTTTGCCTTTTTCTGAATCTGATTGTCCTCTTGTCGTTGAGGACCAGGTTCTGAAAAACGATGTCAATATTTTGGTACCACACACACACCACTCTCTTAAAAGACACATGAACATACCTGGGTGAGTGAGTGAGTGTAGTTTTACGCCGCTTTTAGCACTATTGCAGCAATATCATGACGGCGGACACCGGGGACACCAGAAATGGGCTTCACAGTCACACATTGCACCCATGTAGGAGATCGAACCCGGTCTTCGGCGTGACGAGCGAACGCTTTAACCGCTAGGCTACCCCACCACCCCATACCGGGGTGAAAAACTCATGGAACCAATCAAAAGTTAAACTGAGTCAAAGAAACCAACAAGGGAAGAGATTACGGAACATTTTACGAAATCAGCCATTACTCAGTGGAAACCTAAATACAGCAAATTGTTAACAATAAACACACTCAAAATGCTAGATGTATAAAATGAATAGGTTTCTGATAACAGTTGTAAAATGCAATTAATGATTCCTTTGATATTTTGAATAAACATGAAGTTCACTTTTAGTTAGACCAAATGTTCTCCCTGATATTTTCCCCCATGATTGAGTGTGTTTTGTTTTATGCCGCTTTAAGCAATATTCCAGCAATATCACAGCGGGGGACACCAGAAATGGGCCTCACACAATGTACCCATGTGGGAATCGAACCCAGGTCTTCGGCGTGACGAACGAACGCTTTAACCACTAGGCTACCCCACTGCCCCGTTTTCCCTCATGGTGAATGCAGAATTTAAACAACCAAACCACAACAATCTCAAGTCTCATGCTGGGATTCAAACCACTGACCACATGCTTATCCACAACACTGATAGGGGTAGCCTGGATGAACCCATAGCTATAAACATTCTCAGAATTAAGACTTGTTTCTAAGTGTAGTAAATATTGAGAATCTTCCAATAGTTACTCTTAACTCTGAAAATTTTCTTAGTGAGATAAGAGTACTCTTTAAGAAACTTCTGAGAAGTTTTGTACATATAACCTCCAGTAAGCAATATATAAGTCCTAAGATCAATCCCTCTTTGTTTGTTTAAGTTTAATAAATTTCTCGTCTGTAAACTTCTGCAAATATGGGTTCTTACACTGATGCATTAGGGCAGTGGGGTAGCTTAGTGGTTAAAGCTTCCAATGTCACACCGAAGACCCGGGTTCGATTCCCCACATGGGTACAATCTCTGAAGCCCATTTCGCAGTGACATTGCTAGAATATTGTTAAAATCATACTCACTCACTCACTCACTCGACTGATCAGGTTAATCCTGTCAGCCAGTTTGAAGAGAAAAATGTCGAATTTAGATGACACCCCATCCTGGTGCACAGTCTCCAAGTCTCTCTAATATAAGTTGTACAAACAATCCATGTCCACTAAACATTGTTTAACATGTTAAATGCAATGTTATTTGACTGTTAAGAAACTGGCAATATATCATGATGAGCCTGAACACCTCAGTCAGAGTAACAAACCTTGCTACCCGTGAAGATCCTGGTTAGAATTGATCTTCAGTAACCCATGCTTGTCGTAAGGCGCGACTAACGGGATCGGGTGGTCAGTCTCACTGACTTAGTTGACACATGTCATCATAACCCAAATGTGTAGATCGATGCTCATGCTGTTGATCACCGGATTGTTTGGTCCAGACTCAATTATTTACAGTCCGCCGCCATACACCGGTACTGATGATATAGCTGGAATATTGCTGAGTGCAGTGTAAAATACTTAACCCACCCACTCACTCAACAAACCTTGCTCCATGAGATTGACCAGTGCAGGTTTATCTTCAGGTACCCATAATCCTCTCTGTTCGTGGGCAAGCATCACTCTATCGACAGCCATGTGGTCAAACGATTGACTTTTCTGAAAAGATAGAGGCCATGTGAGCTGAGCAAATGGAACTATTTAAGACTGACTGACTGAGTTTGGTTTTACGCCGCTTTTAGCAATATTCCAGCAACATCACGGCGGGGGACACCAGAAAGGAACTATTTAAGAAGCAATAAAGGTGAAAAACACTGCTGGATATCTTCAAGTGGTCAGGAGAATATGAAAGCACAAGGCTCAGGCTCACTGACTTGGTTGACATGTCATTGTATCCCATTGAGTAGGTCGATGCTCATGCTGTTGATCACTGTACTGTCTGGTCCAGACTTGATTATTTACAGACTGCTGCCATACAGCTAGAATATTGCTGAATGCAGCGTTGAACAACAAACAAACTAAACAAGCATTCCTAGTATGACAATAAATGTATGTCCATGTGAAAAATTCATATAAAGGTACTGGTACCTGGTAGATTCCCTTAATTACTTCTTCACTTAATTACTTTCCTTAATTACTTCATTACTAATCATTTATGAAGAAATGAAATTTTGGTTTGAACACTACATGATAGTTTGATACACAGAGCCGTAACCTAAATTCGTGGATAACCTTGATTCGTGGATTGCCGTAATTATCATGCTATTTTGTAAATTATGTCTCACAAAGCAGTACTTTTGTTGCACACACATTGCCATGTCTCGCTGAGAAAAATGTTCCAAATCTCTGCATTACACGTAAATGCACTAATCTAATTGTCCAGCACTAAGATAACTGTACAGCACTAATCTAACTGTACAGCACTAAGACTGACTGACTGCCTGAGTTTGGTTTTACGCCGCTTTTAGCAATATTCCAGCAACATCACGGCGGGGGACACCAGAAATGGGCTTCACACATTGTACCCATGTGGGGATTCGAACCTGGGTCTTCGGAGTGACGAACCAACGCTTTAACCATTGGGCTACCCCACCGCACCACAGCACTAAGAAAAATAGCCCAAGATCACTCATGCCACTATACGCATTTTGTTTTTAACCATTAGCAACAACCTTCTCACATCAGCCTGCTTTCCAGGTGTCACTAACTGCAACGGTCTGTCGAACATAGTGATATATTGTAACAGACTACGTAATCCATGAAACAAGGTGATGTTACATTTTGTGTGCACATGAATGGGTGATGATTGCAAATGACTTCGGTAAACAAACGTTTCATTCACGAGTGGAATATTAGGCATTTTCAGTTTGCTGAATCAAGGAATAAAATAATCAGTGGATATACAAAATGAAATCGTGCATTTAAAATATGATTTTTGACGCACTTCCCTTATATCCATGAATCATGGTTATGCGAGAGTAACACACTGAAGAATTCTTTTTGTTAAAAATGACCAAGTTATTAATCATACAAGCCGATTTCTCTGAAAACATGGTGAAAAGACAGTGGTCCGGCGTTGACACCATGAAACAAGTGTCCTCTTTCTTCAGACACAAGCTGCCGCATCAACTAAACACTGTCGACGAGGTAACAGCTGGTTAATCAGGGCTGTCGCAGATGTCGAGACTAAAGATACTGATGAGTACTCATCAAAAGTCGATTTGTGGTTATGACAAGAACTGAAGAGATGCTGGTACATCAGTTGTACTCAAAGCACAAATAAACCTATAATATATGGCAACAAACTTACAAACGAGACCGAAACCGGATTTGTTACACCATATTATACCTAGTTTAGAGTAGTTACATATACTACACGGTCCTGTGACCCACTATCCAGATTGTTTTTGCTTACCGTTTCAATATCTCGTCCATTGAAATGGATTATCAACAAGACACAGGCAGTGGTAAGGGCAACAGTGCATAAATAGACTGTAATCGCCTTAGTTTTTAGTCTAACTCGCATTTTTAGAGGCTTCAATTTCAGTCACACATCTGTCAAACCCTCCTTGCGGAAATCACAATGGCCATGTGTACAATTTACAAACATACTATTTGGAAACGACTTATTACATATAGAAGTTATTTGTTTTGCGTTTTGTCTCCTATGAATATTATTATGTTCATTTAAATACCCTCTTCACTTATAATTACAAATAATATACTATACCATCGTAATCTGCGAATGATTGCGGATTGTAAACTCATGTTTGGTCAAGAGTAAACAATTCCTGTTACTAGTTGTTAGTATACTACTATGTTGACAAACCGGTGCCCCGAGCTTAGTTCAAATTTAGGTTGTACGTATGTGAACTTATTGTCAATAATATCCCTTAGAGTGCTGGGAACAAGGTAGCTAATTATTGGATGGCATAAAAAATATATTCAGTGGGCCATTCAATGCTATAGCCTTGGCACGTGAAATATTTCCGGGGTCATTTTTAGGGGATCGGGTCGGATAGCCCTACGAATTTTAATAAACACTATGAAACTCTGTGCATCTACCCACAGGGGCTTGTATTGCTGAAAATAATACGTCCTGGGTCCTACAAGCGTACATTGATATCCATATACATATAAAGAAGGAAAGGGATGTAACGCACACAAACTTGTCAAACACCCCCCTCTCGTAAATGGGCGAAATCTGGTGGGAAATTGTGAAAAACACAGCCGGGATTCTTACTGTTTTACCTGCCATACACGACTTTATTGGAAAATTAGCGGTATCAGTGATCGAGGCCACCATGTTTGTCCTTCACCTTCAATAGACTCGCACCAACGACAAGCTACTCTATTTAGGAAATAAAGTTCGCTCTACCCCAATGTGTCTTGTAATAAAGTATAGTTTTGCCCTTAACTATTATAATTAAAGCACGAGGACGAACTTTATTTCCTAAATATCGCGCCACGAAATAAAAAATAATAGTGGTATTTTATTTTTAACCAATCAGAGTAGTAGCTCGTCGTTGGTGCGAGTCTATTGAAGGTGAAGGACAAACATGGTGGCCTCGATCTCGATACCGCTAATTCCAATAAAAGTCGTGTATGGCAGGTAAAATCAGTAACTCATTTCATTTGAGATGTTGTAATGCGAAAGCGGAATATCTAGCGATTACGAAAAGGTTATGTCTTTTCGCCGATTGCGTGTTTTCCATTGAAATACTTAGTATTTCTTCGCCGAGCGATGATTTTCTAGCGAGGCTTTTTGGCGTATAAATGAAAAGTTGTCTTTTCGAGTTCCAAGCAAAGTTACTCGGTCAATAGTGCACCGATTTTGACAATTTTGGATTTAATCGAAAGGGAATTCATCTGGCTTTATTTCAGTAAGAATCCCGGCTGTGTTTTTCACAATGTCCCACCCAGATTTCGCCCCTTTACGAGAGGGGGCTGTTTGACAAGTTTGTGTGCGTTACATCCCTTTCCTTCTTTATATGACTATGGATATCAGTGTACGCTTGTAGGACCCAGGACGTATTATTTTCTGCAATACAAGCCCCTGTGCATCTACCAACATACAAAGATGGTTTGGTCACATGATTAGTCTCCTTGGTCATTCCATTTATTTGTATGAGTACTTAACTCCTAGATAAATTTCTAGTTGCTCGTTTGAGCAAGAACTACAGTAGTCCGTAATTGAAAAATTAAGATGTACTTCTGCTTTCTTGGTCATATTTCTCAGTTACTGGTAATCGTTGTCATATCTCTTTAATTTTCAACTGTGGTTATTTATTAAAGATTAGATCTAAATATTTGGTTTGCATAAAAGTAGTTGCTTTAGATATAATAATAGTACTGCAGTACATGCAACTACAGTAAATTTTCTCAGAAACACAAAGAAAGGTGTCATGTTTTGAAAAAGGTTTAATATCTATTCAATGTGCGCAACATAATTTCATATGCCTAAAAATATACTTTGAAATAAAACAATTTTAGGGGGTTATATTAAGCCAAGAGAATCTTCGATTTTAAGGAAGTGAAGGAATGTAGACTTATCAAAAGTACTGGGGACATGCTGGGGAAGTTTCGGATATTTTTGTGTTTTGTTTTTGCTCTTGCAGTTCCTACATATATTATATATCTATCCATGTAAACTTAGGATGGTAATAGAAGGGTGCAATACGGATGATGTTGTCAAATTCCGTATTGCACCCCAGATTCCGTACTGAACCCCTGCCGGTTCTACTGATTTGTTTTATTAAGTTACAAGATAAGAGTGTATATAATAAATATAGAGCGTCATACTAGTGCATTTCCAAGGATGTTTTGTATTGAACTCTAAGATGTCATGGGAGCAGAGAAACAACTCGTATCCCAATTGCATAGATTGATGCTCATGCTGCTGATCACTGGATTGTCTGGTCCAGACTTGATTATTTGCAGACAGCCGCCATATAGCTGGAATATTGCTGAATGTGGCGTAAAAATAAACTCCCTGTCATGAATTTGTTTGCAGATCTTCACATGGTCTAGTAGATAGTGCATTTACTCGGAGAGCTGAAGACTGGTGGTTTGATCCCCAGCCACACCCAAAGACCTTAAATAATGACTTTTAATGTTTCCCTGCCTGATGCAAGGGTGTTTAATGTCACACTTAAGAATATGTCACTCATATGAGGACGTGCATGGGTGTGTATTTGTGGCTGCTTGTACTAGCCCATCCTCGTTAACCTCCTGGGTATACGTTACAATAACTCTCCACTATACCCTGGATGCATTCACAGCTTGGCCCAATGATTTTATTACCTCCCTTTGCTGATCGTACCATATACCCTGGAGATTATCAAGGATGGTACTAGCCCAGACTTAAGCTGGTTTTATAGTGCTAGTTTACTGAGATACCATCCCGCAGTGAAGCATGAATATCCTACTCAGACACATTATACTGACTCCGAGGCAACCAGACCTTGTTGTACCCATCAATGCTGAGCGCGAGGCAGGGACCAACAAGTACCATATTATACTGTCTTTTGGTATGACGAGCACGGGATTGAACCCATGACCTTCTGCTCTCTGAATAGACGCTCTAACCACTACACCATGGAGGCGGTCTTTTATCCACGTGAGGAATCGAACCCAGACCTTCAGGGTTATGAGCACGTATCTTCTCTACCCCTGATACTGAAAAAAAGTAACTCACACAGCATGGCCAATTTTTACAACTAAAGATTAAATTGCGTCAAATATATGTATATCCTTCCAGCAGAAAAAAAGAAATGAGTCAATATATGTAACAATTTTAATCTATACAGCATATAGTTTGTATCAATGTGACGACACACACAGATGAAGCACTTTTGTAGCATAAATGAAAAAGCCAAACATATGGTAAAAGTGATATGAACATAGATATGGCAAATAGTTATTACTATTATAGGATATTTATAGAGCGCACATATCCAAACAACTAGAGAATGCTCAAGGCGCTGGGGTTTTTCCCCCCTCAATCATTGGATATCAATCTCAACGGCACATCGTATTATCAATCTCAACTCCATACAACTTTTGCAGCCACTAGGTGCACCAAGTTATTGCGGCTTTCCCACCCTTACAAGGTACCCATTCACAGCTGGGTGGACTAAAACAGAATGAAAAGAGTTGACACACTGTGATACAATATCTGAACATACCTAGAATAATCTAAACCTCTTAAGCAAATAAGCATTCAATAATGTGATCCATGAATGAGTGAGTAAATTAATTCTATACGAAGCAGTACTCCAACAATATCACAGTGGGGGAAACACAGAATTGGTTTAGTATAGTGCTTCTATGGAACAACTTGAACCTTGGTCCTGGACATGATGAGCAAGCACATCAACCGCTGGACTACCAAATCACCTTATTGACCAATGTGTTGATACCATGAACGAGTGACCATACATCAGGTGACTGCTGAGTTGTCTCTCTTCCAATCACCATTCACATGGGCAGTGGTATTAGCGAGGTTTAGAATTTCGAAATTCCTCACTTTAGTGGAGATTAGTACGATAAGACTTGACAGTCAGACAACTGTAATAATAACACAATAATATCTCTGTGTTTGGGGAGTGAGTATGGTTTGACGCCGCTTTTAGCAATATTCCAGCAATATCACAGCGGGGGACACCAGAAATGGGCTTCACACATTGTACCCAAGTGGGGAATCCATTCCGGGGCTTCAGTGTGACGAATGAACGCTTTTACCACTGGGCTACCCCACCGTCCCTGTTATATTTTGCTTACCTCCCTAGGAGGTCATATTTACTAAACTTATCAGAATTGTACATGGGTACAATATGTGAAGCCCATTTCTGGTGTCCCCCGCAGTGATATTGCTGGAATATTGCTAAAAGCGGCGTAAAACCATACTCACTCCCATGACTCCAAACCAGTCTCCCCATCTTCTAAATGACCCGACCAAACATACTATATACGAGACAAAAACACACGGTAATCTTAATCCCTGCATATAATACAATGCCTTGCAAAAACAAATTAGAACTGAAAAGGTAAATAATCTTGTTTAGTGATGTTTAATTGCAAATTTGATGTCTTCACTGTCAAAGTCGTTTTCTCTTGTTCGTTCACGCGAAACTATACAATGTCATTTTCTTCCTGGTCACTAGCAAAGAGTCTGACGAAAGTGTTACCCGTAGATAAGCCAACCCACTTCTACAGGCTGCTTTTCTTGGTCTTCAAAATACGGCTTATCTATGGTAATATACGGTAACATCTATATGTACTACTTTTACATTTGGGAAAAAAGTGGCATTTTTCCATGTCCCCTTCCCCAAAGGCCACTCCCCTACTTTAGCTCATGATACCACCTTAATCTCACTGGCCCGTCCACCCTTATAATACACGACAAAGACCCACTTACACAAAATGATTTTAGCACAAAGATGATCATAACTGCCATACACTAACATGGACTATATACACTTTTGGCAATGGGTCCAGTCCCTTCAATACAGATTAACTATCATATTTACCATATCAAGCACCCTTCCAATAAGCACAGTAATCTTTATAAGCTCCCCTACAAAAAACCGAACATTTACACAACAGTTGTCATTTTGTTATTTTAATATCTTTGGATTGGGAACATCAACTAAATATTCTCTGTATAGTAATGCCTCTTTATGTATCCTGAGACATTTTCTCTTCATACGATTTGAAATTCACTCGCCCTAAAACCTTTTGCCCCTTTTCAACAATATCAGAAAATCTTTTTGATTTGGGTTCCAAATAGGTCTGAATCCATTCTGTAACCGTATCATCCGCGAAGATTGGTTCCATGGACTTCTGAACTTTAATTTGTACTTCACAAAGTCTTGCAAGAATATTTGTAGCTTCAGTCACAATAGGTTCGATGTGCATGGGGTTGACAAACCCTCGTTCAATATTGTAATCGTTCATCCAGGAACACAGAGTGTCACTTTGTAGGAACTGCTCACACTTAGCTTGGATCTGGATCCAGTCCACCATGGCAGCATACACGGCACTCCCTGGGTAGCGGCACTCCGTGGGGACATGACACTGGTAGGGGTTGAGGGGGAGCCCAGGCTTGAACTCGAGCTGGTTAGAGATGTGCATATGCATATCCTGGGTGAATACACGTTGCTTAGCAACACTCAGACACATCGCTAGAGAAGGGATGGCAACAGGGAGGAGCTCGCACATGACTGCGAAGTGGTCATATCTGCAATGTCACCAATATGGAAAGGTTAATACTTTGAAAACAGAATCGCAATAATTTGTCTGAAGAAAACTGGAAGTCATGTGACTCATTGAGTAAATGTTACACATAATGATAAAAAAATATGCATTCATCATCAAAATATAGTAAAAATGCTAAGATTCTATGAATTTTGAAAACAGAAAACGCTTTGGGAAGTATGTTGCCAATCTTTGCTTGCTTCGCTCGCATAAAGGAAATCTGGCCATTTGTCTCTCTGTTGCGTAACCCTATTTGTGCTACAGTTTGCCTGTGATCTGCTCAAACCGAAAGCTTGTCGTAATCCTTGCTAATGAACAAATGTTAGGTCTGAAATCCAACTCTAAAAAAGAGTTTCCTGATACACAATATCAACTATTGTAACTATGGATCGTTATGCATGCTATTGACAAATACTACTGGCATTTAAAAATTTCTATTACTACAACTGTAGGGCGAGCAATAGCATGACATTGATAGTTCAATATCATGTTTCACCCCAAGGCATTTGAAGCCCATTTCTTTTGTCCCCCACTGTGATATTGCTGGAATATTGCCAAAAACTAATGCACTCACTCACTCAAGCATCTTATACTATGATGACTATAGAATCATCATGTGGAGAATCGAACCCGGGCCTTCAGCGTGACAAGCAAACACCTTAACCACTAGGCTACCACACCAACCCCCATCTGTAATGTAACACCATGAATGAATTACCTCTGCCATCCTGTGATAGCAAACCCTCGGACTGAATTAAACTTGCTTCCTTTCTCATCAATCAACCGCAACCAGGAGAGATGGTTTTCAACGTGGAAAGATATGTTTGTCATACTGGCACACACTCCGGTAGCACCCTTGAAGGCACTGGCCACCCAGATGTCTGGGAACACCGTACTCAGGTTGTCAAACAGGTTCTCCGGAAGAAGAAAGGACGACAGGTAGTGCCATATCATTGGCTCCACGAGACCACCCAGACCGCTCGTCTTCAGATCTTTGACTTGAGCAAATCGAAACATGTCGTCCCACACAATCGGGGTGATGGTAGGATAATGAGTCTTTATGTAGGTAGCCACTGCTTTCACATGGCCGAAAAATAGCTGTTGTGCGGTGAGATTTTCATCTGCCATTTTCCTTCGGCACAGGTCACACTTCCCAAGGTGGTACACTTCGTCGCAGCCAATATGGAACCACTTCGTCTTTGGATGCATCTCGAGGACTTGATCCAACATTGTGGTTACCATGGTGACTGAGTCTGGGTGACATGGACACAATGTCGTTGGGTAGTGTGGAATTTCACGAATCTTAGCAAATGTCTCATGCTTCAGAGCGAACTCAAGGTGACCAAATGTCTGTACCAATGGCATTACCTCGAGATTATATCGTTCTGCCATGTTGAGGAGTTTTCTAACCTCTTCAACACTGTAGGCTTGGGAGGAAGCCACTTCAGATATGTCGCCATGGTAAGGGAACATATCCTCATACTCAATGATCAACCCTGTTGCTCCCCACTGTTGAATTAAAGGGATTATTTCTTCCAGGTAGGATAACTTCGGTGCTGCACCCTTTAGGTCAAGATGTACTAGACGCTGAGTCATAGATGCCATCTTTCCCACCGTTGTCATAAACCAGTTTTTTCACTTCCTGTAGGTTCAAGTATTTTCATCAATCTGTCAGAAGAGAGACAGTGGAAGACTAGTGTCTCTCTGATTCCATTCTGTCAGGGACCAGGGAAAACATATAGAGGTCGCTGATCTAGACTTCTGATTGTATTCTGGAAAAGAAAAAGCGACAATTCAGATAAAACCCTGGAAAAGGAATTATGTTCATGTCAACTTGAAAACATAAAAGATTTGATTTGTTTGTTGTTTAACGCCACACTCAGTAATATTCCAGCTATTTGATGGCGATCTGCACATAATTGAGTCTGGGCCAGACAGTCCCATGATCCACATCATGAGCATCGATCTACGTAATTGGGATACAATGACATGTGCAACCAAGTCAGCAAGCCTGACCACCTGATCCCGTTATTTGCCTCTTATGACAAGCATGGGTTGCTGAAGACCCATTCTAACCCGCATCTTCAGATGTTGAAAACATGAAAGAAGTAAATATTCAAATACTGTTACACGGTTCAAGAAGCAGAGGCTGTTCAATCAAGCATTAAGATTATCGAATACTAAGATATGCTAAAACCTAGCCTTATGGGTCATGATGGTTGTGAACCGCCTCCGTGGTGTAGTGGTTAGAGCGTCTGCCCAGAGAGCGGAAGGTCGCGGGTTCGATCCCCGACTGCTTCATACCAAAAGACGTTAAAATATGGTACTTGTTGGTCCCTGCCTGGCACTCGGCATTAATGGGTACAACAAGGACTGGTCAGCTCAGTATAATGAGTCTGAGTGGGGTATTCATGCTTCACTGCGGCATGGTATCTCAGTGGGCTAGCACTATAAAACCAGCTTAAGTCTGGGCTAGTACAAGCAGCCACACATACACATACACACGCATGCACGTCGTCATATGAGCAAAATATTCTCAAGCACGACGATAAACCCAATTTCACCTCACCTCACCATGATGGTTGTGGCACTAAGATAGTTTTGTGGAGAGGTCCCAATATCACAAGGCAACTGTAGCACTGGGACCATCATAAATCCTGTACTTTAACATTGACCTTCAATAGTTGCAGAGCTATGATTGCTTTGTGGAACATGTCCTCGGCTCTTATACAGCCTCTGTGTGAAAATGTCATGTTATGCAGCAGTCACTAGCAAGTCAGCTATGTCTAAACAAACAGCAAATAATGTAGGCAGAGACAGAAACTGATAGCATGAGTGAGTGAGTATGGTTTAACGCCGCTTTTAGCAATATTCCAGCAATATCATGGTGGGGGGACACCAAAAATGGGCTTCACACATTGTGCCCATGCTGAGAAACAAACCTGAACCAACACTTTAACCACTAGGCTACAACGACACCCCCTATGGATCTGTCACTGATTCGTCACACCGAAGAGTCACTCCATCATAAAAGACGTCCTTGAAACAATTATCTAGGTCTAATTACCTGCCTTTTCATTAATCAGTTACTTCGATAATTTCGATTTTATGGATTCCCAATGAAGGTTCCTGATCCAAAATAAATGGGTCCGACTATTCTTGCCAAGAGTCGTGATGGGGACTTTCAGTGAAAATATGCCACGACATCGCGGCTCTCGGGTGTGTATATTGCATTAATAAATTGTTGTCATGGTTGTAAATGACGGACTATTAGCCTGTAACATACTATAGATCTAGTTGCTGACCCGTCTTGGCCCGGCTTTTAGACAATCCCTCCTGGCTCGAAGGCCTGCTATTCTAGAAGGCCACAGCCGACAGCCTGAGTTTTTAGCTGCGATAGTTAAACTGCATTGATGCCATTCTAGTTAATAATTACGGATGTTCATACATCGATGATCAATGCTTCTAATACTGTCCACAACCGCGTTTATTCGGTGTGACTTTGTCAACCGGCAAAACCAAGGCCAGCCCCTTCTGAATTCAGTTTGCAGTAGAATCGACAGTCATTGAGCAAATTTTGGAAAAACGAATTGACACGCATGAATTGGCACTTCATTAAATAGTTAGCTAAACATTCTACCTGATGACCAGCTGATTACTGTGCTTGCGAGACAGACGAATAAGATGAAAGGTCGTCTTTCTGCCTGCTGTGTTCACAACATACCTTGGCATTTAGAGTTATCTCCCTTCAACATTGTGCTTCCTGAATCTGAGCCTGTACGAGGCACTGACCATCTTAAATATTTATGTTGTAATCGATCTTTTGTAATTAACATAGAGTTCAGTGACAGAAATAATTATTCTGTCGTGAGAGTACACCGAGTTGAGTTGTCAATACTCAAAGAATGCTTCTATATATGGTTTATTTGTTTAAAATTTAACTTCACTTAAAACCCTTTTAAAATATTAGTGTGATGTAGTGGTATTGCTGACTATAAAGGACACCGCGGTGCAGCAAAGGTACTGCTGACTCGGCAAGTCGTGCATTTCAAGTACATGCTCATGCATGGGCGGATCCAGGAATTTTGAAAGGGGGCGGGAACCCCCATTGGCTCCGCAAAAATCTTCAATGTCTTCGATCTTCGAACCTCTCTGGATCCGCCAATGTCATGCATTTAATATTAATGGCTTCAATAAACAATTCCACACTCCACAGCATACCCGAAGCCTTTACTACCCTGGCCAATCGATTAGTATGGACTCGAAGGTTAGTCTCAGCTCCCTTAGGAATATACAACCCAAGCTGGCTCAGGCTTATCATGCGCAAGAAGATTAATCATCATATTACCATCTGATACTACCGGGTACCCACTACTGGGTGGACAAAGGCATATTTCGAACAAAGTCACTACCCAAACACACTTCTAAGAATCCCTTCTGACGGATAGTCATCCAACGTATGGGATGTATTCAGTCTGTGCATGGCACCCAAAAGTTTTAGGAGAATAAATGTACACGTTGGTGATATCAGATGTGATATGATGAATCACACGTTTTCACTCCAAAACCTTGATTTTGTGCCACAGCCGCACTAAATAGCGCTAAAAGCGGCATCTCACTCACTCACTCACTCTCATCTCATATATACACAATACATTCATAGCTTACACATAGCATATATACACATATTCACCTATTGGTCGATACGTGAAGGTCCGGGTTAGAATTGATCTTCAGAGGCGTAAGAGGCGACTAACGGGATCGGGTGGTCAGGCTCGCTGGCTGGGTTGGCACATGCCATCGTATCCTAATTGCGTAGATCGATGTTCATGCTGTTGAAGACTTGATTGTCTGGTCCAGACTGTATTATGTACAGACAGCCGCCATATAGCTGGCATATTGCTGAGTGCGGCGGAAAACTAAACTCACTCACTCACTCGTAAGAGGACGGATGGCCATGTCTCTCTGACTTTGATGTCGTATGTCATAGTACCCAATTGCGTATATCGATGCTCATTATGTCAACCACTGGGTTGTCAGGTCCACCTCACTTATTTACTGACGACTGTCATATAGCAGGAATATGGCTGAGTGCGGCGTAAAGCAACAAACCTACCATACAATCCAAAAATAACATAGACACAATACCAAGCAGCATGTTAATTACTTAAATTTCGAAATTTACCAAGTTACCCTCCATCTTAATCTGTTGAGTGATGTCCGCCACAAGCTGCATATATCCACGTGTTATAATTATTTCCGTTGTTCATCCCAACGCATGGATAGATTTTAGAAACACCTTCAGAAATCGACATATTTTAAAAATACGCTTTTTGTATTTTAGAAATTCTACCCCATTTAAATGACATGCACAAAAGAGAAATATATATAGATAGATATTGCCTGACAGAGAAAATTCAAATATTCGCAGGGCAGTTTGTGTTTGGTTAAGAATTGGGTCTTATTTGCTAATAGACAGTTGTATAGAAAGACTTATAGTGTGCCACGCTATGTTAGAGGTTGGTAGGGGATTGCGAGTCAAGTTGACAGTAAACAACACCGTGCCCATAAACCCGTATCCTTGCATGCAGGTACATGGTGGAGGCTCTCCACCGAGGGATTCTACGGTGGGTTGAACTAAGACCTCTTCTAATAAATTGCATTATTGCATCTAATTCAAATAATACGATTGCGCTCTATTGTTGCTATTCCAACCAAATGATTTAATCGCCCAGTCGTTTAAATATGATTATTACATCTCCACAAATTGAAACAAAATCCTGTTTTGTTCAGACAACCCCACCGGTTGAGCGCCTCCGACTCGGCCAGGCATGGCTAGTTATTCGTTATGCTATAGAACACAGTCTACCCTAGTCTTATCTTACTTCGACGGAAACCTACCCACGTAATAATTCATCGTCAGTCATGAAAAAGGTAGGCATGTGTCTTCACATTAGAGTTCCTTTAAATGTCATTAAGAATTCTATTCACATATAGATAAAGTTACATTTTATTAGTTTTGTACTAACAAAACGATCCAGTTACATTTTGTGACTGTGGAGTTCGGTCGTATTTATACACTCTGTAAATTACACGAAGTAGTATATGTCAAGACAGACATGTTAATAGCCGAACATGTTAATTGCATCAGTTAATGACATGAACATGGCTTACGACATATTGTCTGATAAAGAAACATATCGTTGATCTATGTAGACTATGACTTACGTATAGCTGTCATACCTGCTTGGTTCGTGCAGTAGGTAGCGCCACTGCCCGAAGTTTCCCTTGAATAGTATTGCTAGTTAAATAGTACCAGTTTGACAGCATGGCCTCGTTCTGTCGATAGCTAGTTTCGGCATACCTGCATATAAGCAGTTATAGGCTGACATACACAGATAACGAAAATTGCAGTACATATTATAGTATGTGTTAAAACTATTGGCTCTCCTACCTATGAAAGCACTTGCCCAAACCGTGGACGATAAAATAAGTACGCAAATTAATAAATTGCAGAACAATTTCTTGTTATAAGAAAAAGTTATGTTTCATTTGAATGCATATAAAAAGAAAAAAATGCTACAGTAATTCTAATCAAAACTCTACAAATTGTCGAGTCAAGCAAGATATTGGGTTACGTTATAGTTGCCTTCATCTTTCGATATCACCATTCAACGCAATACCACAAGAGATCACTTGGATAAGACACATTATATAGTGGTTTGCTGATACAGATAGTATAAGCAAATTGATTATTTTTACAAATTCTGGTCAAATTGCCCTCGTTCGTTACTCTGAATACTTTTTTTTATTTTTAAACTCGTGCTTATTAAACTTACGGGGTTAGTAATAACTGATGTCATAGCGGATTCCTAATATTTATGCATGTGACCTTTGACAGATTCAAAAACTTAAATTCGTATGTCCACTCGTGTTAATATAACTTCAAGTGTATTGTTTCGTCATAAGTGACGGCATCTTTACCTCTTGTGACGCGTGTTTCGAATGACGTCACACTAGACGCCGTGTAGTCGAACATTGTTGAGAATTGTGGTTTTCTAGGACAGCAGTTGTGATCAGTGCATTGTCTTAAAGAAGAGTTCCATAGGAATCATAATTAATGTGTAACAAATATGTTTTCACATTCACATGTCTGTGACTCTCACTTTACGAAAATCGCGTAATTATTACTGTATTACCCTATACACAATTTCTAACACTTTGGTAAAATCAGCATGAAACGCACGCTGCATGATATCTCATTTACACTTGTATGGATATTAGTAATAACAGTAGAATTCATGCTCTGTCACATGTGTAGCTACCTGTGTACAAAGAGGTGCATTATATGTCATATTAACCCTATGTAATACATGTCAGCTGATAAGCCCGTGCATTAAGCGTCAGCTGATAAGCAACAGACGTTCTTAACTACAAGGTCAGCCATTTAAAAACAATTACTAAATCTATTCCTATGGACTCCTGGTCCGAATAAAATACCCGAAAACGTGACCAATCAATACAGTTCGATTTGATCTCTGTTGTGGGTCGAGAGCAGCGCACCTACATACACTGTCGAGTTGGTTGGGGATAAAGAGGGAATTCAACCCTCACACGTCACATTGTTCCACCATAACTATATTGAACCGTCCTAACAACGTCACAAATCCACTTCCTTCTTTTCTTTTTGATTTTTTTCAAAGGAGTATGGATTTTCTGTGGAAGTACGCTACTCAACCTGTCCTTTGTAAAAACCGTGATATATATAGTCATACGGAGAAACGGGTCGATATGATGGACACTCGATCTATATCTAGGTCAATACATAGATGGCGGCGCGATACCGGGTATATAAGGAACACTTACTGTCTTCGCCGTTTGATATGACACACATGTTTTAGGACGTGAGGACTTTTACAAACAGGTTTGTTAGTTAAAATTATGAATAATATATAGTATACATAATAGAGCACGTGTTATGAAGTTTTCCGAATGCATGTCAAAATACCGGTTTTCGATCAGCGTATCGCAATACGTATCGTTTTCATGTCTTAACCGGGAGGCTAATGTTTCTAGGATGACATGTAATGCTCACAGCTTTCACTCTCCGATATTATACATACATACATGATTTATATGTTCACACAAGCTGTAATTCTTGAGAGAATTGGAGACTGAGCATTTTGAACTGAACAAATTCTCTCAGGAATGACTACTATATATATGTGCACCAAGTTATTAAAGCTTTAGAGCTTAGAAAATTACACTTATTCATTATTCGAGTTATACATGTAACACGTTATTTTTCCAATCAACTATATCGTCAATCCAGACGGGGTGGTATCATAGTTCATAAAGCGTTCGATTCTCGTCATGGGTACACTGTATGAAGCCTATCTTGGTATGTTGCTGATATATTGGGGCGTAAAACCATATTCACCCACGTGTTATTCCAGGTATTGAGGGACGGGGTAGCCTAGTGGTTAAAGCGTTCGTTCGTCACGCCGAAGACTCGGGTTCGATTCCCCCACATGGGCACATACGGAGATATATCTCCACTTGATTATGATAAATATACCCTTGGGCCCATATTCCGTGGGAATATTATACAGTTACCTATGCACCACCAGCTCCATATATGACATTAATTTAAACGAAAAAGGCACGGTGGCGTTGGAAAAAATATACCATTCCACTTTTGCTAGGGATATCATTTTTTTCTTTACACAAAGGTAAAACTTTATCTTTTTATCTTTACACAAAACTAATTTTCATAATATGTCAAGTGTATATCTTCTAAACATTATGCTTTAAGACTGATCAAAGTAAATCTTGTTTAATAACCACAAAACGTAAGAAAATAGGATTAACCCAACTTTGTTACTGAGTCGATATAATATACAGGATTATCAAGGATTAAAGGGAAAAGGACTGACAATTGGCATAGTAATGCTGATTACTACGTGGGATATAACCCTGGGATGTAATCATGGTTTAGAAGTGATTCAGGGCACTGTGTTCAAGTTTGTATGTCCTGTAATTACCGAGGATGTAGGGTTTATACGTCTCTCTTAGCAATAGTCCAGTCATATCAAGTCAGCCTTACAATGGGTATGGACTCCGCACCTTGTAGTCATATTGGAACCTGTTGTGGATAACTGAACCCAGGTCTATACATAATATATATCGCGGAAAACAAACCATTAAAGAATAAGAAATAATTTTGGGGAGTTTAGGTTAGAATGTATCCCCAGCAACGCGTGCTGGCCTTTGTGACCGATTGGATTGAGCTGTCTGGCACGGTAACTTGGTTCAATGTGTGTCATGGTACCTCGGCCGTTGGTCACAATACCATTACGGGCGTTGTCTGGTTCTGATTCCATATTGTCAGACCGCCGTTACATATGGAATATTGGAATATACATTGAAATAATGGAGTGCGATGTTAAACAAAACAACAACCATTCAAAACCATACAAAACTGGTAAAAAAAATAAAAAAGAAGAAAATATTCGTAAACCATGTGACACACCTGCAACCTATCTGTTCGTGTACCTCTATGACCGAAAAAGGCGACTAACAGGATCGGGTGGATACACTCGCGTAGATCGATGCTCATGCTGTTGATCACTGGTCCAGACTCGATTATTTGATCACTGGATTGTCTGGTCCAGACTCGATTATTTACAGACCGCCGTTACATAGCTGGAATATTGTTGAGTGCGTCGTAAAACTTAACTCACTCACTCACTCACTCACTTTAAACGAACATACCAAAGCCTATCGGTTCGTGTACCTCTTTAAACGAACAAGGCGACTAACGGGATCGGGTGGTCAGACTCGCGTAGATCGATGCTCATGCTGTTGATCACTGGATTGTCTGGTCCAGACTCGATTATTTACAGACCGCCGTCATATAGCTGGAATATTGCTGAGTGCGGCGTAAAACTAAACTAAGTCACTCACTTTGAACGACCATGCCAAACGGACGAAACCCACCAATAAACATGCCAGCTTCCCTTAAGTATCTGGTAGGGCGGTCAAGATAGCTCGTCTTCAAGGACCCCATTTCTGTCATCCTTGGTTGTTCACGCAAGTCATAAACATATAAATATACACGCAAGCAAAGGGCAAAATATATAGCACATCTCAAGAGGATTTAAGCTCGCCATTTCTCTCACATTCTCATACGCCAAAGCAGTGTAGCTATAATACTACGTCGATAATCACCTGGTTTTACGATAGCGAGCGGTAATCTATTGACTGCCTTGCCCTACGGAAGAATGGTGTTCTAGCCATCGATCACAAGGGCTCAATGCAATATTAAAGTAACGATGTGGGTCTAAGAATAGAAATCGATCATTCAGATTGACTGCTTCAAAGACTGCCTCAAACCGTACAAGAAGTCGGAATCTTTGTATGGATACCGTTGGGACTGGTATTTCCCAACACCAAGCTCCACGATCCATCTTCGGTATGGCGGGGTTACCTTCTGGTTAAAGCTGTTATCCGCTTTATATAATGTGTGAAACCCATTTCTTGTGGTCCTCTGCCCTGATTATATTGATATGGCAGGACTATTGCTGACGGGCTTTAAACACTCACTCAAGTATTCCAACTTGTAGACACACAAGTGACTAAATTTGGCTACACGCCCCTTTTAACAATATTCCAGCAATATCACAGCTGAGGACACCAGAAATGGGCTTCACACGTTGTACCCATCTGGGGAATCGAACGAGGGTCTTCGGCGTGACGAGCGAACGCTTTAACCACAAGGCTACCCCACCGCCCCGTCGATAGACAAGAAAAATATATGCAGGCTATATTTGAAATAGTCTTATTTTAGCTCTGTTAAACTAACATTCTATATTTATTCTGTTTGTATTCTAAATTTCCTGTTGATCCTGTTTTCGGAACCAACAGATTCCAGCGATATAAACTTAAACCATGTTCAGGTTGGTGTATAATGTCTCTATAATTTTGCTTGACATTAATTACGTTAAGTTTACTTGCTCAAAACGCACATTCAGAATAGCCACACTCAATATCAGCTGCGAGAACAACAGCGTAACGCCGTGACGAAACCTTTACATCAAATTACATGTAAAAAATGTTCGTGTATTTTGTCATCTGCTGTTATCACCGAGGAAGTCATTCCGTTTAGACACTACAATATACTACTATAAAAATTGATTATTATTTCAATCATTTCTCACAGAAGAAGTCTTCAGGTAAAAAACAAATAAACTTGTATAATAAACTGATGAGCACTTGGGGACACATGGGAAATATAAGTCATAGCGGGGGTCGATTTCATTGATGCAGTTCAGGGACACGATCCACAAGCGTTAGTAACGTTACGACCTGTCGTAACTCTATAGTTTAGCAATGGCTTACGAATGTCGTAGCGCTACGAACGTTTTGTAGATCAGGGCCCCTATTTTCGAGAATAGGCACCCAGGGTCCAGTAGGCTACCCTAGTTGACAGTACTTTCCAACACACACACCCTCCCCCTGCACCTCTGTCGTAACGCAAACTTAGTGCTACGATAGGTAACATCCGCACAAGAGTTGTAGCAATAAACATCCTTGTTGATATAATCAAATTATTCTACTCATTTGTGAATGGCTGAATCAAGGTGTTTACTATGAATGAACCTTCCTAAGAATGCCAGCACGTTTAGTAACAATCGTAATCGTTTATCCAATCAAACTGTTTCGTCGAGCGAGCGAAACTCCGTGCAATCTTTTGTGTGCAAAGTTTGAGATGAAGAGTGGTGACGTCACTTCCTCGCTGAATTCAAAACTATGGTGCGGATGAGTTCATGGTATATATTTATCACTAAAAATGAACGTGGCAAACTTGATGAACAAGACTGACTGTTAAACAGATAAAGAAACATCGCTTTCTGACAAGGCCCCGAATTGTGAAATATGCAAGAGCACAAAAGCTAGTGTTGTGAAACGCAGCCTACTGCGGAGACATAGCTATAGGGACAATAGAGGCACAATATCTATACAACAGTATTCATTTAAACTGTACAAACTAAATCAGGGCGGTATGTATGGATGCGTGGGAAAGGAAGAACGTATAGCGGGCGTGGTGGCAAGATGTTAAAATGTTCACATACTTGACCCAATCTGTTAGTCAACCGTGGTAGACGTAAGTCATCGATCATCAGAGACGACGTAAGGAATGTCCGCGACGTTGATGATTAAGGTATAACCTCCGTTGTCTATATCCATATATTTAGTAACATGCTTGCAACGTGTGTGTCACATGTAGAATGTCGTCGTTTAACCTTCCCCGCAGCAGATAAGTTATTTTGTTGTCAATACATGGCAATTTTGAATTTTATAGAAATCTCTTCTTGTTTTTGTTTCAGACTAAAGTGCCGCTACAGCGGCGGTCCACCTCAATGGCTCTCGTTCCGGGGGAGGCATCGGAGGATGGAGACTTTGTCACCCTCCGGGCGTACAGAGATGTGAGTAAATCTCCCCTTCACATCCACTGAACACAAACGTCAAGTATATGAGGGACGGTTGGGAAGCCTAGTGGTTAAGGCGTTTGTTCGTCACGGTGAAGACCCGGGCTCGATTCACCACACAGGTACAATGTGTGAAGCCCATTTCTGGTGTCCCCCGCTGTGATATTGCTGGAACATTGCTAAAAGCGGCGTAAAACTAAACTGACTCACTTGATCTATATTTGGATAAGATATGCATTCTAAACAGTGAAATATATGTTGTTCATACCAATTGAGCTTCGAACCTCGACTCGCCACGATTATGTTTACCTGTGAAGATCCGGGTTAGATTTGGTCCTCAGCAACCCATGCTTGTCGTGAGAGGCGACTAACAGGATCAGGTGGTCAGGCTCGCTGACTTGGTTGACACATGTCATTGTATCCCAATTACGTAGATCGATGCTCATGATGTGGATCACTGGGATGTCTGGTCCAGACAGTCGCCATATAGCTGGAATATTGGTAAGTGCAGCGTTAAACAACAACCACTCGCTGACTTGATTGACACATGTCATCGTATCCAAATTAAGTAGATCGATGATCGATGATCGATCGATGATGTTGATCATGAGTGTAACTGATTTTAAACCACAGGGTGAAATAGATTAACATGAGTAAGTACCTACTTAGCGATTAATGTTTCTGATAAAAGTGCCGAAACATTCGCTCGTCATGTTTGTTCGCCCGTCTTAGATTAACAATATGTGAAGGTGGCTTCTTTTGTCCTCAAAGGGGGGTGGGGGGTTCGCTCGTCACGCCGAAGACTCGGGTTCGATTCCCCACATGGGTACAACGTGTGAAGCCCATTTCTGGTGTCCCCTGTCGTGATATTGCTGTAATATTGATGTATACTCAGCTCACTCACTCACTCTTTGTCCTCAAGCTGGATGTTTCAAATTTTACGTACCGGTGAAGGTCCGCGTTAGAATGAGCCTTCAGTAACCCACGCTTGTCTACCGGTGAAGGTCCGCGTTAGAATGAGCCTTCAGTAACCCACGCTTGTCGTAAGAAGCGTCTAACGGGATCGGGTGGTCAGGCTCGCTGGCTTGGTTGAGACATGTCATCGGTTCCCAATTGCGCAGATCGATGCTCATGTTGTTGATCACTGGATTGTCTGGTCCAGATTCGATTATTTACAGACCGCCGCCATATAGCTGGAATATTGCTGAGTGCGACGTAAAACTAAAATCACTCACTCACTCAAAATTTACGTATAGTATAACATCCACTCACTCACTCCCTCCCTCACTTACACTTTAGCTTTCATATTTCAGAAGAGAAGAAAAGAGAAGACAAAGGACATAGAACTACCCACAATAGCCGAGCATCCTGACAACTCAAAGAAGGTCTCCCAAAGTGACATTTCTGTCCACGAGAAGGCACCTCTACACAGAGAACCCACTGTTGCCAATGCACACGTCAGGGATGAGCTGTTTACTGCAGTAGAAGAGGGATCTGTTGAAGAACTAAAAAATAAAATCATTCATCTCCCGGCAGACTTGGTAATCACAAGCGAAGCTCTTTGGAAGCCGAAAACTCGTGAAAACATCCTTCATTTTGCTTTTGAAAATGGTAAGAGGGCGATCATTGAGTATTTCATGAATACATTCGACCCGAAGTTAACCGCGGTGTTGATGGGTGAAGACTACGAGGTGTTTATGGGAAATCTTCATGGGAAGAAAAACATACTCCACAAGATCACCGAGATGAAAGACATAGAGTTAGCAAGACAAGTTGTCAAGAAAATGTCCATCTATAACAAGAACACCCTGATGCAACTTCTGAAACAAGAAACACCAGTACAGATTGCAGGGCAACGTCCAAGGACCTTCCCATGCCTTCACCTCGCCGCCTTCTACGGCTACACCGACTTCGTCCAGTTCTACCACGACTGTGGCATGGATGTCAATCACATCAACGCCAAAAAGGACACAGCCTTGCTTTGGGCAGCCCGATGGGGTCATGAGGACACAGTGAGGGTATTATTAAAAAGAGGAGCAAAGCCAAATCTTGAAAACGACAAAGGTTCTACAGCCTTATATTGGGCAGTTAGATATGGATTTACTGGAACGGTGAGACTGTTGGCAGAGGAAGGTTCCGCCGATGTCAACCTGACAAGAAAGCTCGGTCTTGTTGCGCCCATAGTGTTGGCGTCTGCTCTCGGACATGACGAGATCGTGAAGATATTGTTGAAAAATGGAGCAGACGTGAATCATGTGATCAGAGGCAGAGAGAGGCCAATACACCACGCAGCGCGGGAAGGGAACACAGACGTCCTTCTGATTCTACTCAACAATGGCGCGGCTATTGACGAGACTGATGAACGTGGCGACACAGCACTTATCCTCTCAGCCAGGTACGGGCACGGACAGATCCTAGCTCACCTTATCAAACATGGAGCCGACATCAACCACAAGAACCACAACGGAGAAGGCGTGTGGTATTTCGCATTTGAAAATGACACAAGCCGAATCCTAGAGATCCTCATTCAAGTCCTCCAAAACATGGGCTTTCTGAAGCCATCTGAAGAAGATAAGAACAAATTAACTTTCACCAAGGATGTCAAATCTCCCATTCTTCAGGCAGCTAGTCTCGGGCTTGTTGACAAAATAAATATGTTGCTGGGTCTAAATCTTGACCCAACAGCATGTGACGAAGAAGGAAATTCATTGCATCACCACGCAGCAATGTCCAATCAGTTTCAAGTTATTAAAACATTTCATTCACAGTACAGCATCGACGCTCAAAACGCCAGAGGTCAGACAGCACTGCATCTAGCGTGTAAATCCGGACACCATGAAACTATCGAAGTACTAATTCAACTAAAGGCAAAAGCAGGTGTAAAGAATTTAAGAGGCGAAACGGCTCTCCATATGGCCGCATCTTCCAAGTCCATTCGCCCCGACACAGTTAAAATGCTTCTGGAGCATATCATCAAGACGCACACATGGGAGAGTCTCAATGTCAGGGACGACAAGGGGAATAACCCATTGCACACCGCGGCAGAATTTGCCTCCCAAGACGTCCTTTGGGAGTTCCGGTTTGTTCGACTCAAAGATAAGGATGAAAGGGGGAATACTCCTATGCACGAATCAGTGCGTCCAGGCGAACCGGAAGTGCTCGACACCATGCTGGATATCTACGAGACTATGAAGAGAGATGTGGATATCAATGAGCCAAACGATGTCAAGGAAACAGTACTGCATCTTGCTGCCATGGCTGGATTTGACGAAGGAGTAAAACGGCTGATTCTTTTCGAGTCAGACTTGAGTTTACAATGTAAAGAAGGAAATACTGTCCTCCATTGTCTCACCAATGCCATAGTGGATAACCCAACCAAAGTTCACATGTACCTAAAGGTGCTGGATGCCATTATAAAGCAAGCAGTGAGATGGTGGTGTATTAAAATGGCCATCGTTACCCTGATGACAACCGAGATCTGTACTTCCATTACAAACGACAAGCTGTTCATCATCTGACATGTGGGATCTACAACAAAAGTGACCTGAACGTTCTATCCCTGGCGTGTCGGGTCGGTTGTGTGCAGGTTGTAGAGCGAATTATGCTGATGGAGCACGTGATGTGCTTCAGTTTACAGAAGAAAACCAGATACGACATCACTCACATCACACCCAGAACAAACGACTCTTTGTCCGGCATGCGTGGTAGCGGGAAGGTTGTGCCCAGACCATCCTGTCTGGAGTGGCTCTTGTCCACAGAAAGTCCTGAACGAGCTGCAAGAGTCCTTGACATTGCTCCCATGAAGGAGATCGAGAGAGTGTACAGTAACGTCGCTGCAGTCACCTACCTCCTTATCATCGTCCTACACATTCTGTACATGACACTCTTCAGTGTTTCTGCTGTTGCTCTAGGGGAGAAAAGGAGGAATGCCAGCATTGATAACTCCATTGACGTCTCTACCGTCATCTTCTATGCAGTTGTGCCACTCGAGCCGGCTCTACTTCTGTTGTACATGATCTACTCATTCATTAAGGTACTTTGCCAGGGAGAGTTTACAATGAAGTACAGACTTCAGAAAGGTTCCAGTGACTTTGTATCGGTCATAATTAGATATTTTTCAATAGTCTTGTCAGTTGTATATTCCTGTCTTGTATTTGTTTGGATGGGGCTCTACATGGGCGGATATACCTACCAGGACTACATCCTGGCCCCGGCCCTTCTAATGGGATGGTTTTTGACTATAACGTACACCAGAGGGTTCCGACCTATCCACTACTTCTGGAGGATGATTCAGAACATGATCATGCGGGACGTCATGAAGTTCATCTTCATCTACTGCTTCGTCCTCCTTGGATTTTCATTTGCGCTGCACGTCCTGTTCCAGGCGTCCTCCCAAGTCATCGCGAGCTACCCGAACCCCTTGCACACGATGTTCCTAACGTTCAACCTAATGCTAGGTATGGCCGATCTGTTTGATGAAACCTTTGAGACAAATATGTCTCTTGCGGGAAGACATACAGTCTATGCCAAGATAATATTTCTGGTGTACATGGTCCTTGCTGCCATCGTGTTGCTGAATCTGCTGATAGCCATGATGAACACGTCTTACTCATCCATATTGCAAAAGCAAACACTGTCATGGCGGATCGAATCAGTGCAACTCGGAATCGACTTGGAGAAGGCCGTTCCTGCTGCTTCCAGACTTTTCGCAGGTGGAAAACTGCAGCGGGGTCATATTGTCCCTGAAAAACAGAGCCCGGGGATGTCAAGTGGTTCATTGAGGTTCACAACTCAACACAGACAACTGCCCTTATAGAAGATGATCCAGAGATGGAGGCAGTGAAAGAGTTAACGGAAAGGGTCAAGGCTATGGAGGTCAAGGTCACTGAACAGATGAGGCAGGTTCAGCATACCTTAGATGAGATTCGCCATGAAATATTCACAAAGAAGGCTTAATAACTATGTGTTTTAATAAAGCAGTGACACGGGAAATTTGCCCTGGAAGGAATGATCATATTTCCGATTCATACAACTGTTCTTTGAATCTGCATTCTCCCTATGACGAGTCACAGTATTGTCGACGAATTACAGAAGTTACGGGGCGGTGGGGTAGCCTATAGCTAGTGGTTAAAGCGTTGGCTGGTCACGCCAAAGACCCGGGTTCGATTCTCCACATGGGTACAATGTGTGAAGCCCATTTCTGGTGTCCCCCGCCGTGATATTGCTGGAATATTGCTAAAAGCGGCGTAAAACTAAACTCACTCACAGAAGTTATCCAAACATTAGAAAACGAATTCACTCACTGTTGACCTTAAAATTGATTCAACCTGTATGAATTATGACCAGACACACATACTAGCATGTAAGTACGTTGTAAGTAAGTATGGATGGAATGTACACATGTACATGCAGTCTGAAGCGTTAAAGGTTGCTATCCAGCTTCATACTGACCCCTAGTGCCTTGTACAGCGCCACATGTTTTGGGACGTACCATTTGAAAATAGGCTGTTATATTACGGGTATGGCGTGGCCGATCTTAATTCGGGCCAGTTGTAACGTGTACGATTTTAGATTTCCACTTAGAATTGCATTTTGTTATTACCCGTATTATTGTGTTTATCTTTTGATAAAGATAATTCCATCAAGACTATCAAATGTATTTTACTGTTCTCAGATGGATAGTCATCGGATCAATGGTTTTATTGATACCCAAAAACTGCGTTGGTAGTGGCCTTTTGAAACCGTGTATTCTCGTATTCTACATGTATTCTTCTGTACTTGTGTGCTAAAACCCCAAAATGTTTTGCTTCGGTTCACTTTTTTTAAACTATACTGAACAACATTAGAAACGCACCACACTAAAATGCACCGACGATGCTCAGATATCATGGGTACATTTCAGTCTGACGGGGATATTTCGTATTATATGGGTGTTGCGTTTCTAGTGTTGTTCAGTATATGTAACACTTCGGTTTTAGCTGACAGAACTTAGTTTCTGAACTTGATGCTATTCATATGAATAGTGAAATCACACTGTCTTCCTTATATTGAACTGCAAGCGATTATTCTCAAAGTAAACTGACGAGCAAAAGAAAGTATACACGGATGCTTGATTAAAGGAAGCATATAAGAAATGGTTATACAATGGCGATGTATTAGATACGGGTATTATAGTAGTGGTGGACCTAACGTTAGCGGTGTAAACACTTTTAGACCTGAAAACAGTTTAGAACTTTTGTATTTTGGGGCGTTACTTTCTTTTGAAAAGCAGTGTATTATGATTGCATGATATTTGTTTGTCATCCCAAGCTAATACGCTAAAATGCATATGTCACAATTTAATGAATTGTGATGTACGAACACTCAATGCAGATCTGATTATATTCATAATATTCTCATCAATGCTCAGCTGCTGTTTGTTATTTACCTTTTTCAAAGCAAATGTGATATATTTTGTATCAGTCGCTATCAATTGTTATGAATATATATATTTATCAATTGAATATGACATGTTATCATTCTCTATTGTCCATCATGTTATTTGTAAACACAAATATTGTTCTTTTACATTGTCAACTGAGATCAGAAGGTTATATTTATAAGTAAAATAAAATTGTTTTTAATTGTTAATGTTTTATTTCTACGATTGGGATGTGATTGTGTCTTGGTTTACCTGAAGCGTGATTACATTTCTGCATGAATTTGAAATCTCAACCCCAATTAATTTAATATGGTACTTTCAGCGGCTGGGTTGCAGTATTTAATTTTCTTGCCACGTGCAATCTTGATGTGAGAGAAAGCCTAAAGAGAAGAGTGAGTGAGTTTAGTTTTACGCCGCGCTCAGCAATATTCCTGCTATATGGCGGCGGTCTGTAAATAATCGAGTCTGGACCAGACAATCCAGTGATCAACAGCATGAGCATCGATCTGCGCAATTGGGAACCGATGACATGTGTCAACCAAGTCAGCGAGCCTGACTACCCGATCCCGTTAGTCGCCTCTTACGACAAGCATAGTCGCCTTGTACGGCAAGCATGGGTTGCTGAAGACCTATTCTACCCCGGATCTTCACGGGCCCCTAAAGAGAAGAAGGATATTACCACCTTAAAGTTAAAATCCATGAGGGAGGGTGGGGTAGCCTAGTGGTTAAAGCGTTCGATCGTCATGCCGAAGACCCGGGTTCGATTTTCCACGTGGGTACAATGTGTGAAGACTATTTCTGGTGTCCCTCGCCGTGATATTGCTGGAATATTGCCAAAAGCGGCGTAAAACACAACTCACTCACTAAAGCGGCGCCCACGAGAACGGCATGGGCTGATCAAACCAAGTCGAACACAGTGTCATTTGATTGTGGCACGGCCAAGGGACGTAACTCTGCAACGCGATTGTGTCAAACTTGTCCCTTGTGTAAGAACGAATATTTCAGTTGTTAAATAGCATATATGTATCGGTAAATTGTTCGAGGACCTGATGTCTAGTCACCGAAATGGGTCATAAATCATAATCAATATTTAAACATTAGCAAATAAAGTGAACACATTGTTTTATATCCAATAAAAGGATATACTTGTGAAACCGGTGTAAAACGTGGCATAGTTGAGGCGTTCGGAGTGGACAACTTCAGATATACCCCATCATTCCAAAGTGGCTATCACAAGCGATACGTATGGGATGCTTTGTTCGTTGTGTAACGCCAAACTCAGCATTGGAAACCAAAAGTCACTGTGTTCTTTATTCTGATTGGTTCCACTTAGAATTGCATTTTGTTATTACCCGTATTATTGTGTTTATCTTTGATAAAGATAATTCCATCAAGACTATCAATGTATTTTACTGTTTTAGATGGATAGTCATCGGATCAATGGTTTTATTGATACCCAAAACTGCGTTGGTAGTGGCCTTTTGAAACCGTGTATTCTCGTATTCTACATGAAGTCTTCTGCACTTTCTGTACTAAAACCCAAAATGTTTTGCTTCGGTTCACTTTTTAAACTATACTGAACAACATTAGAAACGCACCACACTAAAATGCACCGACCATGCTCAGATATCATGGGTACAATTCAGTCTGACGGGGATATTTCGTATTATACGGGTGTTGCGTTTCTAGTGTTATTCAGTATATGTAACACTTCGGTTTCAGCTGACAGAACGTAGTTTCTGAACTTGATGCTATTCATATGAATAGTGAAATCACACTGTCTTCCTTATATTGAACTGCAAACGATAATTCTCAAAGTAGACTGACGAGCAAAAGAAAGTATACACGGATGCTTGCTTAAAGGAAGCATACAAGAAATGGTTATACAATGGCGATGTATTAGATACGGGTATTAGATATGGGTATTATAGTAGTGGTGGACCTAACGTTAGCGGTGTAAACACTTTTAGACCTGGAAAACAGTTTAGAACTTTTGTATTTTGGGGCGTTACTTTCTTTGCAAAGCAGTGTATTGTGATTGCATGATATTTGTTTGTCATCCCCAGCTAATACGCTAAAATGCCTATGTCACAATTTAATGAATTGTGATGTACGAACACTCTATGCAGACTTGATTATATTCATAATACTCTCATCAATGCTCAGCTGCTGTTTGTTATTTACCTTTTCAAAGCAAATGTGATATATTTTATATCAGTCGCTATCAACTGTTATGAATATTTATATTTATCAATTGAATATGACATGTTATCATTCTCTATTGTCCACCATGCTATTTGTAAATACAAATATTGTTCTTTACATTGTCAACTGAGATCAGAAGGTTATATTTATAAGTAAAATAAAATTGTTTTAATTGTTAATGTTTTATTTCTACGATTGGGATGTGATTGTGTCTTGGTTTAACTGAAGCGTGATTGCATTTCTGCATGAATTTGAAATCTCAACCCCAATTAATTTTAATATGGTACTTTCAGCGGCTGGGTTGCAGTATTTCATTTTCTTGCCACGTGCAATCTTGATGTGAGAGAAAGCCTAAAGAGAAGAGTGAGTGAGTTTAGTTTAGTTTTACGCGCTCAGCAATATTCCTGCTATATGGCGGCGGTCTGTAAATAATCGAGTCTGGACCAGACAATCCAGTGATCAACAGCATGAGCATCGATCTGCGCAATTGGGAACCGATGACATGTGTCAACCAAGTCAGCGAGCCTGACTACCCGATCCCGTTAGTCGCCTCTTACGACAAGCATAGTCGCCTTGTACGGCAAGCATGGGTTGCTGAAGACCTATTCTACCCCGGATCTTCACGGGCCCTAAAGAGAAGAAGGATATTACCACCTTAAAGTTAAAATCCATGAGGGAGGGTGTGGTAGCCTAGTGGTTAAAGCGTTCGATCGTCATGCCGAAGACCCGGGTTCGATTCCCCACGTGGGTACAATGTGTGAAGACTATTTCTGGTGTCCCTCCCCGTGATATTGCTGGAATATTGCCAAAAGCGGCGTAAAACACAACTCACTCACTAAAGCCCACGAGAACGGCATGGGCTGATCAAACCAAGTCGAACACAGTGTCATTTGATTGTGGCACGGCCAAGGGACGTAACTCTGCAACGCGATTGTGTCAAACTGGTCCCTTGTGTAAGAAACGAATATTTCAGTTATATAGCATATATGTATCGGTAAATTGTTCGAGGACCTGATGTCTAGTCACCGAAATGGGTCATAAATCATAATCAATATTTAAACATTAGCAAATAAAGTGAACACATTGTTTTATATCCAATAAAAGGATATACTTGGGAAACCGGTGTAAAAACGTGGCGTAGTTGAGGCGTTCGGAGTGGACAACTTCAGATATACCCCATCATTCCAAAGTGGCTATCACAAGCGATACGTATGGGATGTTTTGTTCGTTGTGTAACGCCAAACTCAGCATTGGAAACCAAAAGTCACTGTGTTCTTTAATCTGATTGGTTGAAAAACGTGATCAAATGGTATTTGATTCCCGGAAATTCTCTGCGTATTAATACATACAAACATCGCTCACATCATTTAAGAATTGAATGTCAGTTTGTGTGTTTGCACTGAAAAATGAACGATGTCAAAGCGGTGTTCAAACTCGTGTGAACGAGCGAGTTTACGAGCGAGTTCACGCGAAGTTTGAACAACGCTTTGACATCGTTCATTTTTCAGTGCAAACACAATAAACTGATATTCAATTCTTATAATTCGCACTTTGAAGTTTACACATACGTTTTCCACCCACTTGTAGATGATCATTGTTTAGTGTGTTTTAATACCTGTAAAATGTTGTAATGCCATTTGGTTCAAGAACGTACGTATTGCAGCGATGTTTGTATACACAGCGATTTTATTTTTTTACATGTATCCCAACCCTTGAAGAAATAGTTCTCAAAGTATTCGATCTTTAAAATATAACAACAAATTCGTTATGAGGTTTGAAACTGCTTCAATAAGTATAATCAATAACAGTATCAAACAGAAACAAATATCAGAAGCAATAACAATACCATTTTAACAAACTGGCATTGTACCTTTTCACTTGTAAATACCTTGTTTGACCGCGTAATAATACACTGACCGACTTCGAAGTTGTGCGGCGTGGCGAATAGGAAACTGATCTTGTTGTATTCTATTTATTTGTGATTGTTTATTGTGAAATTTATTGAGCAGTTGTTAAACAGACCTCGGGGCAGAAAACCGCCGGATGAACCCGCAAACTGCGAGACATTAAACTCCTGTGAAAAGGAACAATGTTCAGCAATCCGTTTGGTAGTGACATTGCCAAACTTGGGGTGACTTGAAACAGGTTCGTTCGCGAAATTGGTATCACCAATTATTGGGGTCCTTGAAACCGAAGCGAAAACGTTCACACACGTATGAACGGTGTTTACACAAGTATGAACGATTAGAGAGGTTCAAGAGTAATGAACCTTGAAATTTAGATCACATGACCGCTCTCAACCAACCAACGTTCGGGAATCTGTGTAAACTTGAAAGCACGAAATTATTGTATTGTTACATCGTCAGCTGTGATGACGTCAATAAAATGATATTGTGACGTAAATTCCGAATGACGTCACAAAATGAGCAGTTCCAGATGCTACCATGGGAGACAGCCGAAACGGCCGGCTGATGACATTTCACTGCTGTACCCGTACTCGATGTCAATGAGAGCAGACACAAAAACGTGTGTGGACCTTTCGGTTTTACTTTGTGTGTTTACAATGTCGATAACATCATGTGTTGGCGAATTTCCGGGTGTTATTGAGTATTTGAAGCACGGGAATATTTCATTTGAAATCTCCGGCTGACGCCGTCGGTTACAAAATGAATTCCCGTGCTTCAAATACTCAATAACACCCGGAAATTCGCCAACATTATGAAGTTTATCTCCTAAATATTCCACCTGTGTGGCGGCGGTCTGTAAATACAGTGAAACCTGTCTAAACCGGCACCCCACGGGACCGAAATATAATGTAATCGACTCTGGACCAGACAATCCAGTGATTAACAGCATGAGCATCGATCTATGCAACTGGGATACGATGAAATGTGTCAACTAAGTCAGCCAGACTGACCACCCGATCCCGTTAGTCGTCTCGTACGACAAGCATGGGCTACCATTTCTTTTTAAAATGTCCAAAATTTGTCAGTTGCCGTTTTGATCTGAAGAAACACTTTGAACTATCAAAAGTTCACTTAGATATTGATACCATTCTTTACGGCAACCCTGCTCTGCCAAATACTATTAATGAAAATATCTTGAGACATGTGCATAAATACATTGTACGCAGTAAACGCTTCGATTAATCAATAATATGTCTTAATGTTATTATGTCCATTCATTACGTCCATTCATTTTGTTCATGTTTCTGATGGGAGCGGGCGGTAATAAGTTACATAACTTGTGCCCAATCCATTTCAACACTGAATAAAATATTTTCAAACAAACTGAAGATCAGTTCCAACCAAAATCTTCACGGGTCTTCCCCAAATGAAGGAAGTTAAAAGGGACTGAAAATGTACAAAGACTTTAAGAATGATTCTAATTGACTAAAAACTATATTAAAAATATGATATCAAAATATTATTTGTCATTTGGAGAACATAAAATTTACCTCATGTGACTACACTCTCACAGGCATCTCTCCTAAATGTTGTTTAACGCCGCACTCAGCACTATTTCAGCTGTATGGCGCCGGTCTGTAACTAATCAAGTCTGAGCCAGACAATCCAGTGATCAACAGCATGAGCATGTGAAAGACTGAGGGATACAAAATACCATACACCCATACAGATGCGTGCCTGTATATTGGCCTTATAGTCCGTTTGGCTCCAAATCGGACCGATGAAGTGCAATCTTACTCGAAAACTACTAAACATATAATTCTCAATGAAACACTGATCATAATCAAAACATCAGACCAACTCTGTGATTTTTTTTCAGAATTTATGTTCTAAAAATGAAAACAGTTGTTTAACAAACTATCATTAAAATTTGACACAGTTCACTATTTGTTACGAGGGAGGGGGTGCAAAGAGAGGACCAGCCAAAATTGTAATAATAGTTAAAATGATGACGAGCCACTGCAATAGATATCTGGGGAGCACTCCGTGTCGTTGAATGATTGAAGCCATCGTAACCCAAATGCGTCCATCGGTACTCATGATGTCAATCACTGGATTGTCTGGCCCGGACTTGATTATATATCTGAAATATTGTTCACTGTGGCGTTCAACAACAAACAAACTGACAAGCTGGAATTTGACCGAGTGAGGCATATAACAACATTCACTCACCAGCTTCATCCATGCTTCGTTTCACATTTAGGGGTCGGTGGGGTAGCCTAGTGGTTAAAGCGTTGGCTCGTCACGTCGAAGACCCGGGTTCGAATCCCTACATGGGTACAATGTGTGAAGCCCATTTCTGGTGTTCCCCGCCGTGATGTTGCTGGAATATTGCTAAAAGCGGTGTAAATCCAAACTCAGTCAGTCGGTTCACATTTAGGATGCATTTAGCGTTTCATTTTACGTGAAATATTAATACAAGCAAACGAAAAAGAGCACGGCTTTTCACTTAAATATATAATCAAATCACGCTAGTAGTTTGTGCGTCATTATCAACAAAGACCACAACATAGTATGTTACATGCTGCCTTCGAATTTCAACTAAATTGAGGCAAAAATATAGAATACAGAGTGTAATGCATGCGATTTGGGTTGTTGGGGTGGTGGTGGTGGTGGTGGCGGTGGGTGGGTGTTAATTGCAGCCACCTGACCGCCACCATGTTTCAAATGATGTAAATTTGTGTAAAAAAACACACAACAAAAACCAAAAAAACGAACAGCAGATTTATAGATTTTCACAGTGACTTTGTCTAATGCACCTCTTTACACATGTGTTTAAATATACCTAGGTGTGTAAACTTGTCATGTGAACGCGTTTAGTAACTCATATGTGTGTATATTTACACAGGGAGAAAATTTGCACTGTGAACCACTGATGAATAAGTGGGCAACAGAGCATTTACATAAGTGAGTTAGGTTTTACGCCGCTTTTAGCAATATTTTAGCAATATAACGACAGGGGACACCAGAAAGGGGCTTCATACATTGTACCCATGTGGGGAATAGAACCCGGGCCTTCAGTGTGACGAGCGAACGCTTTAACCACTGGGCTACCCCACCGCCCAGCATTTACATGACTTAACCTTATTTATACACATCAGCTAATGTTTAAGGGAAAGCATAGTAAATTTACACTTCCTCTCGTGTATAGCTACACATGTGAACAATTACTTTCGTGAGTAAACCCTATCGATCTTGTGCTTGTTGACGGGGTCTTTTAAGATACCATTCAGTACTTGTGTAGGTTTATTATGCGAACATCTGTTTTTATTTCCAATTGATTTCAATCAAATATTGTTTAGAACACATATAACCATGTAGATTTATTCTGTGACTACTGTCTAAGCGACAGTACCCTTCATTTCATAAACATAATGTCGATAAATGATCATACTTTCAACTGAAAATCAATATATGATAATATTTACTACACGCTTATAAGACTGATTGGATTTACAGATGTTTATCATCTTTTATGGCTATATTACTAACACAAGATAATTACATGTAACATGAGATACGCTAAAACGAGAAGTATATGTTAATTTTTTTAAAGATAAACTTCAAGATACATGTATACATATACCAAATAATAAGAAGTTGGATTCACTAAGTCTAAAAAGTCATATATAATTTAATGTTCCATAGAAAGGTGTCAATTAACAAATAACTTATTAAACATTCCTTTCATTTAGTTGAAAAAAGGGGTTTTATACATTCTCAGACTAATGAAAATCTCTTCTGAGTGTTTCATAGTATTCTCCTCACATCGCGCATTGTTGCAAGTGATGTTCGGAGTTTACTAATACAAACGCGCCTGGAAATACTTGAAATGTAATATCAAAGCATATCTCCTATGAAACGTTCACTTTTAAGTTCTACGGCATATTCACAATTTATCAAGTTTAAAAAACCTGCCATCGGTAATCTTGAAGCGTGCGCGTATCCATTGACATTCGTGACAACTCGCCGTCTTGTTATTTACGGATATTGACGAAAGATGCCGAATGATATTACAGCGGAAGTGGCCCTCGGATAGCAGTGTGTGATCGTCAAGAGAAAGCCACTTTTTTAACTGTTACAGTTCATGCAAGATAACGGTGTGTATATGAGAATATGCTACAATATTAATATATTAGAAGTTAAGACGTGAGTGTGTATTTCGGCAATGCAGGATGAATGAAATAGGGTTATGCTACACTTGTCTGGCTATCCAGCCTAATGTGACGTTGAATGTGACCCGCTGGTGTCGACATGCAAATGCTGTCAAGGTTTGTGTGCCATGATGCAGTGTATTTTCACAAAGAGGGTTAATAACAGTGAGTTAGGTTCGTGCTTCAAAAAATAGTTTTATCCCTGTCAACGTCTCATTTAAAAGAAAGTCTTTGCATATGCAGGTTCACTCACATAAATTCGTATTTCACAAATAAACATATTTTATTGACCCTGGGCCTCAGACGATACCAGTATGAATAACAATGTTTACTTGTGTACAGTTACAAATTCCTGTGGTTGAGTTCACTTTGAAAACATTTTCAGTCCACTTGTGTGACCGGAGACATGTGCCATTGTTTTGATCTTAATTCAGCATAATTTTCAAAAGGAATGTAGATCAAGCTCATCTTTGAGATGAGGATGATAAATTCCTTATTATGTATTAACATTATCAACACAAAAATCCTTCATGTATGGTTTGTAAATGTAACCATGATCAGGGTAGTGAGGTCATTCAGGAAAGTCTATGCAATTTTGACGAATGTATGATAGATATAGGCTCAGCAGTAAATGTCTGTCATTTAGTAAAATCTGCATGATGTCAGTGTCTAGCAACTGCTGGATCCCAAGTGCATGTTCTGACTAGCCAAGGCTGAAATTATAATGATCTGTAATGCAGCTAAGATTGTGATCACATAGAAAATTAAATCCCAACAATATACCATTTTCTGCTTTTGATGGTCAAACCCCAAAATTTTGGGCATGGAGTCACCATGTTCAGCATTTTATCTGATCTATTTCTCTAATTTGATGCATGTTTGTGTCAAGATTTGAAACTAAGATCGTCATGGACAGTCGGGTCAGATTAGTGAGTGAGTTTAGTTTTACGCCACACTGAACAATTTCCAACTATATGGCAGCGGTCTGTAAATAATTGAATCTGGACCAGACAATTCAGTGATCAACAGCATGAACATTGATCTACACAGTTGGGAGATGATGACGTGTCAACCAAGTCAGCGAGCCTGACCACCCGATCATGTTAGTTGCCTCTTACATAAGTTACAACTAGCATGGGTTACAGAAGATCAGATCTAACCCGGATCTTCATGGATTGGGTCAGATGAACTCAGGAAAGCTTTGATTACCTAATCAAAAAAAGGATGAGCCAGTTGAGTTTCAGCATCCAAAACCTTTTTGTCCTGATACCTTCATTCTGAAATTATAATATGTACCCAAAAATACCACCATTGAACACAAATCAATGTCTCCTCCATAGGAACCCTTTTGGCTAAAGGGTTTGGTAGGGTAGCCTCATGGTTGAAGCATTCGTTTGTCACGCCGAAGGTGCGGGTTTCATTCCCAGCAAGGGTACAATGTATGAAGCTCATTTCAGGTGTCTCTTGCTGTGATGTTGCTGGAATATTGCTATGAGTGGCATGAAACTATACTCAAACACTTATTTTGGCTACAGAAAACCATAGTCCTCAGAAACAACAGGATATATAAAATATCCACAGCATTAATTATAATCATTTGTTAGCAATCAGATTCCTTCATATTCGATTTTGAGATTCAGTTATGTTTGTCAGAATGCAAAGTTTGGTACCTCAATCATTCTTACAGAGAATTTGAAAATATCCACAGCATTAATTATAATCATTTGTTAGCAATCAGATTCCTTCATATTCGATTTTGAGATTCAGTTATGTTTGTCAGAATGCAAAGTTTAAGGTACCTCAATCATTCTTACAGAGAATTTAGATACCCTGACTCCGATTGGCTGATCAGAAAATTCTCCAAGATTAATATGTTTAGAATAAGTGTGGAGACATAGTTTTATGGTTGTTAACTTTTGTTGTAGGGACAGCCAGCTAGAGATGATCAGAGAGGTGGACCATGATGCACCATCCTACAGATACTGGCTGTAGCTCCATGGGATTAGCAGTTGCAGCTACTTTTCCCTGACAGCAGGCATTTCAGATTTTGTAAACTGGGGACATCAAAATGGCATCGAGTGAGTGTGATATTCCAATCAAAACAGAAATAGTGGATAGCCCAGATCCAGTTGGTCAACATTCATTGAAGCCCGAGCTACCTGAAAAGAGTGGAAAATCTGCAGATTCATCTGAGATTGGCTGCAACACAGAATATTCGGACGAAGTTGATGATGACGAGGAAACTGAAGACACTGCTGAAGATGTAAGTGTTGATCAGGGTGGACCTTCCACAGAACCACCAGAAAATGAATCGTCAAGCAAATCCGACGACCACAGGCCATATATTTGTTCTGTGTGTAGTAAAGCATTCAAAAAGGCATACAACTTAAAAGCACATATGGATATCCACACAGACGGGCAACTGCATGCTTGTAATTTATGCCACAAAACGTTCAAATCTCGCCATTATCTCCGAAAACATCTTTCCACTCATAATCCCGTGAAGAAACATACATGTGAAGTTTGTGGCAAGTCTTTTACCCAGATGTCGCATCTAAAGAAGCACGAAATGATTCACACAGGAGAAAAACCTTATTCTTGTACTATCTGCGGCATGACATTCAACAAGACATCTAATTTGAATACCCACGTGCGGAGACACACTGGTGAGAGAAACCACACATGCCCACACTGCAACAAAAACTTCGGAACCTCAAGCGAACTCCGACGTCACGTCAATATCCATACGAAAGAGAAAACCTACGAATGCGACATATGTGACCGGTCCTTCCTACTGTTGGGTAATCTTCAAAAACACGTGAAAAGATGCCATCTTGGAGAGAAGAGATTCTTGTGTAGTCACTGTGACAAAACGTTTATGTCGGCTGGGGAGCTTCAGAGACATATTGCTGTACACACAGGCGAAAGAAACTTTCCGTGCGATATGTGTGATAAGAGGTACTTTAGTTTAAGAGACCTGAAAATGCATGTTAAGATTCATATGGTGAGGGAAAGGACCGTCCCATGTCAGGTGTGCGAGAAACTATTTTATGATAAATATTCACTTAAGGCTCATATGCGAATACACAGCACTAGGCAGTATCAGTGTAATGAATGCCCCAAGAGGTTCTTCAGACCACTTGATCTGAAACGACATGAGAAGACTCATGAACCCAAACCCTTGAAGTGTCGAATCTGTGCGAGAGTTTACACAAGACAGAAGCGGCTTGATCAGCACATGCTTCTACACGAGGCAGAGAGGCCGTTTGTTTGTGGCCACTGCGACAAAGCATTCACCATGTCCACCCAGCTTATGTCCCACATTGCGTGTATGCATTCCGACAAACAGAATACCCGCTGTGATGTTTGCCAGAGGAGCTTCAAGACTGTCGACGATCTGAGCATGCACTTTAAGGATCACATTATGAATCGGGTTCATGTTTGTCTGGAGTGTAGGAAGACGTTTGAGACCGTAGAGCAGCTTCAGGACCACCAGAAGAGCCACCCCGAATGTGACCGAGGAGAGACCACATCCTCCAGCACCAACAAGGTGCTGACAGAGAAGTCAGTGGTAGAAGGGGATCAGGATGAAAGCATTCCAGAATCTGAATCAGTTGAGGAAGAAGCATGTCAGCAAGAAGTGTAATGATGTGCAGGTTCTGTTACCATGGTTACATATCAAAAAGCAATTTGTGACTAAATATTATTCCAATAACTATAGGAAAGCTACTAGGTTCACAAGCCCTAGACAGATCGCTGTTATGACACACATGCAGATTCCTTGAAAGAAACGCTACCAATTTATGTGCCATGGATGAGAAAGAACAAAGTAATAAGGATCAGGTGGTAACCATGGTAACCTGACTTACCTGATCGTTTGGATCATTACATGTGTTTGGTTAAAAATTGATTAGTTACCATGGTTACCTAATTTCCTGTTAATTATTTGAAACTCACTTTGCGGACAGGGGGCTCTAGAATTGGGTTTTGATTAATGGGACCTTGTATTGTTGTGAAATGCATATATGGATTCAACTGTATGTGAATCATTTAAGGACTCAAGTTTAAGAAACTGAAGGTGCACCTACATGTTTTCGGGGCCAAGTTTTGCCAGTGTTGTCACAAGGACCCCTTGACTCCAGTGTGTTCAAACGCGGGCTGCCTTGTCTGTTGTTGAATCTAATACACCATCTGGTTTCTCTGTGTGTTTTGACCATGATGGAGGACATTTTGAATCTGGTTAAGCTAACAAATAGCACAGTTAGTGTTAGGCTGTTGTATGAGTCGCTGTTATCTGCAGGGGTGGAAATAACCCATTGTCTGACGTCCGAGTCCAGTGTTTTTTCTGTCGGGCAAACAAATTCGTATATCACACTGTACCAGTGTCCAGTTGACTTTCCAATGTTAATAATGTTGTTTATTGAAAAAATCAACAAGAAAACGGCCGGTATAGTGGAAAAATGATCAGGGCAAGTGATTTTAGATGTGCCACTGTACCGGAGTACACTATCAATTTTAAAGTTATTTCCACCCCTGATCTGTAGCGCAAATATGGATGAAGAAACACGTTTTTGTGACTGTTGACAGATTGGTAAGGACTTTTTGTCCCTTACCACTTTATACATATATATTTATATCATCTTTACTAAGATCAGGATCAAAGTATACATGTGAACGTGGAAGGATATCTTTGCTTTGTTGAACATGTTGAATGAAATGATTGTACATATATATACGCAAGTACTGAATGTAAGGTATTTGAGTGTGAGAGCCCTCTGACCAAAGACATTCTTGAGTGTACTCTGTCTCGCCAACGTTAGACCTTATACTTCATTCCCAGTTCTTGAGTGAAGATCACATTGACTAGGGCAGGGACGATACACTATGTCACGATACGATACGTATCGCGATATTTTACCTGCGATATGATACGTATCACATACACCTTGAAAGAATGACACAGTATTAAGCTTTAAGATGATTTATTTCAAGGTATTTGTGTATAACAATAACACTAATGTAATAAACAAACAAGTAACTCTATGATACTTGCATATTTTTCTCTAATTAAGTACTCTATAATTTTTAAGATAATACTGTTTTTAAAAATGTCGTGTGTCGTTTTGTATCGATACACCAGTCGACGATACAATAGTTTTATCAAACTTATATGTATCGTGATGTATCGGTGCATCGGTGAATCGTCCCAGCCCTAACATTGACCCAGGAAGATCTGGGTTACAAGTGGTCTTCAGTAACCCATGCTTGTCGTAAGAGGCAACTAACGAGATCGGGTAGTCAGACTCGCTGACTTGGTTGACTTGTTTCACTGTATCCCAATTGCGTAGATTGATGCTCATGATGTTGATCACTGTATTGTCTGGTCCAGACCGCCATATAGCTGGAATATTGCTGAGTGCAGAGTTAAACAACAAAGAAAGAAAGAAGATCACACTTAAACCAGAATAAACTTGACTACCCAGTCTCAGTGAAGTATGGAGTCTTCAGCCAATCAGATGTCAGTTCATGTTTTAAATGATTTGGCTTCATATCTTCAGCAGCTTGATTAAGAGATTTTGACTTCTGGAATTAAAACCTACAGCTCTCAAAAATATTCTTTTGATGGTACTGCATTTTGGTGTAGTTTTTTCAGCCCTGAAATGCCAGTTGTATAAATTATCCACAACATAATGACCTGGCCTTCCTTATAATATGTGGATTCGGAAAGTTCATATTTGAGATATTGAAACTGCATAAACTAATGCTGAATGTTGTGATCACTCATCCTGAATTTAGGAGATTTGATGCTGATTGTCTGATCAGAAAATTCACCTAATGAGCTCTTACTGTGGTGTAGTTTCGGAGTGTAAGATCTAACTTTGATGAGATTGGCGGGTATTGTACGGGTTGACGCTCAAGATGCCGAGACTTGTGTTGATACCTGTGCTTTGTTTATCAATAAATTAATTAATTAATTTACCAGCATTGTTGACACTTAAGTGCCACCAGAGACCGATCACAGTCCTTGTGTGGGTGTGGCTCTGTCACCTGTAGTTGGTCACCTGTAGTTGGCCACTGCTGCAGGTGGTGTCACCTGTAGTTGGCCACTGCTGCAGGTGTGGCACCAGAGACCGATCACAGTCCTTGTGTGGGTGTGGCACCCGTCACCTGTAGTTGGCCACTGACCACTGCTGCAGGTGTGGCAGGTGTGGCACCACCACCTGTAGCTGGCCACTGTAGTTGCAGGTGTGGTACTGTCACCTGTAGTTGGCCACTGCTGCAGGTGTGGCACCAGAGACCGATCACAGTCATTGTGTGGGTGTGGCACCATCACCTGTAGTTGGCCACTGCTGCAGGTGTGGCACCGTCACCTGTAGTTGGCCATTGCTGCAGGTGTGGCACCAGAGACCGATCACAGTCATTGTGTGGGTGTGGCACCAGTTAGGACCACTGCTGCAGGTGTGGCACCGTCACCCGTAGGTGGTTGCTGCCACTGCATGCATTGTGTGGGTGTGGCACCATCACCTGTAGTTGGCCACTGCTGCAGGTGTGGGCACCATCACTGCAGGTGTGGGTAGTTGACCACTGTCATTGCAGGTGTGGCACCGTCACCTGTAGTTGGCCACTGCTGCAGGTGTGGCACCAGAGACCGATCACAGTCATTGTGTGGGTGTGGCACCATCACCTGTAGTTGGCCACTGCTGCAGGTGTGGCACCGTCACCTGTAGTTGGCCACTGCTGCACTGCTGCAGGTGTCATTGTGTGGGTGTGGCACCATCACCTGTCACTGCTGCAGGTGTGGCACCATCACCTGTAGTTGGCCACTGCTGCAGGTGTGGCACCATCACCTGTAGTTGGCCACTGCTGCAGGTGTGGCACCGTCACCTGTAGTTGGCCACTGCTGCAGGTGTGGCACCATCACCTGTAGTTGGCCACTGCTGCAGGTGTGGCACCATCACCTGTAGTTGGCCACTGCTGCAGGTGTGGCACCATCACCTGTAGTTGGCCACTGCTGCAGGTGTGGCACCATCACCTGGTAGTTGGCCACTGCTGCAGGTGTGGCACCATCACCTGTAGTTGGCCACTGCTGCAGGTGTGGCACCATCACCTGTAGTTGACCACTGCTGCAGGTGTGGTCACCTGTAGCTTGACCGTCACTGACACCATGTAGTTGGCCACTGCTGCAGGTGTGGCACCATCACCTGTAGTTGACCACTGCTGCAGGTGTGGCACCATCACCTGTAGTTGACCACTGGTGCAGGTGTGACACCATCACCTGTAGTTGACCACTGCTGCAGGTGTGGCACCATCACCTGTAGCTTGACACTGCTGCAGGTGTGACACTGTTACCTGTAATTGGAAACTGGTGCAGGTATTGATGGATGCACCAGGATGTTTCCCATATTTCACAGATACATCTCAGCACATCGTCCACACATCAGTGTCTACCAATATGCACAGTCAGGCCAATATATACTACTCAACAAAGTTAAGAACCACTGGATTCTTTTTATGTTACATAGTAATATGAAAGAATGGTATGGTCCATATATATATATCTTTGAGTAGTACTCATAGCACTGTTTTACGAATTGTAGAGGTCAGCTGAACCTGTGATTGTTGATTTCTCAGAAAATCAAATACACGGTATGTTTGACTTGTTTGGTTTTGTAATGCATCTCAGACAATACCTCTGACTTAGTGCAAGTTGATCATTATCATTCCCAAAATTACTTTTGCACATTGTCTGGGACTTGTTCAGAGGAAAGCAAAACTAGATTCATACAGTTTTCAAGAGTCTGTTTGTTGTAGCCCAGTTAATATTTAACATGTTGTATTATCAAATCGCAACAGAAACTGTTTTTACCTTTTACAATTGTTACCATGGTTACTATTAGTTTGTTACATATATGTTAGCAGCATGTATAGCATAACATCTATTTCAACAACGTTGTTATGGTGTTTATCATATGGAAGAGAGACTGAGAGCCTGTAGTTTATCAGGGCTAGTCATTACTGCTAGATGCATGATGTGAAGCATGTAATATCTTGTCTTTCTGTCATGTGAGAAATACAGTTAACTGTTTTATTTATAAACATGGTTAAATAAGTATCTTGTGAAATATAACAGCATTACATTTCTCAAATGAACTGGCAGTTCTCAGATGAACATGAGATGTGGATGATTCTCATTTGACTTGCGTTTTACTGACCAATGCAGATTCATTTTCTGTTATATTTCTTGGATATGGTATTGTAATGATATATACAAAGAACTTAGTTAAACACACCTTGACATATCTCACGATTGAATGAGCCGCGATTTTAACCCTTTGGAGCATATCTGGAACATGATTGGTCGTCATGTGCATACAAAGGGATCCTCCTGTACAGAACCTGGCCCAATTGGAAGCTGCTTTACACGAGGAATGGCGTAGACTGTACCTCTAGAGGGTCAGGAGGCTGACAGGGGGGATGAGGAGGAGGTTGCTTGCTGTCATACAGTCACATGGAAGTTACACTCGATAATGACCTTGAAACGTGTAAGACACGCAAAATGACATTTTGAATGTTCACATTCACCAATAAATGCAACATGAAACATTCCAGGCCATACTTGTACAGACATGGTTTTGTATGAAAATCCGTGTTTTTTTAAACTGAGAAATTAGCAATTATCATCATAAAATCAACATGGATTCCAATTATTTTGTTGTTTTTTATGAGTCAAAGGATCATACGGGTCAGAAAAACTCATGTTTTTCCATCCACGAGAAGTTTTTTGTATGTGTTGAAAACCAAGCATTGCAAAAATACAGGGGGTGCTTAATTAAGTTCTTTGTGTATAGAAGAGTGTTTTGTGATGATGTTGATTCTTTTCCAGCTAAGTAACTTGTGGAGATTCTGATCCAAGTTACTGATGGTTCTCGGACAAACTAAATCTTGGATGAATCTCATCCAGCGTTCAGTTCTCAGATGATTTCAAGTCTTTCATGAGTCTCATCCAACTTACCCTTCTCAGATGAACACAAGTCCTGTGAGTCTCATCCAACTTCTAGTTCTCAGATTCGTCGTGATATGGCTGAGATATTGCCGATGTGACGTTAAATATTAACTCACTCACTCTAGTTCTCAGATGAACACAAGTCCTGTGAGTCTCATCCAACTTACCCTTCTCAGATGAACACATGGGTGATTCTAATATAAGAGGCAGTTCTCAAATAATATGAATGATACTCACTTGAGGCCAGACCAATTTTATTTCTTGTTTTACAGGATCGCCGGCTTCTTTTTTTTTCAAGAATAAGAAAAAAAGTTAAAATTAATTTTCCCCGCTCAAAAAATAAATCCTTATGTTTTTATTGGCCAAAAATGTAAACTTACAAGAAAACTTCTTTTAGATTGATTTTTTGCCCCATATACACTTCATTTATTCCCAAATGTCAAATACTTTTAGTATTTAGAAGGAATGTTACTTTGACTGATCATTTTATTTTTATTTTTGTTCCCTCCTGACTAGGTTTTTTGAGGACAAATCCGTAAAACAAGAAATAAAATTGGTCTGGCCTGATATACTTTTCAGATACTTTCTTATTAAGTTAGTCAACTATGTATCAACATTTGTCGGAAGACTTTTCAGATGTTGTATAGTTGTGACCTTGTTTAGAACACTTTGTATTCTATATTAGTGACATAAGGATGACTGACTACTGGGTAAACAGACATTCAGCTGCTGTATCCTATGGTATCTGTACATCCTCAACCTCCCTCAAACCTTGCCACACAGAATCCCTTTACCATGTGTAACTATGATCCACTGTGTTCACAGGGTGGTGGGGTAGTCTTGTGGTTAAAGTGTTCACTCGTCACACCGAATGCCCAAGTTCGATTCCCCACATTGGTACAATGTGTGAAGCCCATTTCTGGTGTTCCCCGCCGTGACATTGCTGTATCCATGCTTTCTGTGTAGTATTGCTTGTTAGGGTGGAAATAACTGTTTCCTCATAGCGGAATACAAAGTGATCAGCAATATGCACAAAATGATGCACAGGGGTTAAAAATACCATTGCTCGACGCCTGAGTCCAGTGGAATTCTCCGGTTGGTCAAGTAAATATCCACATTAAACTTTACGTATTACAGTAGTGCCAAACTATGGAAATGTTTTGATATATGTATTCTGATGATGGAATAAAAATGCAATTGCTACCAATTGATAAAGATTATTTGCAAAAGAAACCAAATTATTAATTGTGGTCAAGTGAAATAGATATTTGGTCCAGTGGAGTTTTGAAAAAATTTCAACTCATGGATACACCAGTACATCAGGGTTCCTTGTGATATCATACACGATACATTCTTTTCTCTATCGATACTTGACAATACACTTGCAAAAGTCCTTTCCACTTATTTAATGATGGTCAAACATTGCAAAATGAGTTTGTATGCAATACAGACAAACTTCATGGATAACAACTTCTTTATTTTGTATTGCATACAGTTGACATATACAATGACAATTGTACAAGAATCTGTAATGAAATGTCGCACTCATGAAATATAGGTGTAATGGGGATTAGCGTTGTACTTGAGAATATTTCGCTCATATGATGACATGCATGTGTGTGTGTATGTGCGGCTGCTTGTACTAGCCCAGACTTAAGCTGGTTTTATAGTGCTAGCTCACTGAGATACCATGCCACAGTTAAGCATGAATACCCCACTCAGACACATTATACTGACTCAGAGCCGACAAGTCCTTGTTGCACCCATTAATGCCAAGCGCCAGGCAGTGACCAACAAGTACCTATTTTAACGTCTTTTGGTATGACACAGACGGGAATCGAACCCATGACCTTCCGCTCTCTGGGCGGATGCCCTAACCACTACATCACGGAGGCGGTCCTCATGAAATATAGAAGTTGTTATCCATAAAGTTTGTCTATGTTGTGCTTTCCAACTTCCAAAATGTCACTCAAAGGAGATTGTCAGCACCCATGAGTTTCAAAGTAGAGGTAAATTTGTTTAGCCTGCATTATTTTGGGCTTTTGGCCCACATTGACATGATTATAACTGAAATATTGTATTATCTGTAACACTCAGAATTTAAGGCATTGTACTGTTATTTTTGTGCATTTTGCAAATGTCATGGTTGTAAGCCAATTTCAGCATGTTCAGTTTTAGTGGTTTCCTATGAGGTAGACTGAACACATTCAGCATTATTAAATGATATGTAGTTATTAAAATGTATTTTTTATGTTGTTTTGGCCGTTTATCTTTTGAAAAGGATTTCATTCAACTAAATTGAAGTCAAGTAATGGAATGGTGGTATCTTATGTTTCTGTCTAAAGTGGATCACCTTCGATTTCCTTGTGTATATTAATTCACAGTTCTATTATGCGAATGTTCATTTTGGAATTGCTTTTATCTGCTTACCTTTCTTATCACAAATGTGAAACAGAGTTTTTCTGGCTGATGTACTTCACGTGGATTCTGGGTTAGCATTGGTCCTCAGTGACTTTTCTTTGTCCATTCAGATAACAATATGGATTTGGTGGTTAGGCTTAGTACCTATGATGTATGAGGGGCGGTGGGGTAGCCTAGTGGTTAAAACATTCGCTCAGCATGCAGAACACATGGGTTCGAATCCCCACTTCGGTATAATGTGTGAAGCCCATTTATGGTGTGCCCCACCATAATATTGCTGGAATATTGTTAAAAGCGGGGTAAAACTAAACTCAATCACTCGCTTAGTACCTATGACATGATGTTGCTCCTTTTGTTTGATCACTGGATTGTCTGGTCAAGACTCAATTGTTTACAGCCTGCCATCATGTAGCTGGAATATTGCTGAGTGTTGTGAATCCTGGTGATCAGTTGGCAAGAACAGTTGTAATATATGTAGGTGTGCTAATTTTGGTGAATACGGTATTGTGTGCAACCAATATTGACTTATTCTATGTGAGGAATATCCCACCATGTCTCCTTTTATATATCGGTATATATTAAACTTAACACCCGGAATAT